ACAAAGAAACCAAAGATCAAGGAAGAATACCAAGCGGAAAAACCGAAACCCGAGAAAATAGAGAGGAAAGAAGTCAAACCAACCAAAGTTGAAATTGTTGAAGTATCGGAGTTGCCTCAGAAGTTGAAGCTTAGAAAACCGAAACCATCCGATAAACCAAAGAGTGAGGAGGCGACATTTTTGAAGACGAAACTCAAGAGCAAGATCACTCGTGTTGAATATCCCCCAGAGGCAATCAAGTTGATTGTGACTGACATGAATACAATTAGGGATACTGGAATATTATCTAGAAATATTGAAGAAGCTGAGAAATTGCCGAAGAAAATCAAGATCAAGAAATTCAAACCTCCGAAAGAGATTAAGGATGATCTAGAGAGGCCTCAGCTTGAAAAGTATGAGAAGTACGAGAGCAGTTCAGATGAGTCTCCGGAGAAGGAGGGTTACAAGAGACCCAAGAAAGAAAGTAAGAAGGAAGAATCAGATTCGAAAACACTGAAAATGGGAAAGGGTAAAGTGAAACCGAAAGAAGAAGAAGCTCCGGAGGAGGTCAAACTGAAAGGTATTCCCGGAAAAGAGCCCAAGGAAGAGGTAGAGGAGGAAAAGAAACCGAAGAAGGAAAAACCTGAGGAAGATAAACCAAAGAAAAAGAAGTCATCTCATAAAACCGGAATTGGATCGCCTCTTGAGTTTGACTTCGAACCATCCGAAGTTCCGCCGTACGAACCGGAGGTTCCAGAAGAAGAGACATTCACGCCTGAGCAACCTTCTGAAGAGAAACCGAAATATAAAAGAAAGAAGAAGGAGCAACCTCAGCCAGAGACGGTTGAAATTCCATTAGAAAAAGGAAAGCCGAAGAAACCCGAGGAAACTCCCGAAGACGATGTCAAATTCAGAATACCCAAAGCACCTAAGCCAGACGAAGAACAACCCGAGATCAAACTCAAACCATTCAAAAAGCCACAACCAGAAACAGAAACAGACAAAGATGAACCAGATCGTGACATGAAACTACCCAAGTTCGAACCTTCGTCTCCTCAAATAAGTGACGACGAGAGAGACGACGTTCCGAAAACAAAGAAAACAAAACGCAAGAAGATATCAAAACCAAAAGATTCTCCTGACACACTGGAAGAGAAAGAAGAACCTGTACCCTATGGTGACACTATGGACACAGAACAAAATGATTTTCCACGTAAGTTTTACAGTTTTACACTAAACTGCGCATTGCGAGAAATATGAGTGAACTATTTGCTTTCCTTCATGGATACACACATGCGAATACTTTGTTACGAATTTGAGTATTTTGTAACATTAAGATTTCATTGCTTTATATACATATATACAGGTTTTCGCTATTACAAAGGTGAAAGTGAGTTACTCAAATATAGAAATTTCTAGCAATATAATTTACTTAAACAGATTTTAAATAAAAGGCTAGATTCAGCAAATAATAGTCATAGGTATCATAAGCTGTTTATGCATACATATCCACAGAAAGCACTATGTTCTTTATTGGGCATTTATTACGCATGTAATTGACTGCTGCTATAAAACATATTATATATATATGAGTTCGTCTTTACCAAAGAAAAACAATAAAATAATAAGAATACATAGGGAAATACTCTAACTAATATCAATGTAACATACACGCCATACTAAGCGAATCGACGATAAACAGAGAAAATAATTTTCATAATATATCTTACAGAGAGAGACACAACTCACTCAAAGAAAGATACACCGAAGCCTTCAGAAAAACCATCAGACATACCCCTTACTCAAGCAGATGAAAAACTAGAAAAAGTGGAAGAAATCCCCGAAACCATCGAAGAAGTACCTTCTGAGGAGGCTCCCGGCGAGGAAGAGAAGCCTAAGAAGAAGAAGGTGGTGAAGAAGGTAAAGAAGGGCGAGGAGCCCAAAGAAGAGACAGAAATGGTACCGAAACCTGTCGAAGAGGAACAGGTGCCTGAAGAAATCCCCGAAACCACCGAAGAAGTACCCTTTGAGGAGGCTCCAGGCGAGGAAGAGAAGCCTAAGAAGAAGAAGGTGGTGAAGAAGGTAAAGAAGGGTGAAGAGATCAAAGAAGAGACAGAAATGGTACCGAAACCTGTCGAAGAGGAAGATGCCTGAAGAAATCCCCGAAACCACCGAAGAAGTACCTTCGGGAGCTCCCGGCGAGGAAGAGAAGCCTAAGAAGAAGAAGGTGTGAAGAAGGTAAAGAAGGGTGAAGAGATCAAAGAAGAGACAGAAATGGTACCGAAACCTGTCGAAGAGGAACAGGTGCCTGAAGAAATCCCCGAAACCACCGAAGAAGTACCTTCTGAGGAGGCTCCAGGCGAGGAAGAGAAGCCTAAGAAGAAGAAGGTGGTGAAGAAGGTAAAGAAGGGTGAAGAGATCAAAGAAGAGACAGAAATGGTACCGAAACCTGTCGAAGAGGAACAGGTGCCTGAAGAAATCCCCGAAACCACCGAAGAAGTACCTTCTGAGGAGGCTCCAGGCGAGGAAGAGAAGCCTAAGAAGAAGAAGGTGGTGAAGAAGGTAAAGAAGGGTGAAGAGATCAAAGAAGAGACAGAAATGGTACCGAAACCTGTCGAAGAGGAAGAGGTGCCTGAAGAAATCCCCGAAACCACCGAAGAAGTACCTTCTGAGGAGGCTCCCGGCGAGGAAGAGAAGCCTAAGAAGAAGAAGGTGGTGAAGAAGGTAAAGAAGGGCGAAGAGACCAAAGAAGAGACAGAAATGGTACCGAAACCTGTCGAAGAGGAACAGGTGCCTGAAGAAATCCCCGAAACCACCGAAGAAGTACCCTTTGAGGAGGCTCCAGGCGAGGAAGAGAAGCCTAAGAAGAAGAAGGTGGTGAAGAAGGTAAAGAAGGGCGATGAGCCCAAAGAAGAGACAGAAATGGTACCGAAACCTGTCGAAGAGGAAGAGGTGCCTGAAGAAATCCCCGAAACCACCGAAGAAGTACCTTCTGAGGAGGCTCCAGGCGAGGAAGAGAAGCCAAAGAAGAAGAAATGTGTTGGACATAAGTAAAGAGGGCGATGAGCCCAAATGAAGATTGACAGAATGGGGGGGTTCCGGGAAAAAACACCTGGTCGAAGAGGATAGGTACTGAAGAAATCCCCTGAAACCACCGAAGAAGTACCCTTTGATGAGCTCCTGGCGAGGAAGGAGAACCGAAGAAGAAAAGAAGGTGAAGAAACTGAAGAAAGACGATGACCGATCTGATTTAGAAATGATTGAATGGTATTCCCTGCAAGACCGAACTTTAGGAAATAGCGAAGGTTTGAAGACTAGGAAAACCCACAAAGAAACCAAAGATCAAGGAAGAATACAAGCGGACAAACCGACCCGAGGGAAAAAAAAAAAAAAAAATAGAGGAAAGAGGTCAAACCAACCAAAGTTGAAATTGTTGAAGTATCGGAGTTGCCTCAGAAGTTGAAGCTTAGAAAACCGAAACCATCCGATAAACCAAAGAGTGAGGAGGCGACATTTTTGAAGACGAAACTCAAGAGCAAGATCACTCGTGTTGAATATCCCCCAGAGGCAATCAAGTTGATTGTGACTGACATGAATACAATTAGGGATACTGGAATATTATCTAGAAATATTGAAGAAGCTGAGAAATTGCCGAAGAAAATCAAGATCAAGAAATTCAAACCTCCGAAAGAGATTAAGGATGATCTAGAGAGGCCTCAGCTTGAAAAGTATGAAAAGTACGAGAGCAGTTCAGATGAGTCTCCGGAGAAGGAGGGTTACAAGAGACCCAAGAAAGAAAGTAAGAAGGAAGAATCAGATTCGAAAACACTGAAAATGGGAAAGGGTAAAGTGAAACCGAAAGAAGAAGAAACTCCGGAGGAGGTCAAACTGAAAGGTATTCCCGGAAAAGAGCCCAAGGAAGAGGTAGAGGAGGAAAAGAAACCGAAGAAGGAAAAACCTGAGGAAGATAAACCAAAGAAAAAGAAGTCACCTCATAAAACAGAAATTCCATCGCCTCTTGAGTTTGACTTCGAACCATCCGAAGTTCCGCCGTACGAACCGGAGGTTCCAGAAGAAGAGACATTCACGCCTGAGCAACCTTCTGAAGAAACCAAAATATAAAAGAAAGAAGAGGAAGAACCTCAACCAGATACTGGTTTAATTCGATTTAGAAAAATGAAAGCCGAAGAAACCGAGGGAACTCCCGAAGAACGATGTCAATTCAAATACCCAAAGCACCTAAGCCAGACGAAGAACAACCCGAGATCAAACTCAAACCATTCAAAAAGCCACAACCAGACACAGAAACAGACAAAGATGAACCAGATCGTGACATGAAACTACCCAAGTTCGAACCTTCGTCTCCTCAAATAAGTGACGACGAGAGAGACGACGTTCCGAAAACAAAGAAAATAAAACGCAAGAAGGATATCAAAACCAAAAGATTCTCCTGACACACTGGAAGAGAAAGAAGAACCTGTACCCTATGGTGACACTATGGACACAGAACAAAATGATTTTCCACGTAAGTTTTACAGTTTTACACTAAACTGCGCATTGCGAGAAATATGAGTGAACTATTTGCTTTCCTTCGTGGATACACACATGCGAATACTTGTTACGATTTGAGTATTTTGTAACATTAAGATTTCATTGCTTTATATACATATATACAGGTTTTCGCTATTACAAAGGTGAAGTGAGTTACTCAAATATAGAAATTTCTAGCAATATAATTTACTTAAACAGATTTTAAATAAAACTAGATTCAGCAAATAATAGTCATAGGTATCATAAGCTGTTTATGCATACATATCCACAGAAAGCACTATGTTCTTTATTGGGCATTTATTACGCATGTATTGACTGCTGCTATAAAACATATTATATATATATGAGTTCGTCTTTACCAAAGAAAAACAATAAAATAATAAGAATACATAGGGAAATACTCTAACTAATATCAATGTAACATACACGCCATACTAAGCGAATCGACGATAAACAGAGAAAATAATTTTCATAATATATCTTACAGAGAGAGATACAACTCACCCAAAGAAAGATATCCCGGAAACAAAACCTACAACAGCAGAGAAACCATCAGACATACCCCTTATTCCAACAGATGAAAAACCACAAAAAGGAGAAGAACTTCCGGAAACGATCGAAGACTTGCCTTCTGAGGAGGCTCCTGGCGAGGAAGAGAAGCCTAAGAAGAAGAAGGTGGTGAAGAAGGTAAAGAAGGGCGAGGAGCCCAAAGAAGAGACAGAAATGGTACCGAAACCTGTTGAAGAGGAACAGGTGCCTGAAGAAATCCCCGAAACCACCGAAGAAGTACCCTTTGAGGAGGCTCCAGGCGAGGAAGAGAAGCCTAAGCAAAAGAAGGTGGCGAAGAAGGTAAAGAAGGGTGAAGAGATCAAAGAAGAGACAGAAATGGTTCCGAAACCTGTCGAAGAGGAACAGGTGCCTGAAGAAATCCCCGAAACCACCGAAGAAGTACCCTTTGAGGAGGCTCCTGGCGAGGAAGAGAAGCCAAAGAAGAAAAAGAAGGTGATCAAGAAACTGAAGAAAGACGATGAACTCGATCTGATTCAGAAAATGATTGAAATGGATATTCCCAAGACCGAACTTGAGAAATATGAGAAGTTTGAAGACGAAGAAAAACCCACAAAGAAACCAAAGATCAAGGAAGAATACCAAGCGGAAAAACCGAAACCCGAGAAAATAGAGAGGAAAGAAGTCAAACCAACCAATGAAATTGTGAACAGTATTCCGGAGTTGCCTCAGAAGTTGAAGCTATAGAAAACCGAAACCAATGAGAAAACAAACAAGCAGTGATGAAAATCAGTTTGCCGAAGACGAAACTCAAGAGCAAGATTCACTCGTGTGAATATCCCCAGAGCATCAGTTGATTGTGAACCGAACATGAATTACAATTTAGGGGATCACTGGAATATTATATAGAACATATTGAAGAAGCTGAGAAAATTGCTCGAAGAAAACCTAAGATCAAGAAATTCAAACCTACGAAAGAGATCAAGGATGATAGAGAGCATCAGCTTGAAAAGTATGAGAAAGTGTACGAGAGCAGTTCAGATGAGTCTCCGGAAAGGAGGGTTACAAGAGAACCAAGAAGAAAGTAAGGTAAAGAAGCACCAGCGAAAACACTGAAAATGGGAAAGGGGTTTAAAGTGAAAACGACAAAAGAAGAAGCTCCGGAGGAGGTCAAACTGAAAGGTATTCCCGGAAAAGAGCCCAAGGAAGAGGTAGAGGAGGAAAAGAAACCGAAGAAGGAAAAACCTGAGGAAGATAAACCAAAGAAAAAGAAGTCACCTCATAAAACAGAAATTCCATCGCCTCTTGAGTTTGACTTCGAACCATCCGAAGTTCCGCCGTACGAACCGGAGGTTCCAGAAGAAGAGACATTCACGCCTGAGCAACCTTCTGAAGAGAAACCAAAATATAAAAGAAAGAAGAAGGAAGAACCTCAACCAGAGACGGTTGAAATTCCATTAGAAAAAGGAAAGCCGAAGAAACCCGAGGAAACTCCCGAAGACGATGTCAAATTCAGAATACCCAAAGCACCTAAGCCAGACGAAGAACAACCCGAGATCAAACTCAAACCATTCAAAAAGCCACAACCAGAAACAGAAACAGACAAAGATGAACCAGATCGTGACATGAAACTACCCAAGTTCGAACCTTCGTCTCCTCAAATAAGTGACGACGAGAGAGACGACGTTCCGAAAACAAAGAAAACAAAACGCAAGAAGCCAGATAAAAACGAGGAGGTTCCAATTGTATCACTCACTTCTGAAGAAACTGAAATTCTAGACACCGCATTAGAGAAAATTCCTATTGAAACAGTTCGTAAGTTTCTTTTTACTGTTTTTAATAATTGATATATTGTTCATATAAGAAACCAAAAAGATAACCAGGCAATGTATAATTACAGATGGTATATAGTGAAAATAGCATTTAGAGGGCAATTTTTTACTTGTTTTTTTTTAATGATCTTATGCAATAACTGTTTTTATTACTTTTTTCTACTTTTTCCTATAGAAACTACAGTAGGTGATTCTCCAATTACAGAAGATAAAGAAGTGAAACAACCCACAGAAGAAAAGACTGACGAAGATGATAAAACGAAGAAGAAAAAGAAGGTCATCAAGAAGCCGAAGAAAGACGATGAGCTCGATCTGATTCAGAGAATGATTGAAATGGATATTCCCAAGACCGAGCTTGAGAAATATGAGAAGTTTGAAGATGAAGAGAAACCCACAAAGAAACCAAAGATCAAGGAAGAATACCAAGCGGAAAAACCGAAACCCGAGAAAATAGAGAGGAAAGAAGTCAAACCAACCAAAGTTGAAATTGTTGAAGTATCGGAGTTGCCTCAGAAGTTGAAGCTTAGAAAACCGAAACCAATTGAGAAAACAAGCAGTGATGAAATCAGTTTTCCGAAGACGAAACTCAAGAGCAAGATCACTCGTGTTGAATATCCCCCAGAGGCAATCAAGTTGATTGTGACTGACATGAATACAATTAGGGATACTGGAATATTATCTAGAAATATTGAAGAAGCTGAGAAATTGCCGAAGAAAACCAAGATCAAGAAATTCAAACCTCCGAAAGAGATCAAGGATGATCTAGAGAGGCCTCAGCTTGAAAAGTATGAGAAGTACGAGAGCAGTTCAGATGAGTCTCCGGAGAAGGAGGGTTACAAGAGACCCAAGAAAGAAAGTAAGGAAGAAGAACCAGATTCGAAAACACTGAAAATGGGAAAGGGTAAAGTGAAACCGAAAGAAGAAGAAGCTCCGGAGGAGGTCAAACTGAAAGGTATTCCCGGAAAAGAGCCCAAGGAAGAGGTAGAGGAGGAAAAGAAACCGAAGAAGGAAAAACCTGAGGAAGATAAACCAAAGAAAAAGAAGTCGCCTCATAAAACAGAAATTCCATCGCCTCTTGAGTTTGACTTCGAACCATCCGAAGTTCCGCCGTACGAACCGGAGGTTCCAGAAGAAGAGACATTCACGCCTGAGCAACCTTCTGAAGAGAAACCAAAATATAAAAGAAAGAAGAAGGAAGAACCTCAACCAGAGACGGTCGAAATTCCATTAGAAAAAGGAAAGCCGAAGAAACCCGAGGAAACTCCTGAAGACGATGTCAAATTCAGAATACCCAAAGCACCTAAGCCAGACGAAGAACAATCCGAGATCAAACTTAAACCATTTATAAAACCAACGGTGGAAGATGATGAGGAAGTAATGGCAAAGGTATCACTTAAGAAAGAACCTAAACCTGAACCAGAAGAAGTTGCTGAAGCGGTGAAGATAAAGAAGAAGAAGCCGAAGAAACCAACTGAAGATACTGAAGAAGTCGTTTTGAAAATCCAGAAGCCGGAAGAAGTAGCGGAAGAGGTTGTGATCAAGAAACCGACAAAGGAGGAAACGGAAGAGGTCGAGGTGGAGTTCAAACTGAAGGAGGAACCTAAACCTGAACCAGAAGAAGTTGCTGAAGCGGTGAAGATAAAGAAGAAGAAACCGAAGAAGCCAACTGAAGATACTGAAGAAGTCGTTTTGAAAATCCAGAAGCCGGAAGAAGTAGCGGAAGAGGTTGTGATCAAGAAACCGACAAAGGAGGAAACGGAAGAGGTCGAGGTGGAGTTCAAACTGAAGGAGGAACCTAAACCTGAACCAGAAGAAGTTGCTGAAGCGGTAAAGATAAAGAAGAAGAAACCGAAGAAGCCAACTGAAGATACTGAAGAAGTCGTTTTGAAAATCCAGAAGCCGGAAGAAGTAGCGGAAGAGGTTGTGATCAAGAAACCGACAAAGGAGGAAACGGAAGAGGTCGAGGTGGAGTTCAAACTGAAGGAGGAACCTAAACCTGAACCAGAAGAAGTTGCTGAAGCGGTGAAGATAAAGAAGAAGAAGCGAAAAACAACTGAAGATACTGAAGAAGTCGTTTTGAAAATCCAGAAGCCGGAAGAAGTAGCGGAAGAGGTTGTGATCAAGAAACCGACAAAGGAGGAAACGGAAGAGGTCGAGGTGGAGTTCAAACTGAAGGAGGAACCTAAACCTGAACCAGAAGAAGTTGCTGAAGCGGTAAAGATAAAGAAGAAGAAACCGAAGAAGCCAACTGAAGATACTGAAGAAGTCGTTTTGAAAATCCAGAAGCCGGAAGAAGTAGCGGAAGAGGTTGTGATCAAGAAACCGACAAAGGAGGAAACGGAAGAGGTCGAGGTCGAGTTCAAACTGAAGGAGGAACCTAAACCGGAACCAGAAGAAGTTGCTGAAGCGGTGAAGATAAAGAAGAAGAAACCGAAGAAGCCAACTGAAGATACTGAAGAAGTCGTTTTGAAAATCCAGAAGCCGGAAGATGTATCTGAAGACTTTGTTGAAGATTTTGTTATTAAAAAACCGAAGAAACCCTCTGATGAAACTGAAGAGGTAGTTGCGGAGTTTAGTATTAGGAAGGAACCTTTGCAAGAACCTGAACAAGTTGATGAAGCTGTTAAAATCAAGAAAAAGAAACCTAAGAAAACAACTGAGGAGACCGAAGAAGGTTTTCTCGTTGTACAACTACCAGAGGAGCATGAAGAAGATCAAGAAGAATCGGAAGAAATTATTGAAGATTTCGTGATTGTAAAGAAAAAGCCACCAAAGCCTATTCCTATTATTGAAGAACATACAAGTGACTATACAGTCAAAAAGTTGAAACAGGTACGAAAACCTTCCAGGCCAGATATTCCGGAAGTAACCGATGTCGAAAATGTTACATTCCGTCCAAAAAGAACTACTACAAAAGAGGATATCGAGCAAGAGTTCAATATTCAGTTGGACTCTTATGCTGAAGAAGAAATTTCTATGTCTGGAAAAGTACGATTAAAGAAAACTAAACCATTTTCTTATTCTGAAGAGGCTGGAGAAGCATCAATCAAACTAATTCAATCATATGAAGACGATGGTGGTCCAATTATTGAAGAAATAATTGATGATATAAGTGAGCACGAGGATACTATGTTTGACATTGACGAGCCTGAGGAGTTTTCCGATAGTATATTCCTAGAAGATGAACCTGACAGTGTAAGTTTCAAGCTGAAAGGGAAACACGTTAAACAAGAATATCGTATTGAAGACATTGAAGAGGACATATCTTTGGATATACCATACAAAAAGAAGGAGAGAATCAGCTATGAAGAAGATTCACTCACACTGAAAACAAAACGAAGAAAGCCTCTGCACACGTTCTTAGAAGGTAGGGAAAAGAAAACAATTATCTTACTGTGTTGCTGAGAAAATAATTAAGCAATGTGATGGGTTTTCTTAAAAAAAAAAAAAAAGAATTGCACACATTTATTTACTTTTTATTCTTTTCGCTTCCAGCTTTCGCTTTATATATGCAGTACTACCGCAATTATTATAATGCCCAGAAAGTTAATAAGAATCACACAAAATTTAATATACATCATATTTTACATAGGATGCTTATTAATATTTGAAAATTCTTCAATATATTGCACCAATTAAATGCTCACTCATTAATTTAGCAAGAGAAGGTAACTTTGAAGAGTTGCTAATTTATACTAAAATTACTTAATCACACATTTCACAGTCATAAAAGTGTTTCTAACTTTGATGTGATAATGTACTAATCACAATTTATGTTCAAAATAATATTTTACATCATAAAATAACAACCATATTGGTGATTTTCAGAAAATGCTTCTCTGCAAATAACCAAGGAGTTCGAAACAGAAGTTCTCGCCGATGAGGAATTACTAATGTACTCTATCTGCACATACGTTGCTGAAAATGAAGAAGCACTGAATCTGGTTGAAGGCGAAAAGGTTTATGTAATAGGTATGTATTTTTAAAATAATTCTGATTATTCAGTAACTAAATGCCCTAATATTTACAGAGCAACAAAATGCTGACTGGTGGTTTGTGAGAAAATATTTAACTGAGGACAGAGGTTGGGTACCAGCTCAATGTCTTATGGATGAAGTCTCCTACACCCACTATGTGCAGAAAAAGCTTAATGAGAAGATCGACAAATTGCCAGTCTTTGAACGTAGGTTTCCTCTAAAAAAGACTCACTTACATCTTAATTTTTACACGCAATTCAAACATTTCTAGGCCCAGGACCTGCAGAAAAGACTCTAGCACCGAAGTTTATAGAGAAACTTCAACCACAGCATGCCCCTGACGGTTATACAGTTCAATTTGAGTGCAAAGTTGAGGGTCTTCCAAGACCACAGATCACTTGGTTCCGCCAGACAGCTATCATTAAGCCATCTGAAGACTTCCAAATTTACTACGATGAGGACAACGTAGCCACTTTGATTATCCGTGAAGTGTTCCCTGAAGACGCTGGTACATTCACTTGCGTGGCTAAAAATGCTGCCGGATTCGCATCTAACAGTACTGAGCTGGTCGTTGAGACACCATTATCAGATCATGGATCTGACGCTACAGGTCTCTCAAGGAAATCAATGTCTAGAGAGTCTTCTTTGGCGGACATCTTGGAAGGTATACCGCCAACATTCTCACGACGACCAAGAGCTCAATACGTGGACGAAGGTACAAATGTTCTACTAGAGTGCCGTTTAGTTGCGATACCAGAGCCGGACATTTATTGGACGTACAACGGCGAAGAAATTCAAACTAAGGAGAATGTCAAGATTGTGACAGAGTCAGATATGCACATGTACTGCAGTATTCTTTCAATAACGAATGTGAAAAAGAAACAAGAGGGAACTTATGAAGTTGTTGCTAGTAACAGAGAGGGTGAAGCAAAACTACCCATCATCTTGAAGGTGAAAACTGGAGATAAAGAACCACCACAGATTTTAGAACCACTTAGAAATATCATTATTAGAGAAGGTGAAAGTGTCATCTTGAGCACTCATATTATAGGCAATCCAACTCCAAAAATAACATGGTTCAAAAATGGAGAACAGATAAAGGGCAACAAGAAGACAGAGAAAGACATTCACACAGTGAGCATAATTTCTCCAACAAAGGAAGATAGTGGAGAATATGTTGTAAAGGCTGTGAATTCATCTGGAAGTGTAGAGACCTCTTGTATTCTGACAGTTGAAGAACCCGAAAGTGGAAATCCGGAAGCACCATTCTTCGTAGAACGCTTTGAGGAACAGAGTGTACCGCAAAACGGAACAATTAAGCTCCCGGCGAGGGTTTTGGGTAATCCTGTTCCTGAAGTTCTGTGGCTTTACAATAATAGCCCACTGTATCCATCCGATAGAGTGAAACAATCGTATGATGGCGAGAATATTGAATTATTGATTAAAAATGCTGATTCCGAAAGAGATTCTGGCAACTACAAATGTATAGCTAGTAATCCCATCGGAAAGGCATCCCACGGTGCTAGAATTACAGTTGAAGTGGATGATGTTGTATTCACGAAGAAGCTCCGAAAGCACGTTGTTGTTGAAGAGACACATAGGCTTATCCTTGAGTGCGAAACATCTCATACAGTCCTCACGAAGTGGTATCAGAATGACAAAGAAATCACTGGAATGGATCATCGTATAATAGTGCAAGAAGGTCATATTCACAAACTAATTATTCGCAATGCAAGTATGAAGGATGCCGGCACATACAGATGCACAGTGAAGAACCAAGTGACAAAATCAAGTGTTGAAGTATTGGAATGCAAGCCGGAGTTTATTCGCAAGCTGGAAGACGTGGAAACCAAAGAGAAAGAGGTTTTGGTGCTAGAAGTCGAGATTACATCAGATACGGCTGAAGTTATTTGGTACAAAGACGGTGAAAGGGTGCAAGAGGCCGACAATAAGAAGTTTGTAAAAGATGGACATGTACGAAAACTCCTTGTTCGTGGTATATCAATTCACGATGAAGGCGAATACTCATGTACAGTTGGTGATCAGGAGTGCACAGCCGAAGTGAATGTAATCGAATTGCCACCAGAGCTGCTCAAAGGACTTGAAGACGTCACGTGTGTCAAAGGTGACAAAGCCACGTTTGAAATCGAACTGACAAAGGGCGATGCTCTTGTGAAATGGTTCAAGAATGGTAAAGAGCTCCAATTCAATAAGCATGTTCAACTAACAATTGATGGCAAGCGACAGAAACTCAACATTTACGATACAGAATTAAGCGATCAGGCTGAGTATTCATGCAAAGTCGCTGATAATGTTTCCACCGCACGCTTGACTGTGGAAGAACCTCTAGTTGACTTTATTATCAAGCTTCCTGATACCACCACCGTTACTAAAGACACAAATGCTACATTTACTGTGGAACTCACAAAGCCAGACGTGGAGACAGTTTGGTACAAGAACGACAAGAAGATCAAACAATCAAGCAAGTATACCATCGAGGTTGAGGGCACTATTCGCCGTCTCATTGTTCACGACTGTACAGAAGAGGATGAGCATAGCTACTCATGCAGTGTTCTCAACCGTAAGACGGTGTCTAAGCTGAGAGTACAAGGTAATATCTATATGAACTTCAATATTTAATATGATTTAAACAATCTCTTAACTTGCAGAAATGCCTAAACCACCGAGTGTCACAGTAAACCAAAAGGCATACAAGGTCAGAAAAGATGAAAGTGTGACATTCACTGTTAAGCTAGCAGGAACACCAAAACCAACTGTCGAATGGTACACTTCTGGAAAGGTTGTTAAGAAATCTCCAAGAGTGTTTAAGGAATTCGATGAGGAGTCAGCTAGCTTAACTATCAAAAAGGTTGTTGAGTCTGACGAAGGTGACTACACAATTCGTGTTACCAACCCAAGTGGTGAAGTAGAAGCAACCGTCCACTTAACAATTACACGTATGTTTTGTTAATATACTTCGTACAGATAATAAGATGTATCTTAATGATCTTGACATTGATTTTTCAGGTCCACCATCGCGACCTGGAGCTCCTGAACCAGTTTCTGTGGCAAACGACTCACTCACACTCTATTGGAAGGTACCAGAAGATGATGGTAACTGTGAGATTATAGAATACATTCTGGAATATCATGAGAAGAAGATCACAGAATGGACTACCATACATCAAATATCTGAAACAACGTACACTGTAGAAAAATTAACAACCAACAGTGAGTATACCTTCCGTGTTAGTGCAGTGAATGAAGCTGGCAGAAGCGAACCATCGCCGGAGTCACCATACATCAGAGTAAAAGCACCAACTGAGAAGGAAGCACCCATTATTCAAGAACCACTCAATGACGTGTCGATAGGACGAGGAAAGCCTTTAACACTATCATGTGTCATTGGTGGTCAACCCGTGCCAGAAATTTCTTGGTTCAAGAATGGCAAATCCATAAAAACTACGAAAACTAGTTATGAAAATCGCATAGCTAAATGTTACATCGAAGAAACTACGGAAAAGACCACAGCTAAATACACTTGCAAAGCCGTTAATGAAATCGGACAGGCTGAGACATCGTGTAATGTTAAGATCGAAGAACGGCCTGAAATCATAATTGACGATTCCGATATATCTATTCAGCGTAAAGTTGGTACAACATGGAAGGTGACAGCCAACATCTCTGGTTTTCCCTTCCCATCGGTGTCGTGGTACAAGAATGATGTGAAGATCGAAACCAGCACAAAGTACTCCATTACCACAGTTGAGAAGACCACAACTATCTTAATTGAGAATGTTGAGAGATCAGATACGGCAAAGTACAGAATAGAAGCAAGTAATTCATGCGGAAAGTCCGAAGTTGAGCTTACGCTGTCGGTTATTGACAAGCCCAGCAAGCCTGAAGGTCCTATTCAAGTGAAGGACGTAAGAAAGGACTCACTGGTCATTGAGTGGAAACCACCAGAAGATGATGGTGGTTTGGATATTGTCAAGTATTCCATTGAGAAGTGTGACCAAGAGAAGGGAACATGGATCAAGGTGGCAGATGTTAAAAAGGGCATCGATGCGTACTGTATACAGAGACTGGCACTAAATGCCCAGTACTTGTTCAGAGTTTGCGCTGAAAATCCCGTAGGCACTTCTGAGCCTTTAGAGAGTGAACCTGTCACCATTAAGAAGATCATTGGTAAGAAAGTAAATGGCATGAGTAGCAAAAATTTGTACTAATGGCGGATATTTTTCAGAAAAACCAACACCACCTCGAGGCCCTATTGCCATATCTTCAATGGAAGACACTTGCTGTACAATCATCTGGCAAGCATCTGAATATGACGGAGGCAGTCCAATTATCGAATACATCATAGAAATTAAGGAAACAAACGAGACAACATATAAAACTGTTGGTTCCACATATAGCGAATGTACAACGTTGCTTATAGAAAATCTAGTCAAAGGCAATGTCTATGATGTACGAATATCCGCGAGAAATGAAATTGGACAGAGTGGATATTTAGAGAGTTCGCAGACATTTACAGCCGGACAGAAGTTATGTGAGTAGCCATCGAAGTGTAATTCTTCCACGGAGACTTAATTGATCTCAATTTTCAGATCCACCCTCGTGCCCAAGAAACCTCCGTTGCATCGATGTCACAAGCCGAAGTGCAACCATTGAATGGGAAGCACCCGAAAGCAATGGTGGCACTGAAATAACAGGATATGTCGTTGAGAAGAGGATAGCAACATCGAAGAAATGGACAAGGGTTGTAACTCTAGAGTGTTACAATCTGCAATACACCATTGAGAATCTGAAAGAGAAATCCGAATTTATTTTCCGCGTGTACGCTGAAAACTCCATTGGCCTCAGTGAACCAGCCGAGACTGAAAATATTCTGCTCAATCCAAATGCGAGTAAGTGTTTTATGTTCACAAAATTAAGGGCACATATAGTGATGTTCGCTTAATGATTTGTATCCTCTCCCAGCCGTTCCATCACCACCAACTGCCCCGCTGGAAGTTCGTGTTGTTGGACCGAATCTTCACGCCATTGAATGGGGCATCCCAGAGTCAGACGGAGGTGCACCGCTGAAGGGATACACCATTGCAATTCGCGACGTGAAGAAGACCATGTGGATGGAAGTGGGCCAAGTGCCGGCTGGTACACAGAAATTCCAAATCCGAGATCTGCAAGACAACCACGACTATCTCATTCGGATATTCGCACGCAATGAGATAGGGTTGAGCGATCCATTGGAATCTGAGGAGCCCTACACAGTTTTGCCCATGTCCGGTAAGTGCCATCGTGATCAGGCTGAAAAGCAGTCAAATCCTCACTTTACTTTTGCCCAAACAGATGTCGGCGACGATGAGCATCACCCAGAGGAGACTCGGTCTGGACTGACGGAGCCCACGGGCTTCAGCACAGAGAACACGTCTTCGTGGCTGCGAGAGCACAACATGGACGCCGATATCAAGTCTTACGCCAGGGCGAAACTGCTGAGGAAGGACGAATACTTCTTCAAAGTTTGGCACTATGCCAAAAAGCTATTCAAATAATTCTTTTTTGTATTCTATACCTTCGAACTAGCACATAGTTGAAAACGAAATGGAAACTGTGCATACATATATTAGTAACATGAAGTTACGTTTAAATATCCTGGTCAGAAGATATTTCTCAATGAAATTTGTTGCATTCATTGAGAAATGTAATTTGTCCGCATAACCTACAACCTACGAATATTCTTTACTGTGATAAAGTATTTTACTCTAAGTCTTATCTATCTTATTTGACTTTTGAAAAAAGTGGAAGCCAACGGAATTGTGGAGATCGACAAAAGTTATTTGTATTTTGTCATATCTAAAGGAATTCACAAATTTTTTTCTCGATAGCCACAATAAGTGTATATAAAAGATTCGTTACAATATTCGAGAAAATATTTCACAAATATCTGTACATTTGTCCATTCAGGGAGACAAAATATAGGTGCAAATATTTTTTGTTCTTTTACGGCAAATGTACAATTATTTCTAGAGAATATTTTTGAATTGTTAAAGCAAATTGTTAAAAGGTGTGTTTTCCAGTTTTTCAAATAAATCCAAATAAATTACAATTGCGTTTCAATGCTCTTCAATTACAAAAGTTCCTTTATCACAGGCAATCAGAGATTTGACCGTGATAAACGCTTAAAAAGTCCAAAATTGCATTAAGGACTTGTGAGGGAGTTAATAAATACACAACTTTCTATTTTTCCTTTTTATTGTCCACTTACAATCTATGCATACTTAAATAATACACTTCAACTTACAATACACTATAATTCACTATATACCGCGTATGTATATAGGCACATTGAGCAATACTAGGCGGGTACAGGAAGAATAAGCTGTACAACTAACAAGGACTTACTAAAGACTAGCGATAGGCGCGGGAGATGGCGCTGCGTAGGAGTGCCACCGCGAGGGCGGCTAAGCCCACCAGGGCTGCGCCCCTCGTGGCCGCCAAGCGGTGCCGCAAGTACTTCAGCTCGCAGCGCTCGCCCATGAACCCTGGGGCGCACTGGCAGGCCGGCAGGTGGAGCTGTCCGATGGTGTAATTGAAGCAGGCGCCGCCGTTCAAGCAGTACGCGGTGCTGTATGGCGCACTACACGCGTTGAACTCAGGTACGGGCATTGGTCGTCTGTGGCGACTGGAACAGCCGTCTAGGGAGCAGAGAACAGAGATAAGGGAAACTGACTCTATCGCAAGGAAACTGTTCTCTCACCTGCAACTGGAAAGACGGCTGACAGTACAACCATGAAGAAGAAAATACGCTCCATCTGCTTCACATCGAATTCACTGACTAGTAAGTACATATTTACTATGTATACACAGTTAGGGTGGTAGAACTGCACAATAGAAGTAAGGCTATTATTATCTGTAAAAATAGATAGAGAAGAGAGAGAAATGTAAGCTTCACTGCATTTTTTTCATGTCTTCAAAATAAATCAATTCAATAACAATCGAAAAAAACATGCAGAAACAAAACACTTACATTTGTCGGTCATTCAGAATTACTTCCTAAACAGAGATTTGTTTCAAAACATCAAAGTCACACAAAAAACTGTACTTATGGTGAAAACACAGCATTTGTAATTTGTAATTTGTCCACGATCATTTCTTTCTTCCCCACGCGTATCGTGTATTTTCCTTCCTACTCGCACAGTGGCTGTCTCGACATGTCAGAGTCGGACGCTGACAGAGTAGGAAGGAAAATACACGAAACGCGAGGGGAAGAAAGAGATGATCGTGGACAAATTACAAATTACAAATGCTGTGTTTTCACTATTACGAAAGCCCATTGGATAGAGAGAAATAGAATAATTGTGTACAATTGGTAGATTTGTCTTATCAAATTCCAGTGGACTCTCTAATGGCATTTGCAATTGGGTTTTTCATATGGCCGCCGATTGATAGGATTAATATGCCGGAAAATACTTACCAACACACTTTCTCTAGACAAATACGCCATCGGAGAGTCACAAATAATTGGTCTTTCACCATTGAACTAATTTCAACTTCAATTGGAACACAAAACAGCTTAAATAGCATTCAAACATGCTTCTGATGCTCCTCGGACAGCTTCCCGAACATGGATAGGAAATCATGTCAGTTTTATCATGTTTCGAGTGCAATTTCACTAACCTTATCATCTTCTCATCTCCCAAAGGACACTGGACTCGCTGCAGGGCGCTGAAGTTTCCTCTGGAGCCTGAAGGCTTGAGATTTCTCACTTTTTATCCCACTATTTTCACTCGCGTTGCAAATGATCTCTCATTGTTTATAAATCGATTATTATTGATATATCGACGGAAGCGGTTGAGGATTTTTATCCAAACCCAGCAGTCCGATTGCACAGAGTGCAGAGAAATCACGGATAAATCGCTGGGTATTCTGATGATTACGCCAATTAAATTGATTTTCAGTCAATAGACTGCTTCTTTCTGTTTTCCTGCCGTTTTCCCAGGTTATCTCAATTGAATTCAAGTCATTTTCCCACTCCTTTTTTCCAATGCCATCTGAGCATGAGCACACGAAGCGCCTTGCTACGCCACCTTTGATGAAAATTTCCCGCTATTTCGGATGCGTTTGGGGAAATTTTCTCTGCTGTCTTCATTTGCCTTTCAGTCTTTCGATATTGCTATAGATATTCGCACGTCCCATCCGCAATAAAATTGATTCCGGGGTGAAAGAGTGAAAATTTTGAAAATCATCAAGAAATTCTCACTATTTTCGGTTTATCACTGCGGTTTGGGACGTCTTTGCGTGTTTGTTTTGGGCGTGCAAGTGTGAGAAAAGTGTGGAAATTTGCGGAGAGAGAAGAGAAAAATTGGGTGGAAAATTTTTTTCTTTCTCCCCAAAAACTAGTGTCTGTGTGAAAAAGGGTAGAAAAGGAAGTGTCTCTTCGAAAAAGTCTTCAGAGAGATATTTCCGCATTTGTAGAGTGAAAACAGAGGATTAGAAGTTCACAGAGTTACAACTGGAGAAGATAATTCAGCGTCACTGATTGAGTGTGGACTTGTAGATTGTGAAGAAACATGTAAGTTGAAAATGTCCCCATTTTATTGATTTTCCGCAACTTTTCCATTTTTAACATCCACCCACTTTTGGCATTTCTCCATGATTTTTCCCTTCGCTATTCCTTCGATTTATCCACACTTTTCATTCCCCAAATTCATCGCTAACACACACAAAACTGAGAAATTTCTCTCTAGGAAAAATTCCTAAAATTGAGGATGGAAAAATATCTTAACCATGAATATTGTATTCGGTGAGATGTGTTGAGGGAAAATATTGATTTTTCCCCCCAAAATACACTACATTTTACATTGCCTGAGATTTGAGAGAAAAAAACGGGCTTTGTGTTGTAGAAATTACGTAAATTACATATTACACTTGTAGGTAATCCTAAAGTTATTTCAAGAATAAAACTCTATTGGTTCAACCTCAATTGTGCAAATAGAAAATAGTTTTTTTGACTAACTCATTCTCATTTTATACATATTCAAGGATCACCAAAATTCGGATAAGAATAAAATTCGCTAAAGCAATTGAAGAATTTCTCCCAAAACCGATAACTGAATTGGAAGGTTCAAAAGTAAAGGTTCTCGTTTTTGACCTACATTTAACCTTTGGCTTGATAAATGGGTAAAAATAGACAATTTTAATTTTTACAGGTCGACCGAAGCCGAGTAAGTTAAAAATACACGTTCTGACACTGCTTAGCATAACTAAATCAAAAAATTAAGTGCTTAAAATAAGCTTGATAATCTCATTTCATTCCAAAATATGCAACCATGAACAATGGCAATTCTAATAAATCGAAAAGCTCTCTGCCTTTGATATTTATTGTTACATTTAGTTGTAATAAAAGGGAAAAATAAAACTTTGATAATTCTTTCAGAACAACTGAGAAGGAGTAAGTTTGAATATTATGTTCAAAAGATCTGTTCATATGTCTTCGCTAAGCTACAATTTATTGAAACAGCGAAATCGAATACATTCTAGTTAAAAGAGAATATTTAAAATAAAAATTACAGAAATCGGAAGAGTAAAATTCTTGCTCTTTGCTTTTATACTCATGTTTTTCTTAATCTTCAGATAAGTAAATGTGAAACGTGTTAATTTTTCAGAACAACTGAACAGGAGTAAGTTTGAATATTAATTCCAAAATACCTGTTCGTGTTTTCTCGCTAAGCTACAATTTATTGAAATCGAATACATTTCAAATACGGATTCTAATTAAGACAGAATAATAAAAAGCACTGAAATCGGAAGAGTAAAATTCTTGCTCTTTGCTTTTTACCTATTTTTCCTATCCGTAAGTAAGTCCAGATAAGTAAATGTGAATCGTGTTAATTTTTCAGAACAACTGAACAGGAGTAAGTTTATTAGTTCATATCAAAAATGCCTCAAAAGAGTATAAAATTTCTTGCAAATCAGTGTTAAGGCAATCAAATTCTATCCTTTAATCGTAAAACAGAAAAGTAAATTTTTGGTAACTTTTTCCAGAACTACTGAAAAGGAGTAAGTTCGAAATGAAAACTTCGTTGATCATCTATTTTAACTTCTTGCTTAGCCAAAAGAGGTTTCAAATTTTCAATATAAAAAATCACTGTAAAACCGAATAAGATTGAATAACAATTGAGTGGAATATTATCGCTTTTAGCCTCTTTTTTTAACCTTTTCACCTTAACTTATAATTGTAAAATAAATACATTTGAATTTTTGCAGACAAACTGAGATTGAGTAAGTTTGTTCAGACCTTAAACGACAATTTATTTTGGAATTTTGCTTCAACATTGAAAAATAAATCAGAAAAATATCTGTAAAAACAATTAAAAACCTACAATTAATTTTGCAATATTGAAAAATATTCAATCGTTATGAGTTATTAACATCAGACGAATTAAATGTGTTATTCAAAGAGCGCCTGCAGAGCTTTTGATAAAGTATCAAAGAGCTTAAAAGCTTCGTGAAAATATCCTGTCAATTTATTGAAAAAAAAAAATGGTGTTAAAATCTGCCATAAACACTCGCGATGTCCTTTTGTCCCGTGATATTCTATTATTAACTCACTGGGATTTCCGGGAAAATCCTGTTCCGTGCTGCGAAGGAGAAATTTCATGAATGGAGCGCGCTAACTGACGCAGTGGAGAAAAAGTTGAGGAACCTAGCGATTTTTCATGAATGGGCGAGTGAAGTGTACAATGTCTCCCTAGCGATCATCAAATTCTTTAGTCATTAATGGGCAAAGGGTTTCGGCAAATAATGCAAATGAGTCTATATATAAAAATCACACTCATCACACTCCACACTCTCTTGTCGCCGAAACACTGGACGACCTCCATTTGTCAAGGGTACAATGAATGCGTATTTGAGAGTGGATAATACCCAATTGTCGACTTCCGAAGGATATGACCTCATCCCGGCTCAGTCGACATCCTTTTTCACCAGCACATCCTGATCTCAAGAGATGCGCGAAGACGAGAGGAGCAAATGGCGAGGCATCTCTCCGGGGCTACATTCCGATTTGGCATTTTTTCTTCTTTAAAGTGAAAATGCATAGCCGAAGAAAGAATTTCATAATTTCGACGACGGATTGAAGTCTCTCGGTGGATGGGAAATTGCTGGGCATGCGCCTTCGGTGGCCTATCGATCCGCACACGAATCGCGTCAGTAACAGCAGCAGAAGCAGCACTTTGTCGGTCTCCCCACACAGACGTTCAATCTCCTCCCAACCATTCGCACCCGCAATCTCTCCCTCTCGCTCTCGGCATTTCCACACTCAGACAGAAATGCACATTTCCCGGGGGGATTAATTGCACAATGAGACACCTTCTTTTTCGCGAGCAATATTGCGGTGAGCGAATGAGATTATTTTCGCCTATTTTCACATTTCCAGTGAATTTCGGGATAATACTGGTTTTTCATCATGTTTTTTAATGTAAAACTCAATAAAATAATAAAATTTCAATATTTTTAACAAAATAATTAAAAAATTTCAAATAAATTCAAATATTCAATATTCAAAAAGACACAAAATTCGCCACAAGCTGGATTTGAACACCTAAAATGAGGAGAAAATACATTCGGAACTCCAACATGCCTTTCAAGTTTACATTGCTGCCCTCTAGCGGCAATATAATAATGATAATAATGCTTTTATAGAGTGTTCGTTGCTATTCTTAATCAAAATCATATTTATAAGCAAAAAAAAAGTATCAAATTTTGCCTTTTATAATAAATACTTTTCTTCTCGCTGTAAAAAGTTGTAAAATTTCTCAATAATACCTTAATCAAACACCTTTTTTCTGCGTAAAACTTTATGTAATTAATGGGATATGATCGATTTCAGTCTCTCTAAGACGATTTTATTCTTACTACTTGAATCTGTCTAATGCCAAACAATTTACTCGCTTCGTCAGAGCGTCAGTCTGAGACTGATTTACTGATACTTTTGCTGTGTTTCTCAGGGCTGCTCCCGATGGACTCGCTCCTGCCGCTCCCGGCGGTGAACCCAACGAAGATGGAATTGTCGGTGGACCAAGAACACCCCAACAAATAGCGGCTCAGAAGCGACTCCAACAGACCCAGGCGCAGGTGGATGAGGTGAGATTAATTGCTGAACTGCAGATTTGTCCCCTTTCTTCACTGACAAACTCCTCCTCTGGCGCTTTGTAGGTCGTGGACATCATGAAGACGAATGTGGAGAAGGTCCTGGAGAGAGATCAGAAGCTTTCCGAGTTGGATGATCGAGCTGATGCTCTTCAGCAGGGCGCGTCACAATTTGAACAGCAAGCTGGCAAATTGAAACGAAAATTCTGGTTGCAGAATCTAAAGGTGATAATGAGTTTGCACTTTATTAATTATTCAATGAAAATCAATTACAAACACCCACACGCCAGTCTGTGTAAATGCAGCGAACGCATTTTGAAATTTCTCTCCCACACTGAAAATTATTGAAATTTGTTATTTTCCCACCGTCGTGTCGGCAAAAGGGCAAAAATGGGAGGGGTGAAATTGTGGGGGAAAAAAATACAGCATGAATTTGTGAAAAGGTCATAAGTTAAGTAAAGCAATATGTATAATTAAATGTTTCCGTTCTGAGGAGTAATTCAGCTTCGGAGATATCAATGAATATTGTGGCAAACAGTCCATGGAATATTCATGATAAACAGCAAATGACATTTAAGTCGACAAGAAGGAAAATCTCAAATATAGGGAAAATTGATAAGCAAATATCAAAATTGATCATTTGCAAGAGGGTCGCATTGAATTGAATCCTTCCTTTCATTTCAGATGATGATAATCATGGGCGTCATTGGACTCGTTATACTTGCGATAATTGTAGGTAAGTTTCCAATTGGAATAATTGCTGTGAATATAAATTTTCATCTCAGCAGAGAACGACATATAAAGAAGTGATAACATTGCTTCACAGGCTGTCATCCTCATTCAATCCCATGCTTTTCTTTCTCTCAAATCTCATTCGCCAAATGACCAACAACATTTTTGTACTAATTTTCCTATATGAATAAGAGTTGCAAGCAAAAAGAAAAAAAGAAGAAGACGAAGAAGTGAAGACATGAAATTTGAAGATAAAGTATTAATCACAAAATTGATGCTTTTGTCTCCCATCTGTTTTTTTTAGCAAACTTCATGTAGACGGCTAATAAAACAATGTATTAAAAATTCATCAGTTTTCGCCTAAATACCAAACTCACAATCTTAATCAGGTTCGATAAAAACTATTCGAAATTACTTGTATAAAAATAATTGTCGTGCAAAATGTGGTATTTAACAATTATTCTCATCTCCAATTGTCTTAATCTCAGTATTTTTTTCCTTTTTTTTCTCTGTATTTTCCACATTTATTTCCCTTTTTCTTTCCTTTCTGTGTATTTTATTTACGAGCTGATAAAATATTATACTTTTTTTTCTCTGAATTAGATGTAATTTTCCTTCCTTTCCCTTATCAAATATATTTCTTACTTTATGTGCTTCAAATAACCTTTCAAGGGGGCCAAAGACCCCTGAATCTGATGTCTTTCTTCATCTATCATGAGTACATAATTGTGTTTCTTTTGGTATTGTGTATCCCTTCTTTGTGTATTGCACGGTAATCCAAGATAGTAGTAGCTTGTAGCTGCTGTACAAATGAAATCTCTCTCCTACAAGACAAAATCAATGAAAAATACATATTTCTCAATCCAAATTCCATACTTTGCTATTCGGATTAGCAAGCTTAACTTGTCTTATAAATGTTTCTGTATTATTCAAGTTTAATTTTTGATGTTTTTATCACTGTTAGTTGAACACGAATAAAAGAAAAAATGTCTTGTGATGATAATTTGTATGAGAAAAATAATACAATTTGAGGAAAAGACACCAGACACGTCACAATTTCTACTACTTTGTGTTTTATAACTTCTCCTTTTTCCCTTCTTCAATCTTTTTATTTACACTTTATTCAGCAAAATCTCTGAGACAATTATTCCAAATCAAATGAAAAGTCAAACTGTTCAAAGAAAAACGTAATTCTGAACTTGATACACGTCAAACTACTTAATAATCAAAAATACAGAAAGAAGATTAAGAAGAAAAAATATGGTAAATTAGGAAATTAATTCACATTCACCTGTTCAACCACTAAAAATCACTTTTACTCACAAAATCACAGTTGAAATTAAATATTTTTTAGTTACAATTACTCTCATTTCTGTCTCAAATCAGCATACAAAAGCGTCTCTTTCTTGATACAACAGCAACAAATATACTTGAATTGATGTGAAAAACCTTACAAAACAAAGAAAGGAGTTTGTCATAGTTAAAAACATTAAAAAATCATAAATTTGGAGTTGTTTAATGAATGGAACAGAAAAATGGCTCAAAATGAGAGTTTTCTTGAGAAACTCTCACAAATTTCAACCTTTCGCTATAAACGAAATGACAAACTCCTTTGAAGACATCACATTGAACACGTAATTTGGAGGACAAGTGAAACATTAAGACTCTGATTAGAACACAAGTGAATATATATATTCGTCTTAGCATTGTGGGAATGCCTTCTGATTTAGAGAAATTGCCATTAAACTGCAGAGGCTAAGATTTATCCTGAATTACGAGTTCAATTGAATGTATATTTACTATTATTTTGTGGAATTTCTATACTTTTCTTTTTTTGTTTCCTAGAAAGTCTCCCCGGAGACATTTTATGATAATATGACGAAGACACATGTTTGCGGATTGAGCAATTTCTGTTGGGGGGGAATTATAATGATGCCTCTTTGTCTTTGCCAGCCAAATTCATGCCACAGGATCAGGCTCAGCAACCTCAGTACTACATGCCGCCGCCACAGGTGGCTCAGGCACCAGTCGCGGCGGCCGCCCCCGCTGCTCCGGCCGCCGCCGCGCCGGCCGCTCTTGTCGATGATCATCTCCACGCCCACGATCGCGCAATCAACTAAGCAAGCAGCGACTTTGCCAGGATGATCACTAATCTTATAAAGTTTCCTCTAACATTTAATAAGGCAAAATAACATATTTGAAAGAGAAAAAGAAGAGAAAGGAAGAGACACACATGAATATTAAATACATTAAAATGAAATTTTAATGAGAAATAAATTGATCACTCATGTGAAACGGGTGGGGAAGAATTAATCAAATTAATCCATTTAATGAGTGATTGTCGACAAGACGTTAATTTAGCATATTAAAAGGAAAAGAAGAAAACTATATTCAATGATTAATGAAAATTTAGCATGGCAAAATATCTACTTTTTCATTAATTAGCAAAGAAACTTTATAGAGAAAAAGATGCGTAAAATGTATTAATTTGAAAGTTCATAAATTTTTGACAAAAAAAAATAAAGCACTGACTTTAGAGAATTTCAGAACTTTTGAAGAAGAAGAAAAAAACAAACATTTCGCACTGAGAAATAAAATTTCTTTTTTCCCCTCCCAAAAAAACTAAGAAACATTTCAAATTTCCATTTAATTAGAATTTTAAATGCCTAGCAAAGATTAAGAGAAATAAATTGTTATCTTTTGAATATTATGAAAGAAAGAAAGAAAGAAAAAAGAACCCACAAATGATTCATTGACTTTTCACCCTGGAAAAACAAATTCGATTCCTCGTCCTTTCTTCAAGCACACCGAAAAGGGGCGAACAATGAATAATTTGTAGAGAAAAAAAAAACATGAAGAACAAGAGATTGGAAATGAATTACAAGAATTCAAGTACAATAATTACAAAATTAACCGCATAATAACAAATTAGTGACTAAAAGAGGTGGGAGAAGAAAATAAACATAGGGAAAAACTTGTTTCCTCTTGATCTCTTTTTAATTAAATGTCTGTTTCAAAAGTGGATTTAAACAAACAACAAAAAAAAATGCAAAGACAAGTAAAATTATTATAAATGACATTGAAAAAAAATGGAAAACTATTGAAAAAAACCAACGACATTCTGCAGAATAGAAAACTTTTGAAGCGAGAGGAGAAAGAGAGAAAAAAATGTGTATATTTTCCGTTTTTTAGTTAAATGCAAATTATTTTCATAATTCCATATTTATGAGAATTATGAGAAAAAGAAAATGCTTGAAAAGATGTATTTATCAAAGATTCGTTTTTGTGTTAACAAATTGCAAGATTTAAAGTATAAATGAGAAAAAAAAACAACTAAACTTATCAGATTATATAGTAAATGATAAAAAAAAAAGTGAAATATTACCTTCAAATATTACATACCTATTGAAATGACATGTATTTAAATGAGGAATAAACAATAAAAATGAGGATTGTAGCAAATTTGGGAAGATAAAACAATGGTTCCAAGGATGTTTTGGCGGGAAGGACAGCATGTAACGAATTGGAAATGGATTTTGCGTATAGAGAATATCGAAGGGAAAATATTATTAAAAAGAAAAAAAAACATAGAATCTCTGAGTAAGAAAAAAGAAACTAAACGTAAAAAAATTACATGACAAAAAAACATGATATATATATAAAAGTGTATATGTGTGGGGCTATAATAGTATTGTGTAAAAATTGATTGATTTTAAAAGTATAATAAACTGAGAAAATAATAACAGCTCAAGTTTGAACTTCTTGCAAAATGCGTGCATTTGTAAATATCTTTCAACGGATCTTTTATTCAAAAAATTCTGCCATTTCTTCTGACACAAAGTATGGAATTCAAAGTTAAATTACAATCCTTCGGCTTTAGCGTCGCATTTCCGTGTCTGAGTCCGCTCCATCTTCATTCTCATCCTCCGCATCCTCGGGATGCTCATGATCCTTGCGGCGCCTCGTGTACGCCCTCTTGGGCGCCGCCGCCGGCTGATCAGACTCACCGTGAAGCAGCGAATTGCGATAATTCATCAGTGGTTGCCAATCTTCACCGCGATGCAGTGGCATTTCGGACGCAATGCGCCTGTCCAGGAAGCTGAGCACCAGTCGCTTGTCCTGCTTGATCAGCTTGTTCGTGAACTCCATGATGATCTCGAGGAAGAGCAGACAAGGCGGCGGCGTGTGTGGCTCCTCTGCCATGTCCGTCGGCTGCGTGACGGCAAAGAGAATGCCGGCGCGATGCAGAGCCGTGATCGCCTCGCGATTCTTCACAGCATCCAAGCCGAACGACAGCGTGAAGCGCTTGGCCAACTCACGCAAGTCCGAGAACTCCTGCACGGACTTGGAGATGCGTGGCGTGTTGTAGCGCGCCTGGATCTCCTTGAACATTGTGACGAGACTCAGACACATCGTCATGGCGCAATTCACCTTGTTTATCTCACGCGCCTTTCCCAGCGTTGATTTAATTATGTCACCGTACTCATTGTAACACTGCAAAAGGAAAACAACATCAAGATCCAATCAATGTGAGGAAAATTGTGTGGCCATCAGTGGAAGGAATTGATGAGGCGTGAAGTGATTTCATCGGGAATTCTCATCTGGAAACAGCGCAGAGACAATCAGTCGCGACAAGCGAAGAAAACAGTGTTGCATTCCGCAAAATAGATCAAATTGAACAATAATAAGATTCTCTGATCTTCAGCACAAAAATCCCAAATAGAATTCCTGAAGAGCATCAAATCTTGGGGGAAAAAAGGCAAATGTTTAACCGTGTCAGACAGCATTTATCGATTTCCCGCCACAAATGCTCAAGTCACGCAACCAAAAGCCTAATTAGAAAATAAAATAAAATCTCCCACGGCACAGAAAACACCTCAGCAGCAAGAAAGGCAGGAAATCAATAAGGAAAGTGCGTCAATTGAGACACACTTTGAGCCCCAAATGAAAGGCAGACGCAATCGATACAACTTACCCTCAAGTAGTGTTTGAAAATGTCCGCCGCAGCCTTTGTCGGAATGATATTGTACACGATGAGTTTGCAGTAGCCGGCGAGGAAGTTCCTCTTCTTGTGCAACTCCGAAATGCGCCTCTCATCCTGACCCTCGTCCTGTTGCAGCGCAAACACGTGCTGCTGCACGAAGTCATTGAGCACGGATTGCATGTCCAGCGACGCCTCGTACTCCAGACGCTGCAGATGCTGTGCATGAGTGGAGAGCTGATCGGAGAAGATGATGAGGGAGTCGCAGATGGAGATGTAGGCGGCCTCTTGGATGTCTTCGCTGGCGCCGCGATTGATCAGTCCGCGGCACGCATCGAGATACTTGTGGATGTTGGCGCGCAACTCCTCCGTTTGCTGCGTCAGCATCATCGTGTCACAGTAGTTCTCGAGGCTGTGCAGAGCCCAGTTGATGGCGAAGAAGCATCCCTCGATGCAGTAGATCAGCGCCTCATTGGGCAGCGTGGCTTCGCCCACTTCGCCCGTCTGCAGCTCGTCAATGTCGCGAAAGAGGGAATCGAAGAGATTCCACTGATTGAGATTGTGACAGGAGAAGAGGATGGACACCTTCTTCAGACTGCTCACCACATTGTAGATCTCATCCTCATCCGGCACCTCTTCGCCGGCTATGAGAGTGCGCCAGTCGTCGATGGCCTCCTTGTATCTGTTCACGCACTGGTCGATGATCGTGGATCTGGCCACGTCGCACTTCGTGTATATCGCGCTGCCCTCCATGCAGAGGAACTCCAGCGTCTTCGAGCACGTCTCCAGCACGTCACGATCAGTGTGGATGGTCATGATGTGGGCCATCTTGTCCAGCAGCGCCTGCAGATTGCCCTCCTGGCGAGCCGTTGTGTAGATGTCGAGATCGAAGAACTGCGGAATGGCCAGAAGATTCGTCAGCTTCTCAGCATCCGCTGAGTAGTGATAGAGAAGCTTCGGCAGCGCCTGAATGAAGTGCTCAGTGAGCTTCTGCTTGTCATCCTGCACCACCTTGTGCTCCTTCGCCGAGAGATTCATCTTCCTGTTGCTCCCGCGACCAACCGGAGGCTCACCAGTTGCTGACTGACGCACACTAGACACCATAATCTCAATCAACGTCGACTCCTGCTTGTTATCCAGCGGCTCCTCAGTCACACCCGGATCCTCGAGCAGCAGATCCGTCATGCATTCCCAATCCTTCACCATGGGATTGCTGTCTATGAAGGAATCCACGAGATACGCTCCGTGCTCGTGCAGTTCACTCTCAATGAAGAACTGCACCAGATCCCGGATCAGCGGCGTGTTGGGCAGACGCACTTTTCCCCTCTTCGTCGTCACGGTGCTGTTGATCGCCTCCTCGTCCAGTCGGAAGAGGCGCACATTGAGGAATTCGGCAGCCGCCTGGGCCACTCCCCGGTTGGACGAGTACACCAGCTCGTACACAATTTCGCAGTCCTTGTCTGTGAGAATGTCCGGATGTATCTTCAGGATGCTGATGACCAGCCTCACTGCATGGACAGCCACCTCAAACTCCTTGTCCAGCGTCATGGCCACGATGCGATCCTTGAACTTCGACGTGAACAACTCCAGCTTCCCTTTCAGCTCCTCCGACGCGTACAGCGGCAGCAGAGCCTGCAAACAGCGCAATCTCACCTCGCCCACCTTGTCGTGGAGCGTCCAGCCGATGTACTTCAGGTAGGAATCATCGAGGAAGTTCTGCGAGAACTTCTGCATCCACACGCCAATCTCGATCATACAGATGGCTCGGATGTCCGGCAGAGTGTCACGATAGCGATGCACGAAGACGGACTTGAACATGTACGTGAGCATATTCTTGATCTCATCCATGTTCTCCTCCAGCTCCGTCCGCTTGGCCATCAGCGACTCGAGGCGGTCGGAGGCGCGCTGATCCCTCGTCTTCAGGCGCTCCGCCTCGTACTGTCTGGCGGCGTTGTCGAAGTTCACGGACACGAGCAGCGCCACGTCCACGAGCGCCGTCATCAGCTTCATGGCGGCCAGCGTGGCGGTGTGCCGGAACGCCCTCACCTGCGAATCGCTGAGGCCCGTGAGCAGCGAGATGACGTTGTCCATGAGGAACTGGTCGTAGATGATGGAATACTGGCACTGCTTCACGAGCGTCTGCACAAAGTCACAGAAGTTCTGCTTGAACTTTTTCCACTGCTGACCCGGCATTATCAGCGGATACTCGCCGCTCTCCTCGTCGAACTCCTCCGTCATCTTGCGAATGGTGGACGTGTGGTCCATGGCCGGCAGCTGGTGGTCAATCTTCCCCTTGCAGCCGCTCGCGTTGATGAAGAACTGCATCAGGTCGATCAGCGCCGTCTCCTTGTCGACTTTGTACTTGGAAATCCAGTCGTCCACGATGGTGGCGATGGAGGACTTACTGTGCCTCACGATGTAGTACAGGCTGGACTCGTCCGTGGTCACATCTCGCGTCTCCTTCTCCGTGGCCGTGGCCACTCGCTCCCTGGGCTCGCGCTCCACGCGCTCGCGCGGCTCCGCCGGCGCCCGCTTGGGCTGCTTCGTGTACTGCTTGCGCTTCTTCACCACCGGCGGCGCGATGAGATCGTCAATGTCGTCGTCAATAATGGGCGGCTTGTCGCGGACGCCGCCGCGGGCGCGCAATCGCGTCATCCGGCCGCTCTTGTTGGGCGACGCCTCACTGTCGCCGTGATCCGACTCGCTCTCCGCCCTCTCGGCCATCTGCTCGTTGAAGGAAGCCTCCATCATCCGGATGCGCTTTCCCCCGCGTCGGTGCATCTTGACGCACTGGATTTGGCGCTAAAACGATCGAGCAAAGCCGCAATTTCATCATTCACACTTCGTGCAACATTCAAATTGCATGAAATTACTGATAAACTTACATTCTGATAAGAATTTAATTGTATTTTGCTGATTTTCCACTGAGAAAAGTTTGTTTGCAAACAAAATCACCAAAAAAGTAAAATGCTGTCAAATTGCTTCAACAGAGGCAACAAAGCGTCACAATCAGCGTGATTCTTGAGATTGCCACGGAGAAGAGTTTTGAAATCTCAAGTGAAAAGAGCGAGAGAAAAATTACTGTTCGATATCGACGGGTGCCTCGAAAACTATAAAAAGTCAAAATCGCCATTTCTCAGCAAAGCGAGTTCAAAATTTTCCATTAAAACAGCTGCGAAATTTGCCAAATTTACTTCAAAATACTCAAAATGCCTTCAAATCGTTCGTTAAAGTGAAAATATTGCTCTGTATTTTTTATTTTGTAAATATTTTATTGGTATTTATTGAAATTTTTGACAAAAATGTGACAAAATTAATAGAAAATCTGAAAATATTACTTTACAAAGTCGATTTTTAATGGTTTTTGAGTCGATTTTATACAAAAAATCAACTTTTCATACTTTACTTGAACTTTTTCTTAATGTTTTCAAGTGAAAGAATTTAAAAGATATGAGAAATATTCATTTAAAGTCCAAAAAAACATTTTAGGATAATTCTGAAAATCTACAAATATTTTCCAAAAAAAGACGTTTTTATGCATTTGACTGCAATTTTTGAGACATTTTTCTTGGAAAAATTGTTCAGCGTAAACAATGAAAATTCGACTTTTCATTCGCAAAACATGACAATTTTTTTCTCCATTTGTGCTTTTTAGATAAATAAGATTTTTTTCTATTGTCTCATAACATACAAATCTTAAAATTCTTGTACAGAAAGAACAAATAAAAGGCTTTTCAAAAATACATAAGACAAAAACTATGATAAATCGACTTTTCATAGTTTTCCATTCACCCGTCGATATTGACTAGTCTTGAAAACAACATTAAGATTAAAATTTGAAAACACTACAGTGAAATATATTTTATTTCCCAAGAAATTCCAAATACAAGAATTGCTTGATTGCAATATCTGTGAAACTTCATGCACGTCGCTTTGCCGATATTTCGATAATATCACAGCATGTCACTTGTTGTTGTCACGCGCATCGCACCGCGGCGCTGCGATCGTCGAACAGGTATAACAGTGAGTGAGTGCGACGCCGATGTAAATAAAAATTATTCTTGGCATTTCTCACTGAAATACCACTTTAGAATGTACTTAGTGTAGTGAAAAGCACGAAAAAGATGCAATGATGTCGGATGAAGAGAATTGCGGTGCAGATTGTGGTATTTTGGTGCGATAAAAGTGTGAAATTGGCGTGTCTGCATTTGGCTTCAGTACAATTGAGGCCTTCTTTCGTAACATTTTTTGCAATACATTTCACCATTCTTCCGGACGTTCTGATGGAATTGTCGCAGGATCTCGCCTGAGACGGTGCAAAAGAGGAGGTGGTGGAGGTCAGGAGAGACATTCTGGTGGATCTGAATCTCAAACGTGAGTTTCTAGGTTATTTTTACACATATGCAAATGATGCAAAATAACAAAAGATATGGTTTTGCTGCATTGTTGACATTTCCTTGTAGGTCAGAGCGCGCGTGTTCCGCGGAAGTGGAAGAATGCAACTGCCCAAAGCGAAGGTTGTGCTCGTGGATTGCCGCGAGGAGCTGAAGAAGTACAACATCGACATCAATGAGTTCGTGCGGGGGCGCGGGCGCCGGAAGAGCGCCACGCCGATTGCGCCCAGCATGCCGAGCATGCCGAGTAGCGGCGGGGAGTTTCCCTGTCGCGAGTGCAGCCTGGTGCTGCGCACGAAGCGCTTCCGGATGATCCACGAGACGCGCTATCACTCGGCCAACTCCACTCTGATGCACCATCAGTGCGACAAGTGCCAGAAGCGCTTCTACACGCAGGAGGACCTGGATGAGCACCTCTACATTCGCCACAGCAATCAGAAGTATCAGGTATTGTGGCGTCAGAGGCAAAACGTGAGAATTCACTGACTTTCGGGCATTCCTTTCAGTGCGAATTCTGCACGTTCAAGTGCAAATTCCGCGGTCGCATGCAACAACACTTGGACACGAAGCACCGCGCGAACACGAAGAAGAGCTACGCGTGCGATCTGTGCGACCGGCGCTTCTTCATTCCGCAGCTCCTCAAGTCGCACGTCGCGCGGCATCACAAGAACGACAGCAAGTACGCCAAGGTGACGCCGTACACGTGTCGGCTGTGCTGCCACAAGATGACGAGGCGCGACAGCATCATTGGCCACATGCAGCGCCACAACGAGATCACAGATCACAAGTGTCGCTTCTGCGAGCTGCGCTTCCTCACCATCGAGGAGCTGGTGGAGCACACGCGCGTGCACAGTGGCGTCGCGGAGCTGATCAATTGCTGCTTCTGCGACTTCCAGTCGCTCGACTCAGCCGCCATGGACAAACACATTCAGGCGGTGCACATTGACCCAAAGAAGATGTTCGCCTGCAGTCAGTGCGGCAAGGAGTTCCAGTCCAAGGCGAACCTCAAGTACCACGAGAACGTCACGCATCGCACGAAGAAGCAGAATGAGGAGAAGGAGTTTGCCGACATCTTCAAGGGTACAACCCTGGATTCGGACGAAGATGACAAGCCAGGTAATCAATTATCTCAGTCCCCAAAAAGCCAAGAGTTCCTCTATCGCTGCCTTCCCTTCGCAGGCTCTTCGAATAGTCAGATGAGCGACGAATCGCTGGAGGAGTTGCAGAAGCAAATCACGTCAATCAATGTGAATGAGGGTCAGGATATGAGTGACGTGAACACCAAGTGGCCCATGAATGGCGACAATGCGATGGAGGAAGACACTCCGGTGGTGATATCAATAGCGGAAGCTGAGAAGCTGCTCTCGATACCCGAAACAATGTCCTCGGCGCCTCTGCTCAGGAGTCGCTCGCGAACGCCGGCGCGTCTGAGCAAACAGGATGAGGACTACGATGATGATGATGACGATGATGATGATGAGCCGCTGGTGAAGAGAATTGCTCCAGTTTCACCACCACGTCCTTGCCAATTCTGTGGCGTGCAGATGAAGAAGCTGCGCGATTTGGGGTATCACGAGGCGCGCCATAATGAGAAGACTGATCACAAGTGTGACTACTGTCCCATGCGCTTCCTGGCCAGGACACGACTCAGCGAGCATGCGCTGGTGCACAAGCGCAAATCCGCGTCCACCGTGACGGAGCCGCAAATATACAACTGCTCCATGTGTCCATACACCACGAAATCGCGCTTCTACATGAGGTAAAAGAACTGCTCATTCTGCTGTGTCAACGCTAATGATGTTTGCACAGCTTTTCATGATCAATTTAGGGTATTTTCTGTATATTCAAATCAAAATCTCTCTCTAATACACACGAGAGATTGCTTTTCTGCAGATGAAATTGCAGTTTTACAGTAATTTTGTGATGTTATCAATCATTTTCAAGTTATCTAAATGCACTCCAACTGTAATTGTAGATCGCACAACAAGAACAAACATCAGGAGAGGGAGTTGACGCCGCTTCCAGTGGTGGAAGAGCCTCAGAATGGAACATCGTCGGAGAATACGTTCAAGTGTGAGATTTGCGGCAAGGTGCTGAAGACGGTGAGCACGCTGAAGATGCACTGGAACACGCACAAGAGCAACTACAAGTGTTTGATGTGCAACAAGGGCTTCTCCATGAAGGATCGCATGGATAAGCATGTGGAGAAGCACGATGAGCTGAAGGATTCAGCGTGTGGCTTCTGTCCGCTGCGTTTTCTCACCGATGCGGAGATGGAGTTGCATCTGGGGCTGGAGCACGAGCAGGCGAATGTGAAGCTCATCACGTGTCCCTACTGTCCGTACAAGACGTCCGTGAAGCGTGTGTCGAACATGCGGAGCCACATGAGGACGGTGCATAAGTTGTCGCAAGCGTACAAGATCATTCGCGAGCTGAAGCTGGGCACGATGGATTCGGAGGAGAAGAAGTTGGTGTGCAAAGTCTGCAATCTGAAGTTGTCCTCGGCCAATGGCCTGAAGACGCATCAGGAGAGGAAGCACGGCATGAGGAGGGCGTCAGAGCCGACAAAGCCTGTGGCCGTGAGTGAGACGACCACTGAAGTGGCCACATCCACGCAGCCCACGAGCATCCTGGAGTGCTTCTTCGAGTGTGATCTGTGTGAGATATTCCTGGAGAGTGTGAGTGCCATGCGAGAGCACTTTGCGCAGCTGCACAACAATCTGAAGCCCTACAAGTGTGAGATATGTGATAATCGCTTCCCAACATGGCCAATTCTGCGAGGGCATCAGCGCTTGTCGCACCGGGCGATGCCCACCTTCATTCCCGATCGCATCATCATCCAGCAGCAGCGCAAGCGACGACGCTCGTCCTCCTCGAGTTCCTCCAGCTCATCTTCCTCCGGTTCCTCGTCATCGTCTGACTCCTCCAGCAATTCATCGTCCTCCAGTGACAGTTCCATGTCCACGTCCTCCAGGCGATACTCCAGGGAGCCCGAGAGATCCTTCCAGAGGCCCACGATGCCGGTCAGGGGTAAATCACTGCCGCCCACGTTGCACAAGAAGACAGTCAGTCTCAAGATGATGACACTGACGAACAGGATCAGCGGCAGTGAGTTCCAGTGTGACATTTGCAGGCAGTTCTTCAACAGCGAGGACGCCTTCAGGTCACACTTCCAGTACCATGACAACGTGAAGCCCTTCAAGTGCGAACTGTGCGTGAAGAGATTCGACTCGTGGGTGTCGCTGAGGCGCCACCAAGGCTTTATGCATAAAGGTTACCGAAGCAACTGTGTGTGAAAAAGGAGAGAGAGAGAGAGAGAGATAAATCTGTGAGTGAGATTGGCGACTTGAAGAAATTCCCCTGCTCTCCTTTGGCAATGGAGCAGGCTTTAGTATTGTACTCTCTAAAGACATTTTTGCTTTTATGACTGAATTCTCATTTGGATTGTTTCCATCATTGTAATCTATGCTTTTCCAATGATTTTGAGATTGGTATACGATTGCTATATTTAATTTAAGGGGGTGATTAAATTGTCTGTAGTGTTCAGAATATCAAATTGAATTATTTTTTTTGAAATTAGTCGTAGTGTGGAAAGCATTAAATGTAGAAATTGTTCATTTTATTGAATTTTTTTTGATTGGAGTAAAACATGTGAGAAAAGATGCTGAAAAGTGTTTTAATTGTTTACGAATTATAGCTAAAAAGTCGAGATATTGGCCTTTTTTCTCTTTTGTTTTAACATCTAAGCGTTATCATTATCTAAATGAGTGCGTAAACAGCAAAATATACCTTCTTTCAATTTTTTAGCGGGTGCGCGTAGCATAAAAAAGCAAAACTTGTCGAGGAAAAACCTCGTTTTTCCGGCAGATAGAGAAGAAATATCACTTCGGCATGTATGGGGGAAATGCATCCCCTGAAGTGCTCTACACATAGGAAAAATAATCCAACATAAAAGTTTCTTCGTTTCGGAGATATGTAGAAAAAAGTTGTAAAAAAAACCGGCGAATTTTTTACCTAGTGATTCACAGAAGATCATTTTTGATCAACAAGGAGTGATCTAAAACAATCACACTGTTTTACAAAGTAGTAGGTAATTTCAATAGCTATCATTTAAGCCTAATTTGAGGAAAATCTGTTGAAAATTGGGCGAGATGTGAGCACATAAGTGCGGCAAAGTGGGTGAAAATAGTGGAAAATGGAAAATAGGCTCTAAAAGAAAAACTTGAGGGTCTAGGGAAAAAAGGAAGGTACCGTTGAAAAGCTGATGACTCAAGGAATCAGAAAATCCACACTTCAAAAAAGGGCAGAAAAGTGTTGTGCAGTGTTACGATCGAGTAGCCCCTGAAGTTTCTCCTAATTCAGCCCTGGAGTTGCGTGGCAAACGTCAAAGTGGCCAAAACAAAGTCTCGTGTGTATTTTTCTAAGATTTTCCGTGATTTTCCAGGTAAAATGCAATCCACCAAGTATTCATATGTGAGTATTTTGAGAGAATCTTCTGAGAATGCTTAATTAATCTCAGTTGCCTTGCAGGAAATCAACAGAAAAGTCACCAACGAAAGCAATGCTGAAATTCATGGTCGACGATCGTACAAGAGAGATTTGAATGTTGCTCCAGGATCTCCTGGTCGGGCAGCAATCAGAAAGCGTCCTGTGAGTGGAGATCGCGAGCAGAGAAACAGTGAGCAGAGGGAATGGGAGCTTGACCGGGATTTGAACTCATCGGATGATGAATCCGAACAGAACGACTGGATTCAGTCTGGTGGCATTAGATATCGTCCTGAATGTGTATATAATCATCTTGATTCCAGCACTTATCGGCCTAATAGCACACAAAAGAGAGTTCCAATCGTTCCAATGGCTCCAGTGGAAAAGAATTTGGATCTGAGTTGGATTCTAAAAATTATGCCAGTGCTGTTGTTGATCATTTGTTTGATCTTCTTTACTCTTAGCAACGCTACCACAAATCCTGCCCATCCTGCCGAGACTACAAAACATCAGGGAGAGATTGAAGAGAATAGGTTTCTGGGAAAAGACTGCAATGACACTTTCAAGCACATAGCAAGGAAATTCTCCAACCAAGACGATAAATTCTGGCAATCAATTTATATTGGTCTGAAGGCTGTTGTCAGCGAAGAATCCCGTCCGAACATCATCACCTTCCTGTACAACGACACGAAATCGCTGGATGTCTTTCAGGCGATTGTGGATGTCACGAAGCAGTGCATAAATCCCTCCCGAGAGCCAATAATCCTCACGGGAAATGAACTGAATCCTCTGCAGGACAATTACGGGGTGATAATTGAGACGTACAAGCCACAGTTGCAAGAGAGCCGAATTATGGTGGTTGAGGATCTGCAGAAGATCTTAGCTGTCTCCTCGCGTGCCTTCCATGACATTTGCGACACGAAGAGCCCCATTGTGGAGCGCTTCGTGGTGTACTTCACACTCAGGTACACGGAGAAGGACTTGGAGGAATCCGACAATGCCAGCCATCTGGCCAATAATCTGCTGAACAGGCTGTGGACAGAAATTGGTGCTGACACAGCTTCTGCCCTCATTGCCAGAGTCACCGATCAGACTCTCTTCCTTAAAGCGCCCTTATGAGCTCTCTTTTCGCTCCATTTCCGCTCTCAAGACTTCAGAGACAGCAAAAGACTCACGAGGTGACAATGTTGATTGTGATTAGTTTGTAGTTTTATTTGAATTGTTATTCCAAATCGCATATTGTCACTTCCTTTCATGTGCTTTCGTTATGTGTTATTCCGCAGGCTCTCAAATAAAGACAATAAAGATGATCAGCGAGATCTCGATTATAGAATTATAGAATTTAAATAAAACAATAATTTGTAAGGTGATAAAAGGCAGCAATTGGTTCTTCCGAGACGATTCTATTCCAAGAAACGTTTCTCTATCGAGATTTCACTGTATTTATTACCATAGAAATCGACAAAATGTCTCTGAAAGGATTAAGAAGTGTATTTACGGATGCAAGAATCAATGAATATATTGAAATTACCCAGCAAAAAGCCCGACAATCATAAAAAGCACAGGAATAAACGGTGATATTACAATGATTGGGACGTTTTACTGATATTCAAAATACACAAATATTAAATAAATGCGCTATACATTCACAAAATGATCCACTCTTGTCTACAACTAGTAAATCTTGTAAAAAATTGTAAATGCAATTTATTTGTGAGATCTAAAATTCATTTCTGCGCCACTTCTTCTCATGGACAGTACAAATGTGGATGCTTTTGGCATTTGTACCACAAATTTATGAGATTCTCAATCTTCTTCGACTGAATTTCGAAGGATTTGATCTTCTCCCGGAAGTAGTTGATCTCATACTGTCGCCTCTCCAGGATATCCAGTCGCGTCTTCATCGATTCCATCCTCTCGAGTGTCTGGCGAAGCTTCTTGTCCAGCATTTCCGTCTGCAATGAGTGTTTCTCCAGTTTCACGAGTCTGGCATTTATCTCATCATAGTCCACATCATTCACGTCCATCTCGCGTGCTTCCAGCGCAGTTTCTGCATCGTCTGTGGATTGATGAGATATTGAGGGACAATTCTCGGGAGTTTCTCTCCTGACTCACCGATTTTCTTGCAGCTCTGTCGATCCGGTTGCAGGATAAATCCTTCCCGACAAGTGCAATAGTAAGATCCTTCAGTGTTGAAGCACATCTGATCGCAGGGCTTCTCCTCCTTGCACTCATTAATGTCCAGCTGGCAAGATGATCCCGTGAATCCCGTCTTGCAGCTGCAAACGTTTGGCTTCACGCACTTCCCGCCATTCTTGCACTCTGCTTGGCAGACAGCTGAAGAGACAAGATTGCCTTAAATTCTCATGAGTAAGATTAATTGCAGCTTCATTCTCACGTCTATTGCAACCGCTGCTGTTGGCGTGAATCCTCTCCCATCCCGGACAGCAGTTGTACAAGATCTGCTGCGTGCTGTGATGCCTGATGATGTCCCTGTAAGCTGGCTCGTGAACCACCCGAACACCAGTGCAGAGATTCTGATTCGAGCATGGCTCAGAGAACTTTCGCAGTGTTGGCTTGTTGTACAGCTCCTTCGTCTTCACGGGCACATGGACAGTCTTTCTCTCGGGGCAAATGTGTCGCCTGCAAGAGACACGAGAAGAGATATTCACTTTATCAAGCACTTCACATCATCTTCGTGTGATTCAATTTGCATATAAGTGAAGGTGGTCCATATCAATATTGATTCTCTGCTGACTTAATGTCTTGTATCAATTAAAATTCATTGGCTCATTTTATCAGATTGGCCGAGCGAATATAAGCTTAATTAAAAGCAAACAGAGAACTTATTATAAACCTCCTAATTGAAAATCATTGAATATCCATCATAAATGTAAATTACTTTCTGCATTATTAATACATGTAAAATTACAAAAAATTAATGCACTTTTCGTATAGCGTTTAAAGTCAATATTCCAGTGAATTTCCTTACACAGGGAATATGGCTAAAAAGAAAGGCAAAGCAATCAGCCTCGCATGCAGATGCGTTGCAAATCTCATTTGCCGATTCTTCTTAGTTCTTTCAAGGTTTTCCAGCACAGCTGAGAGCCATGAAGCCGCTCATCAGCGATGTTTCACAGTCGCGGTCTCTCATTTCAGTCCCGCTCTGCCTTTGTGTATCAAGTTTCGAGTGCTCAGAGCTTCGAAAATCAATGCACACAGTGGAAGTGAGACTGAAATAATTGCTCTTGCAGCTACTCTTGAATTTGGCGACGAGAGAGAATCGATTGGGTCACCTTTAATTGATATTCAACTAAACATAAATGATATCATGATAAATATTTACACTTATTTGCTACAATTTCCATTTAAGGAGACATCTTATATCAACAGAAAGGCACGCAGAACGCTTGTCGACACTACAAAATGCGTTCTATGAAGTGCAAAATATATCTATTTCCATTTTGTATACACTGAGATTAAATAGAGAAAATCTCTATAATCAATTTTCGCAGAAATTTCACTCTTCTGCCTCAAAAACGACAATGCTCCAATCTCTTGTGTAAATATTTATTCTCAATTTCACGAAGTAATTTCACATGCAATCAAAATATTTACTTAATTGTGACAAAAAATTTTTCCACTGATCCTCATTCACACGCTTTAGCAAATCTGCAATTCAATTGGAGACATAAAAAGTGCAATAAATGATTCAAGTAAAACGAGTTTCAATGTTTATAAACGTCTTGAGATGCTCACGAAGTGTCATTGGTCCTGAATGTAGCCAAGTTCAATGATAAATCGCATCTTGATAGGTGTATTGTTGCTGTCCATCGAGAGTGAGATTGACTGCAGATCGTGGGAAGGAAGTTAACGGAAATTCTATTCATTCTCGTTTTCTGCTCTCAGAAACTCAGAAACACAAAAAGAGAAGTTATTGGCAATTTTTCGGATTGTAACACAATCACGAATTGGACATATAGAGCAATTGAAGACAATTGAAGGCAATTGCAGCCCTACAAAGAAGCACTTTTGCACTTTCATCCCACGCAAATTTGTCACATCTGACTTTTAAATCAGAATTTTATTGAATCGACAGGGAAAATCAATGAAGCAATCAGTCAATAAGACCACTGAACTTGTTGCGTAAATATTGGCGAAGAAGTCTCGACAATTTTTCCACATGAAAGAAATTACAAGGGGGAGATAATATAGTCAGAAAAGGTGTACAGCTCAGCAGAAGTACTTAAGATGTAGGAAGTGTTCAAAAACTAACAGATTTTACTGACTAATCACCTCGATTCTTTGGATTATCTTTGAATTGTTCAAAGAAACCGGATAAACAGTAATTTTCTAGGTTATGTAACGAATCACGGACGAATTTTTATGCTAAAGTCGCCAAGATTGCTAGTCTTTAGCAGAATTGAGCATTTTTATGTGTTAAACATTGTTATTCTGAACCTTTGATGCTAAAAGAAACTCGGAAAATTGTGTAGAAATCAAACATAACCTCAAAAAGAGTATTGTGGACTTGGAAAATGTTTATTTAAACCACTTTCTGCACGATTTTGACTCTGAATACGCAAATTTGAGTTCAGTGCCAACTCATAAAAGATGATTTGTTCCAATTGGAGTCTTTTAAGATCTCTTAGAGATATTTTTGAGGTTATGGTCGGAAAAGACGCCGATAAAAGCATTTTTTAGTGGATTTCTACAGAAATATCGCATGGAATTTTAAGATAATTATTATAATTTGCTCCTTATTGTGGAAATAGTCTAAAGATTTGTTGGTGTAAGATTAAGAGCACATTATCTCCCCCTTGGGCAATTGCAGCGGTGTTTATTATTGCAACTCACCCTGCGTGGCGGTGATGCCCGGACCGATGGAGTCTGTGGGTACTCGCCGTGGTCAGCGGCATCGGGCTGGTGTCCGTGACAGGTGGTTTCTCCGTGGAGACGCTCTGCCACCACGGAAGACGGCTGAAGGCGCTGGAGTTGATGAGGGTGAGCTTGAGCGGGAAGGAGCCGTTGCCGGCCTGGCAAGTGACTGTTGTGGCCAGCAATGCAATTCCCACGATGGGAAGCAGTGCGATTGGCCGATTTGCCATTTCGTGGGTCGTCGACTGAGCACAATTCAAAGTTGAGCGGCGAAAAGCGTCCTGCTGGTCACGAACACTTGGTTCGAGTCGGAAACTGTGCGCTTCACTGACCTAAGCCAATGGGAAATGCAACAGCTCCATCAATTTCTGCCGGAGCAATAAACAGCCTCACACACGGAATCTTCCTCAAAACACAACTTCTCTCTGTGCCGAGATTTTGCTCCCCGAGATAACTTTTGCGCATTTGATTCGCCACAAATCCCCACATATAGATTCAGAGTCTCTGTTTTTCGTCCACAAACCGCCAAAATCGTTAAAGATTTAATGCCTGAGGCGAGGAAGTTTTATTGCACCCAATAGTGGAATTGTATCATTGCGCCTCTCGCAGTTCAGCTGCACAAGGAAATCTCGCAGAGGCGATCAAAGAAAACTGAAAGTGAACAAAAGGATGAGAATCTTTATGGACAGACTCTTTGTGGCGGCTGAGATTCTTCTGTGAGACATTCTGAGTTGTTAAATAAATACTGTAATCTGACACTGAATGACAGAAATCGCACTTTCCGCCACCATAAAGACAATTCCTTCACTCACTGTATTTTATGAGAATATTTTCTTATATGTTGCTTCACGAGCTGAAATATTTTTTCTTAAGTGAATTCCAAGAGCTGCAAATAATAGAGCACCACGATTCTTTTCTAATCTCCAATGACTCATTCCATCTAAACACGGCAATAAACATCAATTTAGCATGCAACACAGCAAAGGAATTGTTTCTGCGAACGAGATGATTTATCTCACGACACGTTTTGCCAGCATTTTTTTTCTTTTTGAGTTATTCGCCCTCTAGAAATTTATATGTGTCTCAATTGAAAGAAATCGGAAAAGACACTGTGTGAGTTGTCCTCATGATTCCTCTACAAGTTGCACTTTTTCAGCCTGTCTGACACTTGAGCTGATTGTTGTTTATTATCATGATATTATAAGAGCGCAAGTGAAATATTCTCAACAATGAGAAATCTACAATTGACCATAAAATAATTCGCTGTCGTAAATCATTAGCGCACTCTTCCAACATCTCAAGTGTTCTCACATAAAAGACTCCCCGAGAGAAGTATTATGGTCTCGCTGCAAGTGGATGAAAAAAAAACAGCGACTTAATATAGAATTATACGTTTAAGCGATATAACTGCAGGGAGTATACAATAAAGATTGGTTGGCAGCAAAAGGGTTAAGAAAAAAAGGGGGGAATTTTATCGCGAAAGAACACTAAAGGTGAGAAGATAAGTGCAACACTTTTATTTCGACTCTCTGCACTGGTTCAAAAGCGTCCTTTGGAGGTGTTTTCAGCAATAATTCAGTCTTAAGAGAGAGAGCACGAGAAGCGATGCGCACCTTTGATTAACTTTTCTGGCACTTCCAACTTACATGCACGATCGCAGGCCCACCACAAGAGGCCCTCCGTCTTCACAGGCTCGCCGTCGCGACAAGACTGAAGACAGAGGATCGCATTTGCAGCCAGTTTTCTGCAAATTCCGCGATTCAGCACATGATCATCTGGTTGCACGACGAGATATACTGCAAGAAAAAAGGAGAAATAGGATTGTGCAAAAATAGAAGATCTCGAGAGCTTCTTGTCTTTCTCAGCAGATTCGTTATTTATTCAGTTGCGAACTCTTCTCAGTGGAATTCCATGGAGATTTTCGTTGTTATTTTAAGGCTCTTCCATGCAGAGCTTTCAGATTTCCTTTTTTCTTCAAGCGAAATTGTGAGTCTCTGTGAATGAATGCCTAAAATTCTTAATGATTTGACGGTATTTTTGAAGTTTCTTTTTGCTCTCAGCAGAAGCAAAACGTCCTTCCAATTGTATTGAAATTTAATAATCCTGACTGTGTTTATTCTCCCATGACTTGTGGGTTATTTTTCATGAACCTCCCAATCTCTCAATAACCCTATAATTACATCATTAAGTCGCACTCTTTCTTAGCCACTATCTGCGAAGTCGAGGTTAGTGCTCTCGCCTATTAAACGACACACCAATATCATTTGTAATTGTTTCTCGCCTTCTGATTCACATTATTTACACTTCTCAGATAGCTCTCTGGCTTTCACGTAATCTTGCGACAGATAAGAGTATCTTTCTTTTAATTAATTTGCCGTGAAATTTACTTTATGCAGGCGTGAAAATGATTCTGATTTCCTGCAGATCCATTTATGGATGTGAGATAAAGTGACACTAATCCTTGTCGATACACTCTCATGCCCAGTATATTGATGACTCCACGACAACTAGACTTAGTTGCGTCTGCAATTAATGTGCAGGATTGGGAATAAATCTCAAGTTCAGCTCTGCAATTGGCGAGTCTGTGGGGAGAGTGTGACAAAAGGGGAGCCAAATCGCTCACGAGCAGTGAATTGAATGAATAATGTGGAGAGGTCGGAGCCTTGATTCAACTCGTGCAATTAATAACTTTTGCCATTTTTCACTCAATCTCTTTTTATTCATGCCTTTGATCGTGACTGACGACAAAATCCACCCGGAGATTTATAAACTTCCGTCTCATTTTGCTTTGCTTTTCCATCACAAGAAGTGCATTCGCGCATTGTAAACTTTTGCACAACTTGCGCCGCAAGTGCAACTCTATAGGTTCTAACTCTATCAGTCTCTATGGTTTTAATGTATTATTTTGCATTATGAATGAGACACGGTGTAGTTCGCAAAGCACACTTCCCTTTCACACTATTAAAAGATATTTTATTGAATCTCATAACTTGTAACTGACAGTTTTCTTAATGGCTTTAAATTCTACTTTAGTTCTCCCCTAACAAGTTTAAAACAATTACCCCCAATTGTTGAAGAATTATCTCAGACTCTCCGCCACACGCTCTCGACCGAAGAGCTGGTGGAGAGACAATTTATGGGCCAACCACATTTTATTGCAGAAAATTTCCAACTTTAAAGCATACGAAGAGGGCTTTTTGCAAAATTACTATTCTGTGCATTCCCGGCCTCAATTTATGCTTCAGTCTCTGGCACACCTTCCCCCTGTCGTCTCTGACGTAATCTCGCAGTAACTCTCCGCGCGCGGTGCCCCTATTTTCCCGGGATTGCCGTGACGTCACGGAGAAACCACCCCTCTCGGCGGCACCGGGTGCCCCGCAAAGGCTGCCACGGCGGCGAGTGTCCAAAACGGCCGACGATCAATGCTCCAACACACAAGCATGTGACCCACTTCAGTGCCATTAGGCGGGATGGAATTTCAGATGCACTCCAAAGAGCATCATCCCTCGCGACTGCCGAGGCATCGTCATGTGGACAGCGCCGCGGTTGCCGAAATCACCTCTCATCGCGCGTTCGATTGTAAATGAGTAATGTCAGAGCTCAACTGAGAGGCAATCTCGCAAACAAGGTGAACATCAAGCCAAACCGAGCATCGAGAGCAGAAGCGCGATTCAAATTTGATGTAGCACCCTTATCTCTGTCATTCTGCATGAATAGATTTCATACAAATTATCGCAATCCTTAATGATTCAATGCACTTTTGAGAGTGAGTGGGAGATATTCTCACATTTATATGCAAACAATGTGATTTTTTACGCTTCAGTAGTGTCAGAATACCATAATGAAAGGCATAAGAAGGGGTTTAATTTAATAAAGCCATTTAGCACAATATTTTGTAAAAGAATGAGTGGAATTTTCAAATATTTTTAAGCAACGTTCCTTGTGAACAATTAATATTTAAGGCATATTTTAAATATTACTAAACAGTGTATTTTAATGGCAAACATCCACTTCTTGTCTTTAAATGTAAAATTCCAAATAAACAATGTTCTCTGCTCAATAAAAATTCATAGGCAAAGTTGTTCCTCTCCTAAATATTCTCAAAGAGTTGTGCAAATGCAAATATTCATCACTTTGTGCACCCTGTGGTCGTTTTTGGGGTAGCAAAGTGACAATTTGCGTGTGCATGAGAAATCAGGGGAAAATATGCCTCATTGTCCAAGACAATGTCAAAGCTGCCGCTGCTTTGTCTGGAGATGCTTTCGCTCTCTCTCTCCTCCATGTGCCATTGGGGCCCCGCGTACCACCACATGGACAGGAGAGCCCGAGGAGAGTGCTGAACAGCCATTTCGGGGCGCCTTGGCGGCGCATGCGCCGCGACTTGGCAGTGAGAGAGATGATTTCGGGAAAATTGTTGCGAAAATTCCGCCTCGTCGTGTGGCTCACCTGAGAGGGAGTTTGAAGTGGAGTTGAGACCTTTGGCGAGCACAGGATCACTGGAACAGTGTGGTGTGGAGTCGTGTGTGGAGTTGTGCGAATTTTGCGGTGCCTGAACGATTGTGGAAAGGATAATTCAATGTACGGAGCAAAAAGCTCTCCCTCTCTCTTTGCATCCACCCCAAAAGCGCGATATATACCAACACCAAAACACAATTAACATGCTGAATGTGTGCTCAGTCGCTACCTCAACACACATTTCTTGAAGGGAGAACCGATAAAACAGGGGCCAACAGACGCTCTTTTCACCCCCAAACGCCAGTCTTCATTGAGTGTTCAAGCGTCTTAGTTGCTCGGATCGGTGGTGCCCACTTTCGCTGGCAGTTTTTCTCTGGCCAACAATTGCAGTCTCCCTCCTTTCCCAGTTTCACTCTCTCGGCCCCTCCGCCCCCCTCTGTCGCCCCCCAGCGTGAACTGGCACATTAATCTGACTCGTGATTCTAAAGTGATGTCTTGAGGGTGAAAGTGTATTAAAGTATAGAATCGTCGTGGCACAAGGTTTGCGCGAGAAGAGTGTAATTGCTGCAGAGAAGTTACATAAAAAGTTTCTATAGGTGATTACGAGCGCATGCAAGGAGCAAATGAAAGGCCCTCAGTACTTTCTTTTCACAAAATCCTATCCCTAGACGGTCCAGGCACAGTTTTCCATTCAATTTTCTGTGGGTGTGTGTGTGTGTGCTAAAGGGATTTCATCGCCCGTAACTCGGCTCTCGGGAAAAAGGAAAAATTCTCAGTAAAGTAGTGAATAAGGAAAATCCATTCACCCCTATATTCCATATCACTGAGCTCGTGTATATAGTACATAGAGGGTTGTATATGGAGCACTATACACTGTGAATAGCGATTTGACTTGATTTTGCCACACTTGCTCCCCTTTCTTCTGTCTCCTCCATGCATCCTTCTTTTGGGAATTAGTCCGGAAAATAGACTTTTCGAGTAATTCAATGCTCTCTCACTCCCTCTTTCCCTCACTTTCCCACGATCCACTACGTGACCACTTTTCCCCATATGTACATATCCTTTTAAAGAAAAAAAAATCCCTCTTTGGCTGTCTACATGCCACACAGAATTTTCCCCTTCGCTTAGCTCGAAATTGGGGAACAAGAAGTATTCTTTGTGATTGTGTGCAGATTTTCCTCACGCACACACACACACTTTTACGCAAAAAATCCATGTCCCCAGATAATACTTTTGGGGCACACATGCTTGCGTGAGTTTTTTTTTCCTCAGAATGTGATTCCTTCTTTCTTTTCCACTATTCCACAGAGTGCAACAAGAGTGGAGGAAAAAAATATATATTGTGATCAACATTGAGATACACTTCCAACAATCATCAGTTTTTACTACATCTGATTATTGTGGAAAACCCCATCATTTGTGTAAGTTTATCTCTCAACTTTCACAATTTTTTCCGTCCTTGCTTTCCCCCCATTTCTCACTACGACCTCTTATTCACCATAAGTGACTTTGGGAAATCTTAAAGCTCTGATATCTATACTCCTTATGAATATATGATAAACCATAGAATATGGGAAAACTGAAATATACACGATTAAGTTAGTTGAGATGTTTTGTGCTCCAATTTAATTTAATTTATTATTGTATATGTTTACAGTCTTCTATGTGATGTGATGTTTTTTTTTCCGAAATGAGCTTCGGAATCTCAGTAGAAAGAAAAATCAATTTATAAGCTATTCAGTCGTAAAACTTTGGAAAAACCAACTCATATACACACGAGGAAAGGCAAAATTCTCATGGAAAATGCATGTTATTCTGCAGTCTGAAGGAAAATTATCTAACAAGAACTATTTTTGTGCCTCTCTAATTAACTTCATTTGAAATTCCACTCAAATTCTCAAAATCAACTTTAACACCACCCAAGAGAAGAGCTGCGGAAATTTGAAAACCTTGCATAAATCTACTTTGAAAAGAAATATTATAGTCCATCCGTAATTCGTGAGGAGCATTATGGATTCTTGTTGTCCATTGTATTCCTCAAAGCATGGATTTGTGTTAAACAATACAAGGTGTATTTACTTTTCTGGCATCCTTTCTTATTTTAGTCCTCTTCCCATATACTTTTATTACACACCACATCCGCCATACATAAAGGAATTGTATATTTTACGAGGGAAAATAAATATTTTCATAATGCTCAGCTATGTATGGACGCCATCGTGTTCGATGTAAAAGTGGGCACGCTAAGAGCCAGAGCCATTTCTGCCGCCATGTGAATTTTATATTATGCAAAATTATGCCCCAAAGATATGTTTTCAGCGTAGTTACATGTATGTACGCGTGTGTAAATTAATTGGATTGAGGTAAAAAAGTAATGACGAATTGCTCTATTGTCGAGTCACGACATCGGGGCTGCAAATTAGATTTTGCATCGCCATTTAATTGGTGGTCATTTGCACAGCATGAGGAGTGTTACCTATGCGAGGGTGGGCCGTGGATGAGGGTGGTTTTGCGTAGGGATTTGCCCTAAATTGCGTTTAACAAGGAAATAATTGATTCTTGTGAAATTTATGCAAGATTTGCCCATGTTAACCGAGACATGTTGTTTTGATAATGAATTTCTTATGGGCATCCCATAGGGTTAATCTCAGTCTTACTCTGACTATTTTACTCCAATTTTCTTTCATCACATGACACAATGGGTTTTCCAATTTGTCATGTGAGTGTGTGTTCCACACGGAAAAGGAATTGCTAAATTTTTTTCACCTCAACTCTCACCACCCACAAAAAACTCAGCCCACTCATTCAAGGCTGAACACACAAATATTTGGGTAAATAAACATTTATGCATACCCTTATTTATGTGCTCTAATTTCCCTTTTTCTCTATTATCTAGAAAAATCATATTCCTTTTTTTTCATGTGACTGAATATGAACCACACCTTGATTCTCAGCTCCGAACTTCTTTTCATTTGCATTATACATAGAAAAAGCCGTGGCGGAAAATGTTTTTTTTTCCCACCTAGAAAGTCACTCTCTCTCTCTTCTCTTCCTTCTTTTTTTTTCGACAATGCCACAATGTGCGTACAGAAGGAGGGAGGAAGGAGAAGGAAAAAAAAGAACAAAAGAGCAAAATAATTCACGTGAATGTATGTAAAAGAAGACGTCAAGATGTACATATGTATGTGGCATAATGAAATGTGATCTTATATCACAGGGAAAAAAAAGTCTGCGCGATTTTCGTGTTTACCACCAATTTCATCGTCGCCTCCGAAGATTTGAGCTCCGAAACTTCACCATCTACGCTACTAGAGTAGGTTTATATTTCATAATGGTATGGCGAACGAGGAAAGAACTACGATATCTCAATTCTAAATGGAAATGTGTCGTGTGACTCCAATGTTCAATATTCCCAGAGACGAGAAAGTTAGGCAATTCGAAAAAGCAACTTTCCTCTCACTTTTCTTGCGCCACACACACATATATGTATGAATGGGGCACATATGAGGAAAAGGGGTTTTATCATGGAAATTGTTAAATAAGCTATTTTCGATGGAAATTGATTTTTGAATTTGAAATATGACATTGAAATTGCAAATTTTTTCTACATTGCACAGTAGAGCAAAATCTACTCGAGTCAGCTTTCATTTGAAGACATTTTGCTATTCATAGAGTGAATAAATTAGGACATTTTCCCGACAACTACATTATTATGCAAAGAATGCAGTGAAGAATGTTGTCACTTGTTTCTTTCATTTCAATCTAAATTACATAATATTCCAAAGTTAATTGACCGAAGCAAGGCATTTGGCAGTGGGAAGTTCATTACATTTTCTATTGTTGGAAAATATTCATTTGTCTGACTATATCCAGAATACAGCCTTCTGGCTTTTTAATTCCCTCTTCTCAAGTCATTCAATTTTTGATGGTTGAAGTGTGCTTGAAATGACGTCAGAGCAATTTATCGTAATTTTCGGTGAATGATTAAATTAGTCTCCTCTAATTATATATTTTTCACTGGCAGAGGGAACAAAGAAGAAGTCATATTATATTCCGCTAGAAGTCCCTATTCAGAGGGTAATAAAGGTTCAATTGTGTAGATACAATATATGTATACTTGCTTAATTTACTCTCTCAATGACTACTACTCCATTTCCCGCCTTATAATTATGATAAATCCACGCCCTGCTTCAAAGTTTTTTCCACCCTCCCGCGATGGGAGTTTTATCAGTCTCTGAACAGATGCAATACTTTCCATGGAGCCACAATGTTTTTGCGCATAATTTAAGAGATTCATCACAATTGTGCGGAGCATTATGTTCTCACAGGAGTAAGTAAATTTTTCATTAGTCCGCATAAGGTTTTTCTGGGCCGTGTGAGTGAACCATCGCATTGCAACATATGCTCGCCCCTTCACATAATGTTTACATATTTGGCATGGCATCCATAATAGAGAATGCTGGTATACAACTGTTGAGAAAGTGGAAATCTCATGGGGATGACAGCAGTATAGAGGTTATCTCGGACGGAAGGACTTGTATACGTAAATTCAACATCATGCCAAAAGGCACACTGGAAAAATATCCCCTTCGGATTTCCATATATTTCACGCGACATCCTCTAGAACAGCAGCTCTAAGTGTTACCGGAAGAGATGGTTAACAGCAGAGAAAGTGAAAATGGGGAAGCGGGGAACTGCGAATCATGTTACAGACATTTCTCTGATGTGAGAAAAGTGATTGAGAATGTTCGATCACTGTTTTCAATCGTCCTGAAATCGTGCTTGGTAGTGTAATTTCAGCAAACTTGAGAATTCACGAAATCCACATTCCAAGATTGCTTTCAGAAATCGCAATTTCCACAAATTGAGCTAAGCTTTGAGTTTATCCTGTGTATTTTCCTAGTTATTGCCATTTTCTATCCTTTCTGCATGGTTTCATTTTTGGAATGACCGACTTCCTTATTCACTCCAGCAATTTTTTTATCCATTCAATATCTGTCAATCCGTAAAAATGGCTTTTGCTCCTTTTCCCTCCCATTGATTTTATATACAGCCGAATGAGTATGAAGGCAATTATTTCACAACTAATAAATGTTTTTGCGCCAAAGACCGCAGATATAAGTTAATGCACTGTGAATAGGACACTTGATCAAAGTTGCCAGTTGAGTGGATATAGCAGAAGAATACTTTCAATGAGACTTTTGCCCTTCGCAGGTACATATTGTAAGGATTTTATATAGCATGTGTCGTATTGACCTCTTTATATGCACTTGTTGCTCTTGCAATCTATTAGTTGTCCAGAATTGAACTAATCATCATTAGTGGCTTGATGAAAGCCACTTCCTACTAAATTACTCCTTAATATAAGGAGTATCAAACCTTCTAAAACTTCACGCAGTGATTTGGTGGGCAAACAAGAATTGAATAACAAGTCTTCTGTCTCTTCCCACCCCCACTGTAATCCACCCAAATTGATTTTCTATTATGTTATTCCACCACATTGGACAATGTGATGTGAATGTGCAGATGGCATAGATTACGTCAAGGAAGTTAGTCAAAAAAAAAAAACTAGATAGAAAATACAAAATTGTGTCGACTTTCAATCGATGCCCACCCCATTTTCTCTTGTCCATCAATAATTCGAAACAAGCACATGGAAAATTCCCAATAGCCTCAATACAAACACCGTCCAAACCGTAGAAAGACGATGCATTAGGCGGAGGACGTGCTCCATAAAAATAACCACCCATTTGAAGCGAAAATTCCACCGAAAACACCCATGAGATTCCCACCGAGGCCCCAAATGCTTAGCCCTCGCTCACCTGCACATGACTCTGCTGTAAAGCACCCGAGAATGGGTTGCGGGGGTGGCGAATTGGAGAGGAGTCGCCATCAAAAACAGCAAAACATTCTTCCAGCACGATGGCCCACATAATGCACTGCACGGAGCGGAGCTTTGAGCTTCTGAAACTTTGCTGCTCACCTTGAAATGTTTCAACTCTTTTGTACATTTCGAAAGTTTCCCCTTCTTGTCTCACGATGACGAGGAATTGGAAGAAAAATCTGGGCTTCTTAATGTACAGCACTTAAGCTGATAACCCCTTTGGGGTGTTATTGCTGAAATTTTACAACCCTAACCGCATCCGATTGAATGTCTCTGGATTCTGCTGGTGTATCAATTTTGGAATCCAGTCTGACCGCCAAGGAAGATTGCTTCTTGTGTGTTGCTTGGCTGAATGCCCAAACTTGAGGATTCCATTTATTCGCACTCAGCTGCACTTGGAATTAAGGTTTAATGAAAATAATTCCGAAGCAGCAATCTGTGGGACGAAATTAAGTATATTGAAGATGACGTCAGTGAGAATATGTTGCCACTCATCATTATTATTGCCATATAATGTCTCTATGCTGTATGCGTAGGTAGTAAATCTGAAAATAGAGACAACAAACTGTAATGGAGAAAGCCGAATTCTTTGGAAAAATCACGTTATGTAACATAATCAAGTAATTGCATTGCCACACAATGTGCGAGAACAGCTGAAAGTTGGTGCTTTTTTGGCTCCAATGAAGTTTCATTGGAAAACATGGTAAGGAATCAACTGAAATTGATTCACATGCTGGAATGTTTCAAGGATATTTGGAGAGTTATTGCCAGATTTAGCAATATTTTCTATAAATAAATGCAACATATTCTGCCCTTGTTCAAACACACTATTCGCTCAGCAAATTTATCTTCACCACATCGCAATACTATATATTTTAGCCTTTGTTTTGCAACCACCGAATGACTCCACGGCAATGTCATGTTCCATCAAAGTCATCAATGCTGGGGAAATTAGGCATGGAAAGTGGAGAATCAAAGGAGAAATCTCGCTTGGATTTTCCTTGAGAGTGTTTTGAGAGATTCTTTTTTACTTTCTTGATGTGAAATATTCGTGTGACACGTGATATAGATAAAGTCCTTTGGAGAAAGCGATTCCACTATTTATGGGTGAAAGTGGGTCAAACTTCTAAATAGAACTCTTCTGCCTTATGCCTTTTCTCATAATATAACTTTCTTCTTGGGAAATATCAACTTACATTTTGCACAAAGTTGGACCTCTTGGGTGATTGTGAAGATGTCCTGTGCCAGAGTGTTCCTCTCCGCAAAAAAGGGAGAGAGAAAAAATGGTCGAGTGGATGGATTCAATCAGAAAGTTGGTGTGAAATTGTGAGAAAAGAGAGGCAAGTTGTGTTATTTCCTGACTGCTGAAAATTGATCAATTCGCCAATGTTTGCAGGGCGAACAAAGACCCTTACTTTTGGCTCCTTGCTCCCTCTTCCCAATTTATGCTGATAGTCTCGCCCATTATCGCACCATCGGGGACTCTCTCTCTTCTCTCGCCTTCTGATGGCTCACAATGGGTGGGAAAATTGAGCTTCAGACGCAGGAAGAGGTGAGTGATCTGCTCTTGTCAGCAGCGTCATCATCGTCAAGCATGGTAATTGAATTAGTAATTGATTTTGCCGCCGTTTGTTTACGGCACCGGCAAATTGTGACCCGATTTCGTCGATGTTGCCACACCATCATTGTGAGGCCGTCCACACAGGATGCTTCCAGCCTTTGATGCAATTACTTAGTAGAAATTGAAAGGTGTGGGATGCATTTTAATACCTCAATCGACCGGAGCACATACAATTTCGCCCCTTTCGTTACATAATCATCTCCTCCACTGATGTCATTTTAATTTTATGCGATACCCCAACACTGCTTCTGACGATAAAGAGGATTATAAATTTCTCACGAACTCTTTTTTCATACTTATCACCATGATTCGCCTTCTCTGCAGCTCTTTATGACTCGACATAGGTGGTATATCGCGAGGCTGTTCGTTCGCTCAAATCGAAAATACCAGCCACAATGGTAGCAGGGAATTTTAGGTCAGGATCATTCTATCAAGTTAATCGAGAAACACTTACATTAGTGTGCTGGAGTGTGTCACTTGAGGTCAATCATTTCAAAAAATTGCCTACGATTGAGACAAACTCACATGAACACTGAATAAATTATGGATAGTTGAGATATTTGTAGGTCTAGAAATGCTAAGCGTTATTCAAAATCTTGTGTTTCTTCCTCTGAATACGACTGAAATTGTTGGCCGCCCGGCAAAAAACACATATCGATCGAATTTTCAATTACAAACAAGACTTTAGATTGAAATCGCAGAATAAATACATACTTTAAAGGATATTTAAAGAGTGTTTTGTCAAATAAATTGACATGTAAGCTTTTCTACAATCAAATCTTGACACTTTTCACACACAGACAAACCATGAAAATGCCACAGAAAATTAGCCTTGACCTCCTTTCGAATTCGCTTCAGCACAAAATTACTGTCTTCTTCAGCAACCTCCATCAACACTACTCTTTTCCAGATCTTGATAAGGCTGTGCTGATGCCTTTCCGAATGGATCACACACTATAGAGGGAAATTCTCGTCTCTGGCGATGTTTCATGTGCGCGCTCGAGTCACGATGGCAAGAAAGCTATGCTTTCTTGGGGAAACTTTATTTTCATTTCATTACTCTCTAGCGCAAAAAGGCGTCCAGCCATAAGCACGGAAAAACGAGCTGAAGGATTAGCTTCCTTTTTCCCTCATCCGGACAGAATGCAGAACGTGCTGCCACATAATAACTCTTCTCGCTCGCTGAATGCGGGCAAAAATGGAATTTTGTATTACGCTGAGCAATTTCTGAAGCCACCGCCAACTCGCGGCCACCCTGCAATTGCGCCCACGCCCTGTCTTTTGGCGATTTATTCATGGGGTGGTCGTGTGGGGGTGGACGAGTGGTGTGGCGGGAAGTGCTTGAATTTCGTGATGTTGCTTTGCATTTTATGGTGGTTACTTGTCTCAATTAAACTGCAATTGCATAATTCTCCTGGGAATTTCCGCTTAAATACACCTCACTCTCTGTTTCCTGCTGGAAGTGTCTCTTTAAAGCAACCACGTTAGTTTTCCTGTCACCATGGAATTGTTATTTGAACGACATGAGACGGCATATATGCACAAATTGCAATCACTTCACAATAAGATAATTTTTGTTTCTCTCCCCATGTATAGCGAATGAATAAAATCGATAAATAAAAGAGGAATTTACGGTTTAAAATTGAGAAGAAGATGAAAAAAAAGAAGAGAAAACGAGAGAGCTGAGAAGTTAAATAGAGAGAACAGTTTATAACAAACTTTTGTTGACATTTAATCTGTTCCACAAATTTAACCCCGATGGTATAAGGAGAAACGGGTGAGGAAAAGTTTGCAAAACTATCCTGTGCCACTATTCAAAATGAAATTTCTCTATACAGCTGCAGGCGACACGAGAAATTACTTATTTTTGCGATTTTCTCACATTATACATCATTCTAAGTGGCTCTACATTTCCCTCGCAGCTCTACGTTATCCCATTACAATCTCCTGACTTTGTGGCCACTTTCGAGATTGCAAATGAAAATCAGTGGCGCAAATGTTCAATTTCACTGAAGGAGGAATTTCCCAGAAAGTTCTGGGAATATTTTCAAGTATTTCCACTGAACTATAGAGGAGAGACTCTTAGAATATCTCTGAACAAGTTTATGCTTATAAGAATCAGTCAAAGCGTGTTTAACTTTTATAATTCCAATTATTTTTTTCTGATGCATAAGATAGAATGATTTCCAGATTGCACAAGCATTTTCTCTCTTCATCTATTTTTCAGATAATTGCACTGGGATGAAATGGACCGGTGACAAAATCGGAATATTCCATTAACTGGTCGTTCGTCTCTGGAATCTATCTTCTCTCATCAATCTACTGGATGGAAAAGAGTGGAAATTGAGTCTCTGACTTTTTAAGTGTCACTTCCCCAAACCTCTCCGCACAACGAGCGCAATTTTGACTGTCCTTCAGACACTATCAACGGAGTATAATTGAGCAGCATCGCCTCAATCGTGTTCCATCGGGATTAAATGTATACAGGTGATACAGGAGAGCAGCAAGTAGTAAATGGGACAGTGAAGCTGGGGAGCGAGTCTGTTATTATTTCGAGGGAGGAAACGTCATGACCGAATGCGAGGTGCAACGATGCACCTGCAAGGGCTGAGTCATCTGCAGGTCTACGACTCAACCCTGGAGGCTCTCACGAAGTCGGGTCTTATTCTCGTCCTGGGCGTCGCCATAGTCGCTTCTAATATACTCATTATAGCCACATTCCTTAACTTTAGAGGTGAGTTGTGATTTCTGCCCATAAAAATCACGATCTGACCCTCAATTTCACTTCAATCGCAGGTCCGTCAGAGGTGATAAACTACTATTTGCTGTCACTGGCGGTTGCTGACCTACTATGCGGACTTCTGATAGTGCCCCTATCTGTGTACCCAGCCCTAACTGGAGAGTGGATCTACGGCGACATCCTCTGTCGCTTCATCGGATACTTGGAGGTGACCCTGTGGTCGGTTACCGTGTACACATTCATGTGGATCTCAGTAGATAGATACTTGGCTGTCCGGAAGCCTCTCCGCTATGAGACGGTTCAGACAAAAACCAGGTAAAACCATCGACTGGGCGGGGCTCTCAAGGAGGCGTGGTCTTGCTTCTTGAACTCATCACATCGCTCTCTTCTTGCAGGTGTCAGTGTTGGATGGCATTTACATGGATCTCCGCTGCAATGTTGTGCTGTCCACCCCTGTTAGGCTTCAATAAGGCCAAGTTCGATGATGAGGCGTACGTGTGCATGCTCAACTGGGGAAATATGGCGGCATATAGTGCCACCTTGGCCATCCTAGTCCTAGGCCCTAGCGTCATCTCCATCGTCCACAACTACGGCTACATCTTCATCATGATGCGCCGCATCAAGTCCGGCGCACCCATTCATGACAAGGAATACGCCACGGCGCTGGCGGAGAACCTGGCCAACCCGAGCCACACCATGTCCTTCGCCCTGATCTTCTCCTTCTGGATCTCATGGAGCCCACTGATTGTCGTGAAGATGTACGAGAACATCACGGGCTCGGACTTTGAGAATCCCCTCGTTCACTTCGGCATTGTGTGGTTCGGCGTGCTCAACTCCCTGTGGAAGTTCATAATCCTCACGGGCATGTCGCCACACTTCCGCCTCGCCCTGCGGATCTTCTGCCTCACGATCTGCTGCAAAACAAAGGGGCGCCTCCAGGCGGAACTCATAGGTCTGGACCCGGATGACTAGTATAGTTTGTGTGGCGACATCCATGAGCCAAGCGACAGAGTGGAGAACTTTTACACACTCATAAGGAACTAAGAAACTGACTCGTCTGGAGAGTAGCATTGGGTGAACATACACGATGACGTTACAATAAATTGTGATCGTTTCTTGATTTTACACAACTTCTGTGTGTAAAATCAACCGCTAAATAGTTTAAAATGAAGACACATAAAAGCAAAGAAAAAAAACGCGTATAGAGTGGAGAATCAATATAAACAATGATTATTATAGTGAATCGCTCAATATTAAAATGATAAGCATTATAAGAAATGAAGAAAAAAAAACTCTTAGGTATACTATGGAAGATAAGATGAGAAATACAATGTATGATGATAACTTCTGAGATATAAACCAGTATTTCAACAAATTTTCAGGGCTTACATAATGAGGAAAAAAAAAATGCAGACATAAATTTACGTAATTTTCAATAGATAAAGTTGCAACTACACTATCAAATCGAGTGAGATTATTGAGGAAGATTATAACAAATGAATAAATAAAATGAAAACAATTCAATCGTCATTCAAGTAACTCTTAAAATTTAAGATATAATCTTTCTAGTTTGTAAAAGTTAATTCTGAGATAACACAAAATGTTAAGGTATAAATATTTAAAAAGAAAAAATTGCGCATTAGTCCTTAGGAATAAAGGAAATTTAGATGTAGTATTTTTTCTATAGTTGTACACGTTGAGAAAACTAGTTGATTAGGATGCAAAATAGTTCGCGACATCTAGAGAATTAGGAAGAAGAAGAAGAAAAAAATGAGGGTAAATATAAAGTCAGGAGTGATTTTGAAAAAGTCAAAAAAAAATACCGGAAGAAATAAATCGGAATAAAATGAAAGAATGCACAAGAACTCTTCGAAGAATCGATATCAAATGAATGTATTTGGGTATTAAATATAAACAATTATAAAACATGATAAAAGAAAAGTAATGCCGATTTGCAATGGTAGTAGAATATAGAATTTCAGAAAAATGAAGAAAAAAAAACCATATATAAAAAATAATCATCTTTTTTTTTAGACTATGAGAGATAATTTTTAAGTATAAATCGCTTTCAATAAAAGAAAAATTGCTTAATTTTGAGCATGATGTGTAAGTAAGAAAAAAAAAGTTAAATATTGATGTTTACGAAATTTACAACGAATCTAACAGAATTTACGGTGAATCGTGATTTTTATTTGTTTGACATTTTCATTTCTACTTGAGAAGAACAGAAGAGTTAATATATTTAAAAGTATTTGAAATAGCATAATAAATGATACGATTCTGAATGAAAGTCGAACATTGTGTCCGAACAATTGGATAATCTAGCGAAATTTCGCCTAATTACTTTACAGTTTCTTTTTGTATTGAACATATTTCATGGTGCATTTCGCATTCAATCAAAGTGTGTCGGTTATTAGGCACAAAGTATGTAGTAACAGGTAATAATCCGTGAGAATCACATTTTTTCAATTAAAATTCTCGATGTTGGTAGAGGAGAGAACCCTTTGAAAAACATGCTGTCCCATTGCGAAAATAAGAAGAACAAATTAAATATAAGAATATAATTTGGAACTTCAACAGAAATCAATGCAATTAACTTAACATTATTAATTTCTTTTTTAATGTTTATCTAATCACGATAACTAAAAAAAAAATGGATAAGAAGTACTAAATTAAACTTTGAAAAACTATATTGGAAGTATAAAAAGAAAAATCTATAAATTTGAGAAATTGCCTGTAAATAAATTGAAAAGTAATAATTTCGACAAATCACATCCACAAAATAGAGCTCTTTCGGAGAAAAGAAGAAGTAGATTATTTTTAGAAGAAAATTGTCAGTATAAAATATACATATAATCCTAACTTGATATTTTGATATAATGTTATATCAAAATGAGAAATATATTATTACCGAGTCTTTTGGTTGTTTTTTAAAATGAAATTGATATCTTTTCTTTTGGTTTTTTGTCGTCAAATTTCGGCGTACGTTTCCACAGGGCCTATATATTAAACTGTTTGATGAAAATGATAAAAAGAACTGTAATTTTAATGGATATAATTAACTTCTTTCAAATATTATATGTCCTTAGACGCAAAAATTATTGATTCATACATAAATGAAATACAGTAACTTTAACAAGAATCCCCAACTTTTTTCTCTTGCCACACACTTACTCAACCGTGATCTATTGTTTTCACATGATATTTGTTTAAATAAGGAAATTACTAACGATATATACACATAATATTTATATAAAAAAGGTAAACACTTGTCCTGTAGAAAGAGTAAAGAAAAAAAAACAATGTGAAATATTTATTAATGAAAATATAATTGTTCGCCTTTTTTGTACAATAAATTCCACTTTTGTATTTTTTAATAAAATATGACATCTAATAAAATATTTGTAATAGAATTTATTGAATTAAGAAAAGTGAAAGTAAATGATTATATTACTCAAAATATTGTATATTATTGAAAAAAAAGAAAGACAAAATGAAAGAAATACAGTAAAAAGAAACACTTATAAACTGTTGATCATCTGTCGAAGTATTCTTAATACTTGTTTTCTTATGTATCACACAATTTGTTGGTATATTTTTCAAAAAAAAAAGAATAAAAATAAGGTGTATGAAAAAAAAACTACAGAAGACACGTCAATTAAAAGTGAAATGAAAATTTATTGTTGATAATTGTAATTTTTCAACAAATTCTGTATGATAATTAAATTGCATTTATATGTGATGCATTTGTTGTAATTTTATATCACTCTGTTCTAAATCCCATTGTGTTTTGCAAATAATCTTTCAAACAAGAAGCATTACAAATTAATAACTTGAATATAGCATTAGGAAATATCTGATACAAAGAGAAACTCAATTCTTTGGAAATAAATCAAATTTGTTACATTTTATATATATTTCAATTCAGTATAAAGTCAAATGATTTATGTTCTAGAGAGACAAAAGCAAATGAGAGGCATCAACCACAATTTGTAGCCGCTTCCGAATTTGAACAATTAATAAAAACAGAAAAAGATACTGAATTATTGTTTAAAAATCAAGCTTTTCAATTGGTAATAATTGAGAGTCACCGTGATTTTGCATATTGGACTCTGACAGGGCTCAACGTTTCCCATTCGAAAATCCCAATTGTCGATCGGTGTGCACTCTGTCGTGAATGGGGTGAAAGTGCGTGTTTTGCCCACTTTTCGGCGTTTCTACGCAGTTGCCTTGACATGAGTTTGACAGCGCCATCGCAGAAAGGCCAAAAATTGTGTTGATAGGGGCATCGCACAGAGATTTCGTGCTGAATTTTGGGGCTGTGTGCCAGAAAAAGTGGAGTTTCAGATTGACTATCGCGAATGTGGGGGCCCGTGAGTGTTTTGCACTAGTGCACAGACGCACTGCACGCGAGAGGAGCCCGAATTTCGGGTGGCAAAGTGCTTGGGACAGAGAGTAGCCTTGTTGTTGTTGCCTCCGTTCGCAACAAAGTCGCGACGACAGCAGAGGCCAAGCAGCCACAGAATAGGCGAGAAACGTAGTTGATTTGCGTATCGGCAGCTGTACGTGAAAATTCAGGTGTCGCTGGGACTGTGGCCGCGGTGAACAATTGTCCAGCACACGCAATTTGTGCGCCAGGGCAGCGCGCCGTGGAGGCTTATGTGAAGCAGTGGGGAAGGCTTGTAAATAGTGTGTGACAAAAGGAAGACAAACTCTCTGTGACGCGACATGAAACTCTAGTTTTTCGGGCCCCCCTTCACGGGGCCCCCAAAGGAGTTGTTGCATCAGTGTCAATTGATTGCATTGCACATCAACACTGCGAGCTCTAAAGGTAAAAATTCACGAGTTGTTTCGCTTGTGAAAAGCATGACCTCCAATAATGGCTGAAAAAGTCTCTCTGTGTGTTTCTATGCTGAGTGCGCTCTCCGTCGCTGTGACCCCAATAAAGTGCCCTCCGCGGTGGCACAGAGGCACCTGGAGTGTCCCCAAATCGCGCCCCGTGAGCCCCACATCCTCACCGTGCCCGAAAGTCGTCCGGTGGGACTGGAATTTTCCGTGAAATTGACGTGCAAAGGGAAGAGAGAGAAAGAGTCTCGGAAGTTTCAAGTCAAAATGACGCTCGTGGTGAGCAAAAAGAGAGACTCAAACAAAGAGGAACTTCAGCATCCCTTCGTTCGCCTCTCGGCTCATATTCTACCCACAGAGAGACACGTTCATTTCTGCCTCTTTTTTCCCTCTCCGATCGCCTCGCTTTCCACTCTCCATTCCGTGGATTTTTCCGTCAAAACACCGCCAATGTTTGCCCAGGAAAATGCAGAAAATGGGGAATATGAAGAGAAAAAAAAATACTCCGCGTAACAGCAAAACACGGAATGTCAATTGAACGACCGGCAATTTGCCCAAAGAATATATTATTTAGAAGGTCTGTTTTCGTGAAAATACAGTAGGAAATACGAAAAATTTCAATAACTTCACATCTACCCTTGAAAAAATAATAAATAATCTACATTAAATTGCTTTTAAACTCACGACAATGCAAAAAATCTACTGAGAAATTTCATTGCAATTTCAACTGAGTTTATTTCTTTATTCTCTTTATAAAAATTGGTTTCAATATTGAGTTGCTGAAATAATTTAAAAATTAATTGTTTAATGTCAAATTCATTCAAATTGTCTCATGGAAAATGATTCCAAAAATGATTGGTTTTTGGATATGAAGCAGAAATGATAAGAAAAATAAATAAATGGCAAAATATAAAAAGGATTGTAATCAACCTGAATAAAAGCTCTAAGAAATGTGTTACCTTATTGTGAATTTTCATGTAATGAAAGCGTGTGTGTTTATCTTATTGCGGGTGAACCTATAAATCATAAATACTTCATGTCGGAAGATAACAAGTGAAATATTTCCTCAAGTATTCTTTCCCTGATTACCATAATTTCGTCGATCTTCGCGGGAAAACAACGCATTTTATTGTAGAACGCATAAGCGATCAATGTGCTCGTTGATTTATCGCCAATTCTCAATTTCCTTCCTAGAAAGAGTGTGTGTGAGAGAGAGAGAGAGATGGAAGGCTAGCGCTGGACGCGCGCAACCTTATCAAAAATGCCCATTCAATGCAATTTTGTATGAAAACATGGGTCGAAAAGTGATACAATTTTTCCCGAAACGCCATCGCGCGCCCGAAGCCGAAGCGTCATGCATACAGACTGAACCAGAAAATGTACAGTTAATCACCAAAATGTCAATGTGGACGAGTTAGTGTTGAGAGAGATTAACAAAGGCAAGGAAGAATTGAAAAGTGACTTTTAATGGCAGAAAAATAAGAAGACACAACATCCCAACTCTGGTTCAAGCTTCAATTCAGCCGCGCAACGTCGCGAATGAGTCAAAGTGACGGAAGAGAAAGAAAGCACACACACGGAGAAAAAGAGAACAGACTGAAGCAATTAGAAAAAGAAGAAGTTCAACAATTAATGGGAAACAGATGATGTGAAAGAGTGAAGAAGAAGACGCAGTTTGGCGAAGAAGAAGAGATAAATTTTTGTGATATCTTACAGGTGATGATTTTCGGCAACATTCTAGTTTTGGGCAATTTTTCTGTGTGAAATTTTGAAATGAAGTCAAAGAAACTCTGTGTGATTTTGTAGCTTTTCTGGCTGAAAGACATTTTGCAAGAGAAGCAGACTCATGTAATGCCTGAGTTACTCAATCAGGAAGCCTTAGATTAGCGAGAGTCCTATTGATCATTTGGAGGGCGAGAGGAATGTTAGCGGAGAAGCTTTTGTCACTGTTGACTTTCCCTTTATGTATGACAAGCGCGTACATAGAAGAGCGACGATGTTGCGCATGTCTGACCGACGATTTACATCCTTCTTCCTTATTTACCCAACATCTTCTCCCATGCTTTCTTTCCACTCCAATTTTTCGTCAATATATCCACACACACACACACTTTTGTGGGTTCATTTTGGGGGTTGATGATGGCCTAAAAATGCGCGCAAAGTAAAGCTAAAATTTTCCCACCAGTTGCACAGATTGATTGCGACTCGCGAGCGTCGATGAAACACGTTGATGAACAGCAAATCCAATTACTTCACCAGGGAATAAATTAGTTATGCCTCTAATTGTTTAATATCTGCCATGATATTTCATACACTTACGGTATGTCTTTCACCTTACCCACTGTTTTGTCTCTCTCTCTCCCTCTCGCCGCAGAAGACGAAGAACAAGAAGCAGCAGCAGCAGCAGTAAGATAGAGGAAGAATGGATCAAATCTTCTACTCACCCCTCAATGGTGTTCCATCTGAGAGCAAATTGGCAACTTATATGGTAATTATCGTGCCTTGTCATCAATGAATTGTCCTATTATCACCTCTCTATCTTGTCTATTTTGTGAAATACACACAACTCCAATCGACATTTGTAAATATCTCTGGCATCTTATTATATGGTTTTGGCTATACTGTTCCTTTTCTCCCTCCAACAAACAAATCCCAAATGCCTTACCATCTTCAAGAGTCGACAAAATGTCACAACACCGACTTATGGATTGTCATCGGGTATAACGAAACTGTCTCTGGAATCGCCAATTTCAACAAAAAAGACTCAGGTTCACAATTCAATGTTTTATTCCCTTTCTCTCTTTTTTTTTGTAGCGTTTTGACATCCTTTTTCTCTTAAAGTTTCGCATTTAAGGAAATACTTTAAAGAATAGTTGATGCATGCAAACTTTTACTTTCACTTGGAGAATATTTAATTTAAATATATAAAAGAGTGAATTAATTTCTATCCAGCAAAGGTTTTGATGAGATAAATGCTTGGCTTAGTGAAAGATGTATTGGCTAAAGTGCTGTTTTCTAACGCTTTGCAAGATATGATTTAATAATTTCTACAATGAAAAAAAAACAACAACCTACAAGATCGTGAATTGGAATGAGAAAAGTCCATTTTCCACTGCCCACGATGCTCAAGCTTATGAGAATATCATGGGAATGCAATGCTATTGGGCCTTCTTATTTTTTAGTCAACATTTTATGTGTGATGCTGTAGAATAATAACACCGGCTTTGTGACAAACACACACACACTGACTGTGAAGCACGCAGATTAATTGTGGCCCTCAATGATTGCAGGTAACGCCACAATCTCCTGAATTCATTCCACGTCTCAATTCATCGCCGAGCTTCTACTCTCCATATTCATCTGTGATCGCAAATGGGGGCGGTGGATCCAATGGGGGTGTCGTGGTGCCACCGATTGTGGCGAAGCCAACGTCTGTGTTAGGGGCTCCGTGCCCGTCCACCGTGTACAATGCTGTGACGCCGATCAAGAGTCGCAACTTGATGCGCGGCGACTCTCCGCAGAGTACAAATGACTCACCGCGCCTCACGCCGCAGCCCTCACCGCCGCCAACGACTGCGATCCATCAGGAGAATGTCGGCGGCACTACTTACTTCTATCCGGCCGCCGCGGCTGTGGCGCAAACCACCACCAGCCAGGCGTGCAGCTCCACGAGCTCCGACACGAATGGGCGCTATGGGCACCACAGCAGTGCCCAGATGAGCCTCTCGTACTCGCATCCGGGCCATGTGTATCCCGGCCCCGCGTCCAGCGTGCTCAGTCTGCAGCCCAAGACCCTCCTGTCGTCGGCCTTCTTCATGCCGGCGGAGATGCGCAGCAGTATTCAGGGCAGGAATGCCATCAGCAACAACATGGAGACTGGCGGCATTGAGCTGCCACTCGAGGTGGACAACTACCACGGACTGTGCCCCCTGGAGCCGATGGCGGTCAATCTGAAACTCCCGGTGCCCGCGTCCTCGTACAAGGCAACCCACAGCAACACAGGAGTCAAGTACTTCTTGCGTCGAATTCATGGTGTGTGTTTTTCCCCGGGCATTTTAAATTCACCCACGCTCTCTAATGCTCACTCTTCCTTCAGGTTTCCGTCTGCAATCTGCGAAGTTTATGAGTGTGGTGGAAATGTGGAAGAAACTGCAACATTCTAACGTGGTCCAATTGCGAGAAGTATTCACGACAAAGGCATTTGGAGATCACTGTAAGTCCTTCTTGTCTCATTTACACACAAAATGGGATTGTTCAATGGAAATTGTTGCTTTCTCTCGCAGCTCTTGTGCTCGTCTATGACTACCATCCTGGTTCTCAGACGCTCCTGTCGAAGTATTTTACACCATCCGTTGAGACGAACGGATATGCTGACCCGTTCTCGGGTGAGGCGCGTCCTTTCAGTCACAAGAGCAGCCTTCAGAGGACTGTGAATGGTCCGATGTTGGCGGAGAATGAAATATGGTTCATCATCATGCAACTAACTGCTGGTCTCCGTGCAATACATCAATCGGGACTGGCGTGCAGGTGAGCTTCTAAAACAAGTCCTGACAAAGTGTGTGTCCTTTTGATGATCATTGACGAGTGATTTTCTTCTGTTTGTAGAACGCTAGATCCCACGAAAATCATCGTTACGGGAAGACGAGTGAGATTTAGTTGTTTAGGCATTTCCGATATTGTTTCCTTCGATCCGAATCAGGCTAATCAATTAGCGGTCATTTCACACTATCAACAGGTTAATATTTCTTCTTAAGCTATACAAGAAATTCTCCACGAAAACACAACATTTTATTTATACTATCATTTGTTGGGTGAAAATTGTGTTTGGTCAACCACAAATCACCCCCTTTCTCTTTAATTGCACTGGTAGTTTGAGGAACATTTATTATTGAAAGTGGCACTTTTAGTGTTCTTATCGTTTTCTTGCTCAACATCGATTTTGCAGGGAGTTTCCTTTGAAAATGTTGTGCCAATAGATATTGAATGTTTCTCAAACTTCTGGGGAGTCTTGAAATATTGATATCAGTTTTAAAGTCTTCTTCGTGTCTTTCTTCTCGGAATCAGGAGGACTTGACGTCTCTGGGTAAGTTAGTTTTAGCGCTAGCTTGCCGTTGTCTCCACTCGATACACCGTGATCAGGTTCAGGCAAGCATCGAATTGGTGGCCAGACACTATTCAAGTGATTTGAGAAATTTAATTTTGTGAGTTGCCACTTTTATGAATATTTTGTCAGTATTAAAGCGATTACAGGCTTGCTGATGATCCACGGGAGGATAAGCGAGAGCGCGAGTGTGTGTTCGCTTAGCCAGAAAACGCGAATAATCCCTCGATATATCGAAGGTTCAGCCAATTTTTCAGGGGTTCGCGACGGCATTGCGCGACTCAGGAAAGACAAAATGGCGGATCTCTTGCGAATAATTTCCTGGATTATTAAAATCATTAAATTCTTCTGCAAGTCATCAATTTTCACAATTTTAAAGTAAAATTTCACGCTTTTGAAGTATGCAAATCAACTGACAGCTGAACACACCAAGCACAGTGGCGCTAGTGTCGACAAAGAAGAATAATCTCTGAGTGTGTTTAACGCCAGTTCAGCCACGAATGGTTAATCCATATTTTGAGTGTTTAAAGGTTCAGATCAATCACGATTTATCGCTAATCTGACCTTTACACACTACAGGCTCATCCACGGAGGATTGATCCGAGTTCGCGCTGATTCGAGGATAACCCACAAGTCTGTAATCGCTCTTATTTGTCACTAATTCTTGATACTTAATCATGTCTTTTTCTCTCTCTTCCTCTCTCTCTGCATTTTGTTGGGAAATTTGTTTGTCTGTTTCTTGACTGTGTTGGGGGGGGTTATCTTTGGGGGGATGAAATCGTGTGTATCTTAGGTACCTTCTGACAACGACAAATCGACGTGCCGTCTCGGACTTGATGCCAATGATTGGCGCACGGTTCTATATACAACTTGACGCCCTCCAGACGCAGTGTGATATGCAAGACGACGAATTGGCCAAGGAAATGGAAAATGGGAGACTCTATAGACTTCTTGTGAAACTTGGATGCATCAATGAACGTCCTGAGTGAGTAATCAATGTATATTTCCTCTATTTGCTCTCTTTTTCTCTCTGATATTGGAATATATTATTATGTGTCGTTGTGTATTTCACATGGTCGTTATGTCGAATTTCAGCATTGAGACGTTGAGGAGTTGTGCATTCTGTGATGCTCTGAGGGTGTGAAAATAGTGTGTTCGAAGGGAATTTCTTTCCCAGAAGACTTGCCTAAAGTTCATGAACAGTTGTTAGAGTGTGAATTTCGAGGACAAAGTGTGCTTAAGTAATTTATTGAGTTGATCTTGTTTACATTCTCTTTGGCTTCACAAATTTGGTTGAATCACAAATTTCAGGTTGTAATTATTATTATTGTGTGTGAAGGAACATGAAAAGCAGATTTACGGACACATCATGAATATCGAAAGTAATTTGATACGTTGCAGATTGAATAGAAGAGAGTATTTAGAGTTAAAGAGAACTTTTGGAAGTTAAACATCGAATCGTGTGTCTCTTCAGGAAGAGAAGCAGAAACTATTCTCATAACTGCAATCAACCGAAATACACTTGGAAAGAGAAAGAAGATGCTGAACAACATTAGGGATTAGATTTGTGATTTTTCCTTTATTTTCCGTAATAAATAGCACTTTACTTTAGCATTTTATGTATCTGTAGAGTTTTGTGAAGGCAAATAATAATGCAAAAGATGGTCTCTCTCTTGATGGCTCTCCGATCAAGTAAGACAAACACGAATCGGAGATGTTAAAGACATACACTAACCCTGATTCCTCCTCTGTGTTAAGGTGATTTAGATGAATTTTCAAACAACTTTCCTCTTCTTCCCCTTTCAGGCTCAATATGGATGTGACTTGGTCGGAAACTGGCGATCGCTACATGTTAAAACTCTTCCGCGATTATTTATTCCACTCTGTGAGTGAAGATGGACGCCCTTGGATGGATCATGCACACATTGTCCAATGCCTCAACAAGCTCGATGCTGGAACGATGGAGAGGGTGAGTTGGTGGCGCACAACGCGACTGCCGACACCGTTTCAAGCCTCGTGTTTCTTGTCTTGTGCAGGTGCAACTGATGTCCAGGGACGAGCAGTCGGTCCTCGTGGTGACGTACGCTGAGCTGAAGCACTGCCTGGAACAGGCATTCGGCGAATTGGCCGCCAACGCGTGAGAGCCGCGAAACAATTAATTCCTCCGAAGAAGAAATTCTTACGTAAATGACGCGCGCGCGACACTTGACCGATTTTGATTGACTGACAACACTTGCCTTCCTTTCTTGCAGATTGAAGACATGCAGCTAAAGATTTGTGAACGAGAACGAGCGGAGAGGGAGACAGAGAGAGAGAGAGAGCGCGATTTAAACTTATGGTTAACAGAGTACTTGAAGATGAAAGTGAAGAAGAAGAAAAAAAATAGTGTTGGTATAATTTATTTTTTTAAAGAGCAAAATGAAAAAATCACCTAATAATTTAACAAGATGAATAAGAGGCGAAAGATGAGGCCGTCTTATTTGGTGAAATAGAAGAGGAGAAGCAGAAGATTGTCTTGGATTTTAAAGGATTAGTAAAATCGCAGAGTTGCGATGTTTTTTTTTTTTTAATATAAGTGTGAATAATTTCACCACTTTTTTACAACACGTAAAATTCTAAATTGATTTATTTGTGATGAAATTTCTGTCACGCGTCTCTTTAAATACTTTCTATATTTTTTTAATTCTTCTAATTACAGTAAGAAGATGGTAATTTTCAAGTTTTTTTTTCTAGATTGTTATTTTCTTAGCAGATATGAAGCACTCAAGATGGATTTTTCTTTCCAACAATCTTTTTTTTTTGTAACTACAATTAATCATATATTTTGTGATGAAGATTTAAATGAATGAATTGTCAAAGTTTGATAGGGAGTTGAAAGTTTTTTTTTCTTTTGTAAAATCCTTTTTTTTGCGAAATAGAAAGTGAACTCTATGAAGAAAAACCTTTTATGATTTTTTGTCTCACTTGATCTGGGCGTGGAGAGGAGAAGAATTTTAGTGATTTTGCGAAGAAAACACACATTCAATGGCATTTTTTCTGTTTTTTTGCACACACGACAAAACACAAAAACATCCGTCCTGGCTGAAAAAAACAAACTGAAGAAAACGACACATTTTCTCTTGATGGCATTTTTAATGATTAGTTGTGAAGAAACAAAATTTCTTATTCGCAGAAAATTGCTAAAATTCTACAAGATCTTTTCTTTTTCTCTTACAATTTCTCATAAATTTCACATGTGATTTATTTGAAACTGAGGATTTACATTGCTGATGGGCCCAAAAACAAAGGCTCTCGGGAGATTCATACAGTTTTGGTGGTATAAATCAAAAAGAAAAGAAAAACCCCTAATTTATTCACTCTAAATTACATTGCAAGGAACGAGAGGAGATAATGCAAATTCTTAGGGACTTTTCAAAGAGAGAGAGAATGGCTATCTTGACCACTATAATTTCCTATAGTTTTAACAATTTAAATTAAAAGAAAAAAAATCACGTGAGGTGTGAAGAAAAAAAGTCGTTCTCTTAAATGCAGAGAGTGGAAATTGAACTAAAATGTAAAAAAAAAATGTGACGGTTTGAAAAATGGAAAGGGCACAAAAATCGAAAGAAGAAACAAAACTACAAACACACTTTGATCCAATTTATCTTTCAGTAACATTTCACGATTGATTGACTTTTCTTTTTTATCGGCGGACAAAAAAGGAAAATGAAATACAATTATACAACATTTTAGGAGGCGCAAATGAGATGCGTAGGAACTGAAATAAGAGGAGAAAAAAAAATAAAGTGAAGAGAAAAATGATGAAATTATATGTTTAATAAAAAGGAATTGAAAATACTTTAAAATGTCTCAATGACTTAAATATTCCCTACTAAAACAATAAATCTACAATTTTTTCGGCGAGAGTCGCGGCGGCCGAAGAAAATCAATTTGCGGCGCACGGAGAATTGCACTCTATGAGTAAAACTGCTGTGTCGTGTGTGTGTGGATTACTTTCCGTGTTCATCTGGCACATTTCCGCTCCACTTTTCAGGCGTCTTGTCGACTTGTTCACTGGAACTGACGTCGACGGGCAGCGCGTTGCTTGTCAAATCGCAACTCCATCTCCTCCAGCACCTTTGGCGTGTAGCGCACCACCAGCTTCACCGAGCCGATCGCCTGCTTGAGGAGCTCCACGGCTTTCTCATGGTTCTCGCCCTCCACGGACTGCAACGAGGCAATTAAGCAAACCACTCTTCAGCATTGACTTCTCGCCGCTTCTCTTCACTGGGCAAAATCGCTGTTTCAAACTATCATGCAAATGATGCAAATTCTCAGTAATCCGCTTAAGTGAGAGATTAGAAGAATTCAAAGAAATGGAAGAAAAGCGTGATTTCCTACGAAGATTTAAAGAGAATTTAAAGCACTGCATTTTTCCTCCAGTCTTAAAGTTTTATCACAGTTTTTGGCGGGAGAATTTGCACTTAAAATGCATGAGAAATAAGCTATCGAATAACGACGTTTTTGCCACATCCACAGATATATAGAAAAAGCTGGAAAAGCTTCAATTTCTAGACATGATACGAAATGGAAATTGAAGCAGAAAAAGCAAAGAACATTCCGAAATTAAGGGAGGGTACAATTTGACCAAATCAAGCTCAGAATGTTATCAACCCTAAAGGATTTAAGTGGCTTAAATTGAACCAAGGAAATAGGAGGAAATCAACCACTTTCCCCAAGACTTTCCCTCCAAAATCGCAGGTCAGAGAAGACGGAGCAGACAACAGAGCAAATACGCACCACTCCGTTGACGGAGAGCAGCTGGTCGCCCCGCTTGAGGCCCCCGTGGCGATCGGCCACGCCTCCGGGGATGATGCGGGAGATGTAAATGGGGGAGTTCTGCTCCTTGCCGCCCATCACGTTGAATCCCAGGCCCTCGTCCGTCTTCGGCAGCTCCACGACGCGCGGGTGCGCGTGTCCCTCGCTGGCGGCGAACGCGGCCACCGTGGCCTTGGCGGTGGCGGAGGCTCGCACGTCCTGCGAGCCCTGCACGTCCACCGTCTCGTAGACGTGCTCGTACACTTCCCGCACGGCGTTGAAGAAGTCACTCTGGAGGACTTTCTGCAGCGCCGCCACCTTCGTCGTAGGAATCTCGCCGCTCATCTCGAGCTTCGCCAGCAGCTCGATGGTCCGTTTGATGTCTATTTTTGTCGCACAGGCGACAGGAGGAGAAGAGAACAGCGTGAGAGATGTGATTTTTCCCCGAAGGGCGGAAGGCCTTTCGCGCGCCTCCCCGAGCTTTCCTCACCAGTTGCAAGAGTCAGTGGCTCCACACCCATGGTTGCTCAGCGGTTCTGCAGCGTCTGGTGCTTCTTGAGGATGTTCTGCACGCTTTCAGCACTTCAGTTTGCACTTTCCCTGGGAAATTCACCCTTTCCGCGAGTAACTTGAGAAAACTGGGATGCTGTCAGTGCGAAGAGTGTGCGCCGAGCCGAAATCGCACAGCTGCAAGAATTTCACCACGATTGTCTTGGAATCTCCGCATGAAGAGACTCTACATATTGTCCAGTCCAAGTGTGTGTCTTTCTTAATTCTCTGCGAAGAGTATCAAATACTCCTGGATTGTATTTCTGTTGGCAGAGCCTCAATTCAGCCCACTGATGTCCGCCGGCTGGCGGCTGAAATACTTCGGCGCACTCCTTGCTGTCAACATGGCATTCGCTCGAAAAGTGCTGGAAAAAGAGAGACAGCACGATACTGCCCACTTGCTCACTCGTGACACTGCGAGAGCGAGAGGAGCGGCTGCTGGTCGCATACGGTCATCTCGCGTTTCATTTTCACAACGCAGAAAGTAGGCAGTTCTTGTTAAAATTTTCACCGAAGCTGTGTGATTTATTTTTGTGTGTTAATTTATCGAAGAAATTTTCACTATTTACAGATCGAAAATTATCTCGAGTGAGTATCCAAGTGTGCGGCCGTGCGCGCGGAGTGGGTTTGGGGTGTTGAGTGGCCGCGAGGGCGGCGGAAAAGGGCCTGGGCAGGCGAGTTGGTATGTGGTGAAAAATATTGTACGCATCTTCCATTTTACGGAATTTCAACCGAGAGTTTCTGGTCTGCGCGTTGAATGTCGGAGGAAATCCACCCGTGTGCCGTTCCGCCGCGATCGCCAATCGATTTTCGCGCATCGGGAGCGCGCCTCGGCGTCCGGGCGGGCGCCAGGGGCCCCGCGCGGGGCGGAGCGCCCGCGGAGCAGCGCCCCCGAGTGGCGCGCGAGCTCGCTCCCCCCCATGAACTGACAGCCAGCTCTCTCTCGGGCGAGCAGCACTCTCCCGCGGTGTGCCCGTCGCACAACTGAGGCACGCAAGAGTCTTGGGGACACATTTGTGTTATGTACCGAGAGTGCCGCTATGTGCTCTGGCTTCTCCGGATAAAAAAAGACCTTGTCGGAGCGCGAGAGAGCGAGTCAAGAGGGCGCGCGAATGGGATTAGAATGAAAACACACTGATTTTCCACCAATTTGCTGCGTCCGCTCTTCCCCGTCACTGCCAACTGGCGCGCTTGGTCGCGGGCGACGTCGCGACCCTCGCGGGACTGCAGGAGGCACACTTGTTCGCTCCGGAAGCGCGAGAAATTCCTCGGCCGCCACACGGGCGGCGGAGAAGCGCGCCCAAGGCGCCCAAACTGGGTCCCTTCGTGGCGCAAAACTGCTCGCTTTTCCTCTCTTTCTGGCGCCTTCTTCCGCACGCATTTTCCCTTATTTTTCACACTTTCGTATAATTTTATATAAGAGACACTATGCAAAATTATTGTAATTGCTTCCACGGGGAAAAACCACACCATGGCTCGGTCTAGATGTTGTGCTTTTATTTCATTCAAAAGCGACTGTAAATTATTTGTGAAAAATGCTTGGAAATTTTAGAAATCAGTCAATATAAATTTGTTTGTTTCTTTTTCAACAAAATTAGAACATTACGATTTTGGCGGGAAAATTGCTGACAAGACAAAATCTATTTATCCGGAAAGATGGTTGAATTTGTAAAGGTTAAAGTAATTCTAAGTCCCTTAATTGTTCTTATCCTAGAGCTTAACTCAATGCTAGGTTTTTCTTCGTTACATCGTGTCGCTGAGTGTTGTAAAATCAGGCAATATCTTAAGGTTAACAATTACTATTGTTTAAGGAATTCCCAGAGGAATTAATCAGAGGAATTTGCGGCTTGAAGAAGCCAGAAATGTGCTGCAGAAGCTGGAAGCGGCAGAATTGTTTTGTTTTTATTTTTATTATCATATCTGTGACCGAAATCAGTGAGTTCTTGATTCTCGAAAATCGATTAGATAGGAAAATTGCGTGGTGTGGGAAGAGAGAGAAAGCGTTCTATTGTATGTATTGGAGGCAGAGAGTATATATGTATGTGAATATATAAGTCGCGCGACCTTTAGTAAAACCGCTATAGCGCGCTACCTTTATTATTATGGTTTCTATTACTCCAATAATTACAAACAATCCGGCAGTGATGAGAGATTGATACACTAGGATATCCTCCTGAGGATATTTTTTCACACAATGCCGCATTTCCCTCGTGATATAAACATTTTGCCTCTTCAATTGCCACCGCAGGTGACGTGCAAATACACACACACTTTTGTGAGGATACAAGGGACAAATCTCAACTTCAAGGAGCGGGTTATGTTCCCCACTTTCATCAGTATCCTAGATATTCAATCATGGTGGGAGGTTCCCTGTGTAGCGCACTTCTGTTCTCTCTTCTCGCAGATTTTTAATCTTCCCGAATTTCATATTGAGGTGAGAGATTGAGTGGTTTTGCTGGCGGTTGTGAATAAATGCAGGATTGAATGTTTGTGTGTATGTTTTGCAGGATTTGGAGGAAGCTCTGCTGGCAGATGAAAATGAAGGTCAAACTACACTGCTGTCGGACTTAATTGTGAGTCTCCTGAGAGGATGTGATATTCTGCACAAGTGCAGAGAACATATTCACACCAGCAACTATCAAATGTTCTTGCGAAGACTGTTCAGGAGACAATGTCGAGTGAGTGTTGTAGATGAAAATGTGGTGTTGAAATGTGTGAAATTTGACTTGTGATTTTCTTTCTTCTGCAGATCCACAACATTGAGAACCCATTTGATTCTGATACAGACTTTCAACTATTGCCACTGAGACGCAAACTTGAGATTCTCCACACTTTGTGTTACTTCAGATTGGAATCTAAGAATGTACCTGAACTCTTGGACAAATTAGAGGCGGACAGTCTGCGCGTTGAGCCGCTGGGCTATGATGACAAGAACTCAGCCTATTGGTACTTCTTCGGCACGAGACTGTACAGGGAGGACAATTTGCGTGGTGAGAAGAGGCAGAAGTCAAAGAGTGACGCAATTTGGCAAGTGATTTGCTTCACGGAGGACGATTGGACGAATCTGGCGGCAAAATTGAAAGCATCGACATCTCGACGCAATCGTGCCTTGTCGAAAATTCTTTATGAGAATTTTCTCCCAAAAATTCCAAAGCTTTTCAAAGAGAAGGAGGATCAACGGAGGAGAAAGTGAGTGTTTTTGTGGAAAAGGGAGAGTGTGGTAAATTGTGAGTGCAAAATGTGATTCTCTGTTGCAGTTTCTTCAAGAAAGCCAGTCGCTCGAGGGCTCTGTCGCTGAAGAAGAACTCAGATAGTGAGAGAGAGTTATCAGATTTGGATGTGAAGAAGCTGGTGAAATCTGCTGAAGATTCTTCCTCTGATAGCTCAATAGAAGAAGGCGTGGGTGATCATTGGAACAGTCGAAAGAGGTGCAAACAGCGCGTCGCCACTCGAGGGTCAGGCAGGCAAATTACCAATTAGTGCAAGAAAAGCAAAAAAAAGAACTGTGCAAAAATCTCGGCCAATCTCCATGTCGCATTATTATTTTCTGTTTTTTATAGTGAGACATTTTGAGTCCTCTAAAAACAGATGAAAACAATTCGTGTATGTATGCATGATTCAATTTTATTTTTTAAATCTTATTCCTTCAATTGCTTCCAAAAAAAAAGAAATGAAAAATACTATTCTTAATATACATATTTATATTTACCATTGAGTTGTGACAATATGTGTTCTTATCAGTCACTTTTTCTTAGTATAGTTTCACAAGAGTTTGCCAAGTTTGATGGGTTTTTGGCGAACACCGATATTAATTGGTGTTTTCAACACTTGCAGATCAAGATCGACTTCTCGATCGAGTAACTTCTCGACGCTCGCCAGTGGATCATCGTCCTGTCAGGCGTCGCAGCACTCAGGACACTTGCTTGACTACACAGCGGAGGATTGTGAGGGGAATGTGACTGTGGCAACAGTGAATGATAACGGGCGAGACGGTAGTGTGGAAGTGGACAATTCGTGCAAAAGTTCTGTTGACTTGAGTGAAACAAGTGCCGTGCCGATGAATAGAAAGCAGAAAGAAGTGAAGAAGACTGTTTCTTCAAGTAAAATGTCACCGGCAACGAGTAAGCTCCCCGGACGACAGACAAACAATTCACTGTCGTCCGTCACGGGGAATATAATAATTCCAGAAATTGGCTCTGGAAGTGCAAAGAGTGCTGGAAGTTCAGTGGAGAAAATTCCAGTGGAGAAGGCGAGGAAGAAGAAGGCAAAATCATCTCAAATGTGAGTTTAAATTTCATTATTCAGCACCTTTGCTTTGGCCACTATTGCCCACACTTTGCACACATTTTTCTTCTTCATAAACACTAAGATCTTAAGACAGTTTTGTGCTTTGTGTGTGATTCGTTTGTGGTGTGAAGGATGATTTTGAAGTGGTTTTTTTTCTTTAAATTCGCTTTGGGGTGTGATTGTTTACACAACATATATATCACTAGATTCACTGGGAAATGTATCACAATCACAATATATCGATTTTTCACTATGCCTCAGTGCAGTATTGCGAGTGTTAAATTACTTGTTCTCAATCTTGTTTGACTGTTGCATGGAATATACAGCATTATAACAACTTAATGAAGCATGAAAGCTTTTCGCCTTCGATTAAGTCTTTCAAATCGATGTTTTTAAATTGCATCCTTTGTGTTTTGGGGGAGGAAATCTATAAGCATATATAGATCGTTGGTGTTTGTGTACAGGAAAAGGGCTTCACACTGTTTATGGGTTGATTTGAAAGGACTTTCTGCAAATTTCACATTTCACTCTTCCTCGTGATTCATCAAGCTCGGCTGAATAATTAAATTTTCATTGATTGTATGAAGTATATTTGACGAAATGGGCTTTGAAAGGGCGGGAAATTACAAATGACAAAGGATTATCTTTCCCTTTTCAACTGTTAACACCGAAGGGTGCTTCGAAAACTATCAAAAGTCAAAATCAAAAAAAGAAAATTTGCCAAATTTTCTTCAAAACCCTTAAAACGCCTTCAAATCGTCCGTTAAAGTGCATTTTTTATTTTGTAAATATTTCAGTTGTTTTTGTCAGTATTTATTAGAATTTTGGACTAAAATATGGCAAAATTAATGGAAAATCTGAAAATATTACTTTCCAAAGTCGATTTTTATTAGTCTTCGAGACGATTTTATCGAAATTAGTTCTAAAAAATCAATTTTTCATGCTTTACTTGAACTTTTCTTTAAAGTTTTCATGTGAAATTTTTTTTAAAGATATGAGAAATATTCATTGAAAGTCTAATAGTGAAAACACAGCATTTGTCATTTGTAATTTGTTCACGAACGTCTCTTTCTTCCCCACGCGAATCGTGTATTTTCCTTCCTGTTCACGACATTTTTATGTCGGGTGTGTGGCTGCAGATTTTACGTTGGGCAACCCGCGCTGAATTTGAGTTTGACGTGTCTGACAATGCGCTTGCTGTCAAAATGGTCAAAATAGACCAATTTCATATGGAAAATGGAGAAAATCGTCAATGAAATGAATTTATATTGTGGAAAAAACTCAAAAATTAATTGATTTCGTCCATAATGAGCCATAATTGTGGAGAAAATCAGTTTGTGTGAAGGCGCCAAAAGTTGATCTGCAGACCAAAATTCTGAAGGGAATCTGACGGGACCGAGCCAAGATCGAATGAGCAAAATGCTGTGTTTTCACCATAAAAAACATTTTAGAATAATTCTGAACATCTATTATTATACCTAATTATTATCTGAAAAGGCGTTTTATACATTTGACTGCAATTTTTGAGACATTTTTCTTGGAAAAATGGTTCAGCGTAAACAATGAATATTCGTAAAACATGACAATTTTTTCTATTTGTGCTTTTTAGATAAATAAGATTTTTAGCTATTGTCTCATAAGATACAAATCTAAAAAAAAAATTTGTACAGGAAGAACAAATAAAAAGCTTTTCAAAAATTCATAAGACGAAAACTATGATAAATCGACTTTTCACAGTTTTCCATTCATCCGTCGAATACACAATGTGAAATTTGCAAAAATACTTGAATAATTTATTAATATTTAATCTATTTGATGTGATGGAAGAGTGAGTGAGTGAATGAGGAAAAAAGGGTTGGAAGAGAGAGAACAATCTAAAAGACATTTTAAATGTTAGGAAATTAAAACTGTCATAGAATACAAGTAATTAATAACACTTTTTTCTTTTCACTCTCGTCTTTTTCATCTTGTCTCTCAATGTGTATTTCGTCCAACAACAACTCACACACAATCATCGTCGTCATCCTCCATATCATCATGTAAATAATATTGTGTATATAATGCAAAAAAAAACTACACGAATACACTGTGCATTCTGTCTTCATCCTACTTAATACCACACATCTTTACTGACTCTCTGGGTTGGATGTCGAATGCCAAAAAACAAATGTACATAATGCGAATGGCGACAAAAAATATATATGTGTGTAACTAAAATGCATCAATGACAAAATGCTATAAAAATCGAATATGCAATGAAGATTTACAACATCAATCATTCCAACTCTCAGTTTTACGGAGACAGAAGAGGTCCTCCAAATTGGTATGCACAAAGTGCTGGAGTATGTGAAGAATCACAAGGATGCTTGGCCCTTTATGGATCCCGTTGAGGAGGACATCGCTCCGCGATATTACTCAATCATTAGAAGGTGACACCATTGTTTACTTCATTGAATTATGGCGATATGTTTCCCGGTGAAATGTGTCTAATTTATGTTTTTCTCTCTCTCTTTTCCCATTTTATCTTTTTGCAACCCCTCTGCAGGCCGATGGATCTGCTGAAGATGGAAGAGAAATTGGATAATGGTGAATATGCGACATTCACGGAATTTCGCAATGATTTCAAACTCATCGTGAACAATTGTCGTCTGTACAATGGACAAAATAATGGTGAGTGTCACGTTTGGGGGTCACATTGATTTTATATCACAGCGCACTCATTCGCCTTCTTCACTTGTGTGTCCACATATTACAGAGTACACGGAGATGGTGAACAATCTGCAGGAGGCATTTGAGAAGGCCACAAAGAAGTACTTTGAGCAAAACTCATCGGACGAGGAGGATGCCAATCTCGAGTATCCGGATTTGAAGACCAATGTGTTCAGGGAGAAGTACACTGCGAAGCCATTGGCTGTTAAGGCGGGCAAGAAGGAGGTGTTGAAGAAAAGTACAACGAAGCGATCGAAGCACAGCATGGATGATCCATCGGAGGAGAGTGACGTGAGTGAGGAGGTGGTGAAGGAGAAAAAGGGCAAGACGATGGACAAGGAGACTGTGGAGAAGCAGAAGGCGAAGCACAAGAGTCAGGAGGTGAGTAAGGAGCCCATCGAGAGTCCGCGCGGAACAAAGAGGAAGAGAAAGGAGAAGGATAAAGATCGGAAGAGAAGAAAGAAAAATGACGGCAAGACTGATCGTCGCAACGAGAGTGATGAAGATGAGGACAGTGTTGAGGAGCCAGAGAAGAAAGTCAGTCAGACTAAGGCAAGCAAGGAGAGCGCGAAGAAGGACAAACACACAAAGTCTGTCAGTGAGAAGAGCCCGAATCCAGTGAAGAAGGAGAAGATCAAGAGTGCAAAGGAGAAGGTGCACGAGAGTGTGTCCAAGGGAAAGGAGTCACCGAAGAAGGCGGAAAGCGCCAAGAGTGTGGCAAAGAATGCTCAGAAGAAGGGTAAAAGTGCCGCAAAGGATGTGACGACAAGTGCTAAAAATGACAAAGTGTCGAAGAAGAAGGCAAATGACGCTGATGAAACGGTTTCAAAGGATCTCAGCTCTGATGGCAGTGTCCTGAACTATCCCGCGAAGAAGAAGGCTTCGGAGAAGAAGGCCGACGCGAAGAAGACAAAGGAGAAGGGTGTGCGGAGTAAGGGCAAAGAGAAACCCAAAGAAGAGGAGTCGCGAAAGAATAAGCACAAGACGAAGCCATCGTTGGACTCCAGTGCGAAGGTGGAGAAGAAGAAAAGTGCAAATCTTTCGCCAATTTCGTCAGAGCGCTCCTCACACGTCTCCCAAAGTGCCTTCAAGACCAACAGTACCAAGCAGACTGGTGGGAAAGCGTCAGCGGGTCGCTTTCACAAGGACGACGACCTGATGTCGATATCCAGTCGGAGCTTCTCGCGAAGTCCAAGTCCAGTGTCGTCGACATTCTCCAATGTCTCCGATGACTTCCACAATGATCACTCGAAGCGAAAGCTGCCGTCGAGACCGCCCACGCCGGATATCAAGGACAAGTTTGATTTGATAAAGGAGCGCCGGCGGGCGATGGTGGCCGAGGAGAAGGCGGCCAAGAGTGGTCGCGGCACACCGAGCAAGGGGAAATCGATGAAGGGTGGAAAGGCGTCACCTGGGGGCAAGGAGGGCGGTGGGTCGTCGGGAAAGGACTCTAAGGACAAGCACCAGACACTCAATGAGACAATCGAGAGGCTGAAGCAGAGCACGGAGAAGACTAAGCAACGAACTGCCGTCATTGATGAGATCTTGGGTGGGAAACCGACTCAAGAGAAGACAATCTTCGAGCGTCTGCGGGATCCGAATGCCGATCCGAAGGCATCGCCGCAGAAATCGACTGGCAAGAAGAAGGATGAGTATGATTTTGTGGATGACACACCGTCAGTGTCGTCGCATCGGACGAAGAAGGAGAACCAGGCGAAGGCGGGCAGTGGCAAGAAGAACAGCAAGTCGTCCAAGGTGATTGCCGAAGGTGGGACGCCGTCGAAGAAGAACAGCAAGAATATGGAGGCTCTGGAGCAGGGAGTGTGGGAGCAAACGCTGAAGGACATCAATCGATGGCTGGAGCCACCGTCGGACAGCAATTCCCCGTCGCGATACATCTGGGATGACTTCGAGGCTGAGGACTTTCGGCGTCCGGTGCCAATTCAGCAGTCCTCAGCTCGAACGCAAACCCCGAGTGATGTTCCGCTGATCAGCGGTGCTGGACAAAAGGACGGCTCGGCCGCGGGAAGTGCTCCTCCGGGTGCTAGGATGAATCCACCGAGTGGACAAGGTCCGAATGCACAGGCTGGACAGAGGAAGGACATCAGGGACAAGAGGAAGACGCTGAAGGACAAGATAACGGTGAGGAAGCGCGAAGTGGCTCGACCAATAGATCGTCTGCAGCCGGGCAAGACGAAGGGGAATCTTATTCAGAACACAAACAAGCCCGACGAGTTGTTTCCGCTGGGAAATTTGTCGAAGCTGAAGGAAATCAAAAATTCTCTGATGGTGAAGCCGACTGAGACTGGACCGAAACTGAGTCTTGGCACTGTGCTGGACACTGAGGAGTTTGGTCTGGTGCAGCAGCACAATTTCGTGGATGAGGCGAAGGATGTTTCGGCGGAGAAAGTGTCTGAGAAGGAGAATGCCAAGGAGGAGAAGGAGAAGACGGAACAGTGCAAAGACACTGCTGAGAAGGTGAAGAGTGAGAAGTGTCTAAAGGAGAATGAGCCTGATAATCAAAAGGATGAAAAGCCGGCGGAAAAGGTGACGGCGACGCCCAATTTGAGTGCGTGGTTTAAGGCTTTTGGGGCGCCGAAGAAGGCAAAGAAGACGGAAGAGGAGGAATTGGCGAAGAAAAAGATGGACACGTCGCCAAGTGATGTTCAATCGAATGACTTGGCAACGTCAAAGTCTCCGGCTTCGCTGAATGGCGCTGAGAGTGGCACGTCGTACAGTCAGCCGGCGCCGAGGCAGCGGAAGGCGAGCACAGGGAGTACAGTGTCCGAAAGATCGTCCTACAGTCAGGATCCGGACAGTCCGAGGATAGCTATTGATGAGCGAATGTATCCTGGACCGTATCCATCGCCGCTGGGCGCTTCGCCGATACTGACGTCGCCGAAGCCTGAAGAACTGCCAAAGTCTGCATCGCCATACTCTCTGAATGGTGCCATAAAGGTGGGATTCTATCAGGACACCACGACAAAGAGCAGCCCTGAGAAGAGTTGCAGTCCACGAGAGCAACCATCGACTTATCCGCAATACTCGCAACACGTTTACTCGTCTGCAACGTCACCGGCCATGACTGGACTCACGAGTCCGTCGTATGGAAGTTATGGCAATTACTCAACCACTGTCTCGGCGGCGGATGGCAAGAAGAGCACCAGCAGCAAGAGCCCGGCCTCTTACTATGATCAGTACAAACAGCAGCGATCTGAGGACTCGTCCGACTACAACAACTCCATGAGTCCCAACAACAATCCCAATTCTCCATATCAGCATCAACAGCTGTCGCCCTATCAGCAGCAACACTCTCCGTACCAGCAGCAGCAGCACTCGCCCTTCCAGGCGCAACAGAAGGTGAACAGTGGACCAATATCTCCATATCAGGCCTCGGCGCCGCAACAGCAGCCGAGCGCCTTGTCGCCGCAATCCCAGACGCCGCAATACCACGCGAGACAGCAACAGCAGCCGCAGCAGCCGCAGAAAGGGGCGCCGGTGTCGCCATTCTCCCACTCCAATCACAGCTCGCCGTATTCCCAGCACGATCCCAACTCGCCCTATTCGCAGCCCGAGCAGCTGTCGCCCTTCCACCAGAACCCGAACTCGCCCAAGCCGTCGGCTCAGGTGACGCCGGAGCAGAGCTCCACGTCTGGCGACTGGCAGGCTCCGTCTCACATTCCACCGCAATTCGAGGCGCACAATATGATGCCTCCGGCGGCTCATGGGCAGCCGTCGCTGCCGAGTCAGTGCAATCAGGAGAAGCTGCCCACGGCGGTGCCGTCTCACGGGGCGCAATTGCAGCACCGCGGCCACTTGGGCGCGATGACGCAGGCTCCGCCCATGGCTCATCACCACCAGGACATGGGCCAGAACATGACGCCGGCTCATCAGAACTATCCGCCGTACAGCAGTCTGCAGGGGAAGCGATACGACGAGTCGCAGAACCTCTTCATGCCGCCCTCGGCCCAGCAAGTTCTCAGGCAGCAGAACATCTACGATGCGCCGCCGGAGAGTGTGCAGAATCCCCTGAATTACCGCCAGAATGCTCAGCCCGCCCCGTCGAAGCACAATGAGCTGCCGGCGCAGCAGAGTGACATGATCAATCTGGGCTACAGTGGCCAGGGCAAGGCGATGCCTGAGGATGCGGAGAAGAGCGCGGCCAGCAAGCAGCAGCAGCAGATGTTCGATTTGCTGGCGTTCAGCAAGTATGGCAAGCAACTGGACATCTCCACGTCGAAGGCCTTCGAGATGTTCAACAGGGCGGCATCGATGGGCTTCCCGAAATCCCTGCCGCTCGCCACGAGTGGCTCCACAGTGCCGCCCAGTGGCACTGGCAAGAGTCCGCCCGACCTCTTTGATCTCAACTACGGCAAGGGCATCACACAGAGTGACTACGCGTCTCAGGGCGGGAACAATTTGCGAGCGTCGCAGCAGAAGACCATCACTGAGTTGGGACCCATGACGGGATATCAGCAGCAGCTGAAGCAGCATCTCGGAGCGGAGGTGAGGAGGAATTGTGGCTGGGAAGGACTTGATTGTCTTTTACACAATGATTTTGTCTCTTCGCAGGGTAAATCTGCGATTCCCGGAGCGCACCAGACGGCGAATCCTCAGCTGCAGCAGGCATCGCAGCAACACGCTGTTCCTGGTGCGAAGGGAGTGGATCTGGCTATTCCGAATCCCCGTCAAAGTCAACTTCTGCACGACGCCGCCGCGTCTGCTGCTGGTCAGAAGGACAGCAATGTGCCTCGCTATGAAACTCTCCAGCCGCCGGCTTACAAGACTTCCCATCCCTACAATGCCATCGATCCCAGTCTGAGGAATCTCACGCCACTGCCCATCATGGATGAGCATCTGCTCAGCTTGCAGCAGTCCACGGCGGGCGGATATTATGACAAGACAATCCCATCGGCGCACATGTTCGGCAAGAATATGCACCATCAGTCCTCGGCGGCGGCGAGTTTGCAGCAGATGTTCACGTCTGGCCCAATTTCCACGATGTCTCCGTACCACGAGATGGGTGGGAAGGCGCAGCCAATGCCGCAGCCGGTGCAGGAGGCGCCTGCGAAGAGCCAGAAGCGTGGGAAGAAGAAGAAGGCAACGGCTGGACAGAATGCGAGTGATCTCATGGCGCAGAACGTGATGCAGCAGCAGCAGGGCTTCCAGTCGTATGCTGGGCTCAAGACGGGCACGGCAGCGTCCAGCGGCGCTGCCACGGCGTCCACAGACTCGTCGGCCATCTCGCTGAAGTCGGCCAGCATGGTGCCGGGCAGTGCTTTCAACTTTGGCCCCACGCCAACGGGGCTCAGCTTGCCGTACGGACCTGAGAATCCGCCTGGATATCTCGAGGACTTCCGCAACAATCCCAATCCGTACTACTTGCCAACGGGGCACAGAAACACGCCCGATGCGGCGGCCGCTGTGGCGGAGAAGGGCGCTGGGAATGTGCCGGTGTCGGCGCCGTCGTACCATCAATTCCTCTCGCATCCGACCACGCGGCCGTCGTATCCGTTCATGAACTCCCCGCAGCTGGATGCCACTTCGCCCATTTACCAGCAATATCTCCATCGGGCGACGGAGGCGCAGATGATGCTGAATCAGGGACTGCTGGCGCCGCCGGGAGCGCCTGGCGCGTACTCCCAGTCGAGCTACCATCACGCGCTGGGCATGCACAAGTCGCCGTACGATGCGATGAACACCATGAACCGCGCGCCGTGGTTCTAGGCGAGCGCCGGCGACGAGGACTAGCAACCAAAGACGTTCTTTAACTATATTATAGTTTGATTCGGATTTTCACTATTGTGTACTTTTTGAGACACTCTCTAGGCGGCAGAAGGCGAAGGTTGGTTTTTTTTAGAGTGAAGAAGAAGGGAAATCCTCAGATTTTATTCAAAAAAAAAGTTATTTTCTTGCTATTTACTTTGAAAATCACAGGAGAAGAAAAGTTGTAGTTAAATTGTGGGGAAAAACGGATGGATTTGAGGATTGAGCGACAATTGAGGTCACATTTGAGAATGTGGAATAGAGCAAAAAAAAAAGAGTTAGAAGGGAAAGAAATCACGTGGAGAAATTGTGTGTTTGGCAGAGAAAGTAAACAAAAAAAATGTATTTAAATTTAGAAAAAAAAATGTCTTCTATGTCACAAAACCTATATAATTATAACGTGAGAATTGTAGAGGTGAAAAAGTTTATTTACACAATTTTTTCATCAATTTTATTGACAAATGAAGGAGAAAAGTTGTAGAAGTTTTATTAGTAATTTATTGCATTTTATTGTCACGACTTTATGACAAATTCAAAGGCTTATCACAGCTGACAAAGAAGAAAAAAATATCTCTGTAGTCCACCAATCAAAAGAAAAGAAGAAAGGCTAAGAAAGAAAAATTGTAAATCGTAATTTTTATCTTCCTTTGACGAAACACTGCGAGTTCTGATACTTTACAGAGTAGAACTATAAATTGTAACTGAATTTTTAGGTAATATATTTTAAGACAAATTTAATTCAATCCACAATATATTAGAGATTTTCGAAAGAATATAAAATATATGATTTATTGTAGCATCTGCTTCGAATATTGTACAAAAGAGAGAACGTAAGAGAGAAGAGCGTGGAAAATTCGTTATGGAAAGCACACATTTAAATATAGATTGCTGACAATGATGTGAATGATTGAGAGAGAGAGAGAGAAAAAGTGCAACTTATAGAGATTCTTTCAATTCGCAATACCTTTTTGTTTTTATCTTATATATATTTTTTTTGTTAGTGGTAAGAATATAATGAATATTTGTTAACCTAATACTAATTGAAAGAGAAGTAATCTTAATTTTCAATATACCAATAAAATCGTGTATTTGTTATATCATTCAAATTTTATTATGTCTATAAATAGGAATGGTAAAAATTTAAGCTATAAAAGAAAAAAAAACATGCAAAGATTCAAAAGAAAGATGAACACGTGTGAGTAAACATTTATCAAATAAATTTACCAATTAGTTTTAGAGATGGAATCGCTCCGAGATTTAGTTTAGTGTGAAGCTGAAGATGAAAGTACGAAAAAAACAACAAAAAATTGTGCATCTCAAATATACAATTTCAAAGAAGAAGAGAAAAAAGAGGAAGATATTTTGTAAACATTATCGTAGGACGACTCGCTGTACATTCCCACATTTAGAGGAGAAAAAAAGTGAAAGAAAATGCAGCAAATGCAATTCGATTCGTGACAACAAGAGAGAAAAGAGAGCAAAAAACATTGAGTACAGCATGAAGACGGACCGAGAATAAAATGATAGGTCATAAAACATAGGACAAATCTGTAGTGAAAAATTAGTTGATTTCAGAATGTACAATTATGAATTATTATACAAAAAGAGAGGAGGAAGAATTAAAGAAGGAACACAGACCAACAAAATGTAAATAAGAGCAAAAAGTAATAAATTAACAGTGAAATTTAAATGTTGTTTTCATTTTCAATATCTTCTCAGCTTATTTTTTCAATTTTGCAATCAAATTAAAGAATCCAAACATAATCTATGAAATTCAACTCGTCCAAATGATCACAATTCTGCTAAATCTGACAAAATGTCATGAATCAAAGTTGGCAACAGTGTTTGAGTGTCAAAACAAAACACACGTGTTTTGTGCATGAAAAGTTTCTGCACGGATTTTATTGGTTTTTCATCTCATTAACTTGCTAATCTCATTGAATTTTACCAGAAAATTGTCTCTTTAAGTTTTCATAGCTAAGAAAGTTCAAAATACCCCGAAATCCAGTGTTTTTCACGTCATTTGTTGCTGTGAGGAAAACAATCTTCTTAAGGTAAACGATTGCGACGATTGCTAAATTTTCCACGAAAATCTCTATAAATCTCGATTGCTTTCATTCTCTCACGGAAGAAATGGACGAATTGGAGGGCTTTTCCTTGATGCCAAATGTGAAGAAGGAGGAGCAGAAGGTGAGGAAGAAAAAGAAGAACACCGGCGGATTCCAGTCGATGGGACTCAGCGCGGGCGTCTTGAGTGGCATCACGAAGCGTGGCTACAAATTCCCCACGCCCATCCAGCGCAAGACAATCCCGTACATCCTCGAGGGACGCGACGTGGTGGCCATGGCGAAGACGGGCTCGGGGAAAACCGCGGCGTTTCTCATTCCGCTGTTTGAGAGGCTGCGAACGCGCAAGGATGTCGGAAGTGCGCGGGCTCTGATCTTGTCGCCCACTCGTGAGCTCGCCATCCAGACGTACAGATTCATCAAGGAGCTGGGGCGCTTCCTGAACCTGAAGACAGTGCTTATCCTCGGCGGAGATTCCATGGATCATCAGTTCTCTTCGCTGCACTCGAATCCGGACGTGATTGTCGCCACTCCGGGGCGCTTTCTGCACGTGTGCGTGGAGATGAATCTGAAGCTGTCTGAGGTGTCTTATGTGGTGTTCGACGAGGCGGACAGACTCTTCGAGATGGGCTTCGGCGAGCAACTGACGGAGATTCTCCACCGTTTGCCGCACGCCAAGCAAATGGTCATGTTCAGCGCCACTCTGCCGCGAATGATGGTGGATTTCGCCAAGGCGGGACTCTCAGACCCTGTTTTGATCCGTCTGGACGTGGAGTCAAAGCTGCCGGAGGCGCTGGAGCTGAAGTTCCTCTTCTGTCGCAGCGAAGAGCGCTACGCTGCGCTCCTCACGCTCCTGAAGCACGTCATTCCGGCCGACGCGCAGACAGTCGTGTTCGCCGGCACGCAGCATCATGTGGAGTTCATCTCAATGCTCCTCACGCGTGTCGGCATCACCAGCACTTTCGTGTACTCCAATCTCGATCCGTCGGCGCGGAAGATCAACACGGCCAAGTTCCAGAGCAAGAAAGCCTCCGTTCTGGTGGTCACTGACGTCGCAGCGCGTGGCATTGACATCCCCAATCTTGACTATGTGGTCAACTTCTACTTCCCCGGCAAGCCAAAGCTGTTCATCCATCGTGTGGGCAGATGTGCTCGCGCTGGGCGTTCAGGAACGGCCTTCACGATCTTCTCTTCCGAGGATGTAGCCCACTTTCATGATCTCTACATCTTCCTGAATCGCCAGCTGGACTTTGGCGATGGACAAGCGATTGGAATTGTGCCGAACGCGGCGCTGGAGAGTGAGCAGGACGCGTTTGTGGAATTGTCTCAGGGATCGGACTTTGCAAAGATGTACAAAACGACAGTGAATGCGTACAAGCAGTACATTCGATCGCGTCCTGCCGCCTCCACGGCGTCCAACAAGAAGGCCAAGACATTCAATCGGCTGGACTTGAAGACGCTGGACGTCTTTGAGGCTCTCGTGGGCGATCACGCGGGTCTGCGGGAGAAGAAGGAGGATCTGGTGAAGAAGATCAACGGCTACAAGCCCGTGAGGACAATCTTTGAGCTGAATCCGCAGAAAACCGTGGCCCAGTGTGAGATGATGAAGACGGAGAGGGAGAAGCACAAGAAGGCCGTGGAGAAGTTCAAGGCGCACAAGGAGCAGAAGGAGGATGACGAGGTGAATATAATTTTTGTTTACTTCACTGTTCAAAGTTCACACTTTGTCCTCCATTTTCATTATCATCCCAACGACAAGACCATTAAACTCCCGGCAATCGCTCATCGTGTTAAAAAAGACCCCGCAAATTGAGCAGAACAATGCGTGAATGAATTTCCATGGATCTTGTCATGTTTATGTTTAAGTCAAGAAAGTGATGTTTAGAATAAACACGCAGAGCGAGTTCGTCTCATGAACATGGGCGGGATTTTCTCTGTATTGTTTGGCATTAAGACAGAGAGAGAGAGAGAGAGGAATTTCCACAATAAGTGGGGAAAATCTCAAATTTCCGCTGTACGTCTTTAGCGACATTTTATGATCTTCTTCCCGGAAAATTCTATTTATATTGGCGTTCTTGCAGAATTGTTTTTAGATATATAATTTTTTTTGGTCGATCTTGATCGTGTTCAAGGTTGATTGCTGTGCGCTGATTATTTTGATAAACTAGAAATGCTTCTTGTTCTGGGATTTCTGGTGAGAATACGAGATGCGTACGGATGGAGCGCAGTTTCAAGAGGCAAAGAGACGGTTTCTGTGCTCATTTACATTGGCTGAATTTTTGTGCTGTTTGCCCAAGATTACTGTCTCCGCGACTGCCAACAATATTTGCCGTGAAAATATCTCGCCTATGCTTCTGTTTGCAGGTGCTGGAGAAGAGGAAGACACGGAAAGATCAACCCTGGATACCCTATCATTCCGCTGATAAGCACACCGAGGATGGACTGGCGGTGAACTCGTTCAGTCGCGAGGCCAACGAGGCGATTCTCAATGTGGGGCCGGACAATGAGCAGGGTGTGCAGATTGCCAGGAAGCTGAAGAAGTGGGATCGCGTGAAGAAGAAGATGGTGGCGGTGCAGGATCCGCGCGAGGGGAAGATTCGCACGGAGTCGGGTGTGTGGATTCCGGCCACGTACAAGACGAATCGCTATGAGGAGTGGAAGGAGAGGACGAAGATTGAGGAGAGCCAGCGAGCGGAGGAGGAGGAGGTGGGCGCGGCGAGGGTGCAGAGGTATCCGACGAAGCAGTGGGCGAGGCACAATGTGAATGTGCAGAATAAGAAGCGCAAGGCGGATCTGGATCTGAAGGATCCCGGACAGATTGTGAAGAAGCGCATCCGGCTGGAGAATCTGAAGAACAAGCAGATGGAGAACCAGAAGAAGAACGCCGTGAAGCGGAAGATGGGGATGTTCAAGCGCGGCGGCAAGGGACAAGCGAAGGGGGCGAAAGGGGCGAAAGGGGCGAAGAGGCGCAAGTGAGAATTTCGAGTAACAATAATAAACTTGTTTATTTAACCTTTCGTTTGGTGATTCTGATGATTAGAGAGTGATGAGTGTGTTTTAGCACAGTTGGGCACTGGAAGAGAGTTGGAAAGATAGTTAAAGGAAGGTCTTTCAAAGGTCAAACTTGGGGGGGAAAAGTAATTGTTGAATTTAATTGTATTCCTCCGATTTTCTTTGATTGTAACTTTCCAAGCGACCAGCTGAATATAGTGAAAGAAATCTTGACGCAATGAACGTGATAAATCATCCTAAAACAACATGCTAATATTTAGGATGTTACATCGTTGACTTTGCATAATAAAGAAAATTCACCTGAAATATTTGGCTAAGAAATAAACATTTTAACGATGACGTATAAAAAACGTATTATCTTGATATCCCACGTTCGTGTCAGAAATAATAATGAAATTTAGAAGTCATAGGTGGGGATTTACGAGGGAGGAAGAAGTCTCATGATGTAGGCCGAGTTTCTGTGTAACCATTAAACACGTCGTGCATTCACTTTTGTTGCTCACCTTTGGAATCTATGGGCAATTGTGCCCCGAATATTCCTCTTGTCTCGCCACTTATTGAATCTGTGTCGCATGGCGTTCTGCACTTCGGAGTTGAGGAAGCAGTAGAAGAGGGAGACGGAGAAGCCCTGACTGCTGAGGAGAATGGCGCGCACCACGGCGAAGATGTAACTCCCGACGCCCTCTGAGGGGCCTGACAGCACGATTAAGTACGTGATGCCGAGCAGCGGCATGAGGACGAGAAGGGCCTTCGAGGCCTTCCTGTACTGCTTCGTCTCGCTATTCTCCGCCACTCGCAGCTTCGTGATTAGCACCCACATCACGCGCACGAGGAAGATGAGGTTGGCCAGCAGAGCCGTGCACGCGGGAAGCTTGCAGACCCAATCCACGAGTGACTCACTCATCCACGAGCACTCAATATCGAGCTGAAAGACAGAGAGAGAGAGAGAGAGAGTGTCTTTATCCACTGGCACTTTAGAAGTGCTAATTGTCGGGTCATTAGCGGTCATTTAGCGTGTCTTGTCGCAAGCTTCTAGCTAATTTTCGGGAGAAAAAACAAAATATTTTACATTTCTTCCGTCTAATGAGAAGCTAACAGTGTTTTTCTGGGTTTTTTTTCTTTAAGGGTAAGCATAACAGATGATAATAAAATATTTCGGTGGCTTATCTGAACAGAGATTCCACTCTGAGTGCTGGTGAATATTTAAAAATCACTTAATTCCACCGGCGACAAAGCACTTCTGCACTCACCCCAGTCATCTTGTGGGGCTTGAGAGGCGTCGAGGTGGCTTTTATGATGGCCCACAGTGCGACAAAGACGAACGGCACGCCCCATCCGATGGTCATGTAGAGGCCCACGTGCGGCTTGCTGCGCGAGAATGTCTTCACGACGAGGGTGTAAAGGTACCTTTTTGAAGTCGAATATCAATACGAGGGGGTGGGCAGAAGTTATGTGTAATTCAATATCTTACAGTCCCTCCACCATCATCCAGAAGAAGTTGGTGAGCGTGAAGTAGTTCAAGAGTGTCACAATGAGTGTGCATGCGGTGTTTGTGGAGGCGTGCGTGAGCTGCAGACTGAGCGCCGTGAGCCACACAAGCACGGAGAGGATGTAGGTGATGAAGAGATTCCCGTGGATGGTGTTGCGGAGGCAGCGAAGCTCCTTGAAGTGGAAGAAGATGCCGGTGGCCAGCAGGAGTGTGAGGAGGCTGAGAATGTAGCCGATGCAGTAGATGTAGGTGGGCAGATCCACGTGAGGCTCAAATTCAGACACAGCGAGGAAATCACGTGAGATATGAGAGCACTCTTCGTAGTTGGTGTAATTGTCCCACTGGCCATTCAAATGGCAATACCTTGTTGCATTTTCTGAGAACGACAGGACGATTTAATGCACAACAATTGGGATTTATTCCTGCTTTCATGTTATGCAATCACTTGTTGCTGCAATCAATGAAATAAATCGCTAACAATTAACAATTACGCCCAATTAAATGATGAGTACATAGAGAGAATTAATTTACAATATTTTGGATGGTTTACACTCGTTACTCTTGTACATGTTGATAGCTCTATAATCTTTCTAAGCAATTTCAGTAAATCTCACTCTCTAATTTATGGTAAGAAAGAAAGACTCAGAGTGAGATAAATATTTGAAAACGCGTGTTCTTCAAATCGCAGTGTAACAAAACTCCACGAATTAGTTGAATTTCTGGCGTGAACACGTTTTGATATAATTATGCAATAGTCAGTGAACCCTCAGAGCGTCCGCCCACATGTAATCGCGTCTTTATCATTTGAAGAAAAATCCACATGTGATTCGATAAACAGAAATTGTGTCTTGTGGATTAAAAATTAATTTGAAAGAGATACACTATTTAAACATGCACGAAGAGAATCTTTATGATCTCTCGCGTTCATTAATGTTTAATCAACCGTGAATGTTTAATTAGCAGATTATTATTTCTGCGAGGCTGGGGAAATAAAGATTTTTGCGCCAGGTTTTCTCTGTTAATTTCATTTCTGACTTTCAACGCAATTTGCATTTACGTTCGCCTGATTCTCTGTGTGTGTGGGTGGATTTTGGGGGTGGCCAAAAGGGCGTCTAAACACCAGGAGTTTGCTTACGTGTCGTGTCATATTTGACGCCTTTGAACTCGGAAAAGCACGGCTGCACCGCCCAAGTGGCCACGGGAGTGCGTGGCCAGCAGAGGACGGAGTCGAAGAAGATGGGACATCCCTCAATCTCCTCCGACGACGTCTCAGTGGCCGCCTGAAGGAGACACTTGAGCTCCAGCGAGTCATTCACGGATCGCAAGTGCTCATCTGTGATATTCGCCGAGTCATATTCACTGAATAGATTTCTGAGATTCATCTCTCCCTCTCTCTCTCTCTCTCTCCACTGCACGCAAGATCACTGCTTCACTGCTTTCTTCTTGCACATTGCACTGGTAAATCCACAAAAGAAGAAGATTTGGACGCGCTGAGAAACCCGGAAGAGAAAGAGAGTCTCAAAGATCGCGAGGAGACACAGTAAAAGTCACTCTGTCGGACAACTAGAGATCACAGACTGGAATCCGTGACACCAGAGAGATAACTGCGAGCCGATCAGGAGTCTGCTTGTGGTGCTCGACTCGGTGGCATCGTCAGAACTGATAACAGCATTTGATCTCTACTCGCGCCTCTTTGCATTTGGCGCATTTCGCACTCGTTCCGCTCAGCCGACGCTCTGGGGCTATTTTTACATAGATTTCGTCACATGAAGGCATGTTTATGTAGTGCGCGGATATTTGTGTGCTATCATGAAGATGATTCAAAAGGGAGGGGAAATTTCTGCGAGAGTGTGGGAGAAACACGCGATTTTTTAGCTTTTGAAGAGCAATTTCCATAAATTTCGCACCCAAAAAGCTTCCTGAGCGGCAGCGAAGGAGCTTTCGAACCTTTGTGTTTCCCTATCGATTTCTCGAAGTTCTTATCAGATCGAAGACTATATGGAAAAGAAACAAGCTATTTTAATGCGAATTCATAGGCACTCAGAGACAATTTAGCCACATTTGGTTTCTTATTTGTTGTGAAACAACAGCAATTTATTTGTCCATAAATATGTAAGAAAGCAAAGAAATATTTAAGTTAGAAACGCTTTTCCGTGGTTAAAGTGGATTAGAGTTTGGATTTATTTTCGTATTGTTGCTTTGATTTTTAAAATATGAATCAAAGTGAAATTCTTTACAAATACAGTGAAATTATGTACTTTATTAAAAGCTTATAATTTTTTTAACAATCATTTTTTAATTATTCTACAATGATCCGCTCATTCGTATCACAAATGTGACATAATACACAAAAAAAAATTAATATTTCACGGTAAATTTACTATCAGTTCAATCCAATTAATTCTGCATGTTTAATCACACAAAATGGACATCATTTTCCTGATAAAAGTTACAACAAATTAATTCAACTGCGCTGGAATTTACAAACATGTTTCCTCCCATTCAACACCCCCTCTTTCTCCCCCTTGTCAATTTTCACATTTTTCCCTGCCACTTGTCACTGCTGAAAGCAAAAAAAAGAGTGAAAAGGCAAACAATTGTGTGAAAATTTATGATTTTATATTCCGGAAAGAAAAATCAGAGCCTGAGGAAAAAGGAAGTAAAAGAAGAGATGAAGAAAAAATTGTTACCACTAAATTGCTTTTAGAAGTTCAGAAATCACACTCTCCTTTAAAAGACATGTTCTTTGCACCCATTTTCCTCTTCAATTTCTTCTTTGAAATTGCGTGCCTCCCCCACATTTCCCACCCGGCGAACTTGAAGAATCCTCTGGCGAGACTTAGGGCTTCGAGAGGGGTATTTTTCCTCTGACACGCGAGACACTTTGTGACTCTTTGGAAAGAATTCCATGAGATATTCTCATTCATATGAGACATTTGCTGGGGTGTGAGAGTGGGTAGAATTTGGAGGAAAAACACCAGTCATATCGCAAATTTTCCCTTCTTCTCCATCATATCGTATTTCATGTCTCGCCATCCCCCTTTTGCCCACATTTACTAGAGTGGAAAAAAAAAGCGTGTGCATGGATGAGAGGAGACGTGAGGAAATACCGCGACTTTTCCGGCTTGATCTTCAGGCATGCTTCTCGTTTGGGTTAGATAAAAGGCCCGCTTGCTGTCGTGTGTCAGCCCCATAATCGGAGGGGCGGCTCGTAATTTATTCACGCCACTGATTTGATTTCACACTCTGACACTTTTCCTCTCCACGACGATTTTCTTCAGCCCCGCGTGGCACGTATTCAGTGAATTATCCACGCATTATAGCGTGGAATACGATGGAATCAATGACAGAACACTTCATTGGATTTCAGCGGCATTGCAAAAAGTGTTTTATCTCAAGATGCTCTCCCACTTGAGGTGGAAAAGTGGCAGCATTTTTCAGCACGAGCGCGAAAAAGGGGTTGGCAAAAGCTCGAGACGATGAAATGGGATTTATCGTGGGAAAGGAATTCTAATGATTCCTGCAGACTTGTTAAAAAATAAGATAAGTTGCGCTTGAAGACTCATGTGGTGTTCTTATTAAATGATAAAAATTCAAATTACAAATTCTTCCATGTCAAAAGTCTTCCTGGGAAATTGTATTTTCCTTCTATCAAAGGAGGAGTTTTCTTGCTCTAAGAAAGTGTTCTTTGTGATTATCTGCATCTTCTTTCTCTTCCATTCCTTCTGATTATTAACCAAATTGTGTTTTATTTGAAATGTTTCTCAACAATGTGTTTCATTTCAGTTCTCAAGACGTCCAGAGAAAGCTTATATTTATGCTTTTCTTCCTGCACATGTCCAGAGGAAATATAACTCTTTTCTCTTTGTGAACAACGAAAGCTATAAATTATGCTCTGTTTCTCTCTATTTTACATTCTCTGTTAGTCATTAAGTCGAACAATCAGGTAATCTTTAGTGAAAAAAAAACGCAGTCATTCTTTAATTACTTGTTTTCTCAACTCATAATTCCACCCTCTTTCACTTGGGCAGAGCTTTTAACTTTAAGAACGACGGTCTTTTTCTTCTAAATTTATCTTGTGAAGAATCTCCTTGGGTGTGTGTGTTTTTTTTCTCCTCTATCCGACGAACTTGGCCGTTTGTATATTCAATTAAATTTTCATGACTCCTTCGCGACACATTTGCAATTCAGCCCGCGTGGAGGTGGATTGTCTGCTCGCAGCGAAAGGACCGAAAACACCAAGTGAAGAAGAATTCTCTCTTCACCCACAAATTTGGCCGTTATCGTGTTTTCCAATTTTTCCACGCTAAATAAATTGCAACATGATGATACTGTTTTTCTCCACTTTTTTCCCCCATGAGACTTCATTCATATATGGAAAATGTAATCTTGTGAAAATATCACCAGTAAAAATTTCACAACAAAAATATTCATGTCGCTGGTGTGTAATTACACAAGTGTTCTTAGGTGGGTTGAAATTGAGTGAAATCTCGATGAATTTGATGAAAATTCCTCATCTGAGAAGTTTTCTTTCGTGTATTATTTATTAAAAATCTTCCAGCCGTTGTTTGCTTAAGCTTCGCGATTTCACCTCTTGTCATGTATTTCAGCACACACTTTTATTTGCTACCTGTTTTATTTCCTCCCTTCCAGCGAGAATCCTGGCTCACCGGGGACCTAAAAATCCTCTTTTACCATCGACATGTTTCGCAAAAGTTTTCTCAAACAACTTGTTGAAATACATTTTCCATCCACGTTGCGAAGCGAAATTATGTATTTATATTAATTTTACATGACAATGGACCGGATGCCATCCAGGGTAGTAACAGGGCGAATAGTCTGAAAATGTTCTGTTCTATGACTTTTTTATTTCATAATTCCACTTCCGACCGTGTTAAAATAATGAGCTATTGTGTTGCTAAAAATACACGCCAAGATGCGCATCTTGTTATAAATTTATCCACCTAAAGGTTTAACATCCGGACTGGAGGTGTTTTCAAACAAAAAATTCCGCAACTCCGAGGAAGTTTCTTCGTCAGACCCCATCTGGCTGTATTAGGTTTTAAATATCAAAGCGACAACTGAATAATCAAAATCCAATTACACAGTTCAACACAATTTGCAGGAATAATCATATTAGTTCGCTGATGGTAATTTCATTCACGCCTCAACTTTGATTCTCATCACGTACTTCGCCTATTTTTACCACTTTAACCGTATAATAGTGAGTGTTCTCTTGAATTTATTACATGCGCCTAACTTAGACAAAATATTTTATAGAAAGGAAAAGGAATTAGCATGAACAAGTACTTTTAATTTCATTAAAACACTCTCAAGCAAGCTCTTGAGAATATAAATTTCATTCATGAGTTCTTATGGAATTTTTATAGGTCATTCATCTTTAAAAAAATATTCATAAAATTTTCCTATCGGCTTCCATAGGAGTTACAGGCACTTTATTTGAATAAAATATTCAGAAATAATTGTTTCTACAATTAACACAAATATTGACTGGAAAATTTGTTCAAATTTACCACTTTAAGAGAATTTTTGTATGAATTATGCAGGATATTCGAGGGTTTTTCATCCCATTTCGATCATAGCTCGGAAATCAATCAAGTTCAAAACTTGCTCATCCTTTCATCTTGAAACTTCATCGCTTAAGGAAACCATTCATGCTGATGACTGCCAATGAGGTGTATTGAGAATCGGGAAAACATGGCATTTGTGGGTTCGTGGGTGCTCAAGCGCTTAAATATCGCGATTGCCTGAGTCTTGACAATCGTGGGTTGTGCGCTGAAATTGAATTTCACGTCCAAGAGGAGTCTGGCAGTGGAAATTCCAGAGGCAATTCTGTGTTCTTTGTGGGTGATAAGCGGGAAGGAGATGCCACGAGCTGTGCGAGGGTGCGCTCAAGAGCCCAACAATTAGCACGATTCCCTCCCAGCCCGGCGACATAATGAAGCTATATATGCATTTTTTGCCTCCCACATCATTGTCATTATCGCCGCTTTTGAGGCCTTGTCAGCAATTTCGGCCGCCACTCGAGGCGCACCAGAGACGCCGCGCGATGGGCAGAAAGATGGAGAGGAATTTTTCCCGGCAAGCCTCTTTTTGCCTGTCTCATAAATAATTTATCTGACTGGAATATGCGGAGCGCTGGGAGGAAAATTGGCGGAGTCGGTTGCGTTGATGCTGTGCGACGCATAGCATTTTCTCCTCTCTCGCCATGGCATGTGCGACACACACCAGAACCGACCTCTCTCCTTCCAGATCATTTTCATGGAAACTGCCTGTTCAGTCTTCAGCACTTTGTTGGCGAAAGCACTCGCTCCGGCTCTTCCGCGTTTGGATGTTCTGCACGCCAAAACTCCCGTAATTCCGTCAACAGTCAATCAACTCTGGCCGTTGATTCACAGCGTGTCGTGATTAGTTTTTTTTCGCGCCTCACTTGATAAACGGTTGACGGGAATTTTTCTAACAATTTCCCAAATTCATTTTCACTCAAGTCACATCCTCCATAAATTCCTCCTCGCGCGCGCTTGACATAATATTTTCTGTGAGAGAGTGTGCTATCTATAAGCTTATTTTT